GATTTTTATCTTTATATTTTTGTTCCACCATTGAAAATTTAAATGAGACATGAAGCTTTCAAGAAAGTTGATGAGGAAAAAGTTGCAAAGGCAAAGATTGTAAAGAGTTGAACATAGATGTGTAGGAAACTTGTAAACTTTACCTTCCGGCCGATCCTGCTCTGCCCGAACCGGATCCTCCGGTGCGGCATCAGCGTCCGCCGGACTTACTTCCCGCAACGTCTGGAATAAAAATTTAGCGTTTTTGGTTGGTAAGTTGCGGTAGAGAAAGAATATTTGGTCGGGATGAGTGGAGAATATTCGCTACGGTTTTTTTTCTTCATTGACATTGACAGTCTAGATAGGACTTGGAGCTCTTGAAAGAGCTGACGAAAAAAATGACAACAAGAAGCGGAGACAACAGTTGTGTGCTCTCGAAAATACTCTTTTACGAATGGACATTTAAATTTAGATTCCGTAACGAGAGTAAACAGACTTGAAAGAAGCGCTGACCGAAAACAAAAAAAGGTCGCAGTCTAAGAAGCGGTATAACGTTTGAATATTCTACACATAACCGGTATACTCATACAGTTGGGAATTATTCAAAATGTTTGATTGAGAACATGATAAATTAGAGATCTGCGTTCATGGACCGTTATCCGTCTCTGTCTGGAACAATATCTCTTGTATACAACAACGCAATAAATAGATAGACAGACAGAGATTGACGAGAGTAATTGCAGATTCATAAAGTCATGATTACTAGTCGGATAATGACGGATTGTGAATGCCGAGCGCGAAATTCCGACTTGTTATTCCCGGAAAATTCGTCAAACGTCCGCTCTCGTTATCGGAGACTTCCCGCATAATAAATGATTCCACATACCTGGAAACGTGACGTATCGCTGCCGGCGTCCTGCTTTCCGGTTGCTGAAGTCCTCCGAATTTCACTCGCTCACGCTTCTAATGCCGATACTCGCGATTCAACCGTACGGTTAATCAACACGATGCCGACGCGATGCCGATTAAGTATCTCGAGGACCGACGAGATACATTTCTTTCAATTACGCGAGACGGAAGTGACGAGCGCGTCGCGCACAGCTGCTGTTGATGGAATGAGGTCGAATACGCGAGGCGCGCGAGTATTAATACGAAGAGCAAAAAGTGTCTTCGCTCGCGAGCCGATCAACATAATCGGCGCGATATAAACATTGCGGGCCTTGGCGGCGGTTGAAACAAAAGAGACTTGCCCTTGGGAATCTCTTCTTTTCTCGAAGGTTCCGGAACGACGAGGGGAATGCAAGGAGGCCTTTCAACTGTACGCGACATTGATTTACTATTTATTGATCACTGAAAATAAAAAAAATTATTCAGTCGAAGCTTCGGATATTTGTTAGCTTTATGTTAATTAAAGAGGAATGTGTATGATTAGAAAATGTGTTAGCAACTAATTGTATAGAGTGTCAAAGTTGTTGTGACGCCGTTATCGGAGAATAATTAAAGGTTATGATTGCGTTAAAGAGTGGAATTTCAACCCATGCGAATTTTGTCTTGTTCTTATTAAATGTTAGAATATCCGCTGCGGACAATAACTCTTCTACTTTTCATCTAATATTCAATGATGATAAATAACATGTAATTGCATTCGTTTGGCTATTTTATTTATTTAATAAAAAAATATATATCAGGGTGAGATTTCACCCATGACAACACCAACGTGATTTTCTTTGATGCTTTTTTAAAAGGCCTGGTTCTAGCATCAAAATAAAGTCCTCTCAAAACCCTACATTTTCGACTACAATGACGACTCTCTACTCCCAGTAGAAGCGGAGATATCAACAGAGAAAGGTTGGAAAACTTTAATCTTCGATATCTCCTAAACGGTTAGAGATACAGGCCTGGCTCTGGTATCAAAATAAAGTCCTCTCAAAACCCTACATTTTCGACCGCATGAACGACTCTCTACTCCCAGTAGAAGCGGAGATATCGACGGAGGAAGGCTGGATATCGACGGAGAAAGGCTGGAAAACTTTAACCTTCGATATCTCCTAAACGGTTAGAGATACAGGCCTCGGTCTGGCACCAAATTAAAGTCCTCTCAAAACCCTACATTTTCGACTACATAGACGACTCTCTACTCCCAGTAGAAGCGGAGATATCAACGGAGAAAGGTTGGAAAACTTTAATCTTCGATATCTCCTAAACGGTTAGAGATACAGGCCTGGCTCTGGTACCATATTAAAGTCCTCTCAAAACCCTACATTTTCGACTACATGGACGACTCTCTACTCTCAATAGAAGCGGAAATATCGACGGAGGAAGGCTGGATATCGACGGAGAAAGGCTGGAAAACTTTAACCTTCGATATCTCCTAAACGGTTAGAGATACAGGCCTGGTTCTGGCACCAAATTAAAGTCCTCTCAAAACCCTACATTTTCGACCGCATGAACGACTCTCTACTCCCAGTAGAAGCGGAGATATCGACGGAGGAAGGCTGGATATCGACGGAGAAAGGCTGGAAAACTTTAACCTTCGATATCTCCTAAACGGTTAGAGATACAGGCCTCGGTCTGGCACCAAATTAAAGTCCTCTCAAAACCCTACATTTTCGACTACATAGACGACTCTCTACTCCCAGTAGAAGCGGAGATATCAACGGAGAAAGGTTGGAAAACTTTAACCTTCGATATCTCCTGAACGGTTAGAGATACAGGCCTGGCTCTGGTACCAAATTAAAATCCTTTCAAAACCCTACATTTTGCCGTATATGGCGACTCTCTACTCCCAGTAGAAGCGGAGATATCAACGGAGAAATGTTGGAAAACTTTAACCTTCGATATCTCCTAAACGGTTAGAGATACAGGCCTGGCTCTGGTACCAAATTAAAGTCCTCTCAAAACCCTACATTTTCGACTACATGGACGACTCTGTACTCCCAGTAGAAGCGGAGATATCGACGGAGGAAGGCTGGATATCGACGGAGAATGGCTGGAAAACTTTAACCTTCGATATCTCCTAAACGGTTAGAGATACAGGCCTGGCTCTCGTACCAAATTAAAGTCCTTTCAAAACCTTACATTTTGCCGTAAATGGCGACTCTCTACTCCCAGCAGAAGCGGAGATATCAACGGAGAAAGGTTGGAAAACTTTAACCTTCGATATCTCCTAAACGGTTAGAGATACAGGCCTCGGTCTGGTGCCAAATTAAAGTCCTCTCAAAACCCTACATTTTCGACTACATGGACGACTCTCTACTCTCAGTAGATGCGGAGATATCAACAGAGAAATGTTGGAAATCTTTAATCTTCGATATCGCCTAAACGGTTCGAGATACAGGCCTCAGTCTCGCACCAAATTAAAGTCCTCTCAAAACCCTACATTTTCGACTACATGGACGACTCTCTACTTCCAGCAGAAGCGGAGATATCGACGGAGGAAAGCTGGATATCGATGGAGAATGGTTGGAAAACTTTAACCTTCGATATCTCCTAAACGGTTAGATATACAGGCCTCGGTCTGGCACCAAATTAAAGTCCTCTCAAAACCCTACATTTTCGACTACATGGACGACTCTCTACTCCCAATAGAAGCGGAGATATCAACGGAGAAAGGTTGGAAAACTTTAATCTTCGATATCTCCTAAACGGTTAGAGATACAGGCCTCGGTCTGGTACCAAATTAAAGTCCTCTCAAAACCCTACATTTTCGACTACATGGACGACTCTCTACTCCCAGTAGAAGCGGAGATATCAACGGAGAAAGGTTGGAAAACTTTAATCTTCGATATCTCCTAAAGTTCTCCTAAGTTCAGATATTTCGTCGACTCGCGGGATATTTATAATCGGCGTCTCGTCGCGTTAATTAACATGTGCTCCTCCGAGCGGATCGAATGCTCACCGACGGCCACTGTCAGTGCCACAAGCAAATGTCTGGAGCGGATATGGGATGCTGAATTGTGAAGCATGACGAAGGGAACGGGACGCGGCCAACGATACATCATGCATCTCCAGACGTGTCAAATTGTTTATTATACAGGAAACTTTGATACGGCAACATGTATTTGAAGATTTAGGGCAAGAGCACAGGCTTTTGCATAACGCATAATACATAATGCATAAGAGAATAAACCAATTAGTTTTCTTCGTTTCCTTCCTCAGGACAGAAATGAAGAACTCTGATTGGTTGATTCTCTTATGTATTGTGTATTATGCGTTATGCAGAAGTCTGTGTTCTGGCTCTAAACGTAGTCAAGTCATAGCATAGAGATAGCAACTATGGTTGCAACACGGACATAAACCGCCTGAAAGGGGATGTAGCACGGACTTCCACCACATGAAGATTTTACCACCGAGACCTAAAAGTGGATGTAGCATCATAGTTCCCCTCTCAAAATGGATGCAGATAACGTCCTTTTTCAATGCGGAAAGTCAGTGTCGCAGAAAATGCCGTGTTGGCCGCTTTCAGGTTTCTCTCTGATATTTGGTCTGTTCTTTTTAGCTGCACTATTGAACTGGTGCAATAAGTTAAAGTGAAAAAAAATATAGTTGTCTCATTCTAACTTATTGCACTAGTTCCGCAGTTCAGCTGAAAAGCCTAAACGGTTGGCCTCCTTAGCCAATACGAAAATTTATTCAGAACTGTCAGTCTTTTTATTGGCTGCGTTCCAATATTTACTGCCAGTACTGAAAGCACATAGTTTGTGTCGCGTATACTACAGATTTTTAGTGCTGGCAGCAAATTTCGGAACGCAGTCATTTGGTCTGTTCTTTCTAGCTGCACTGAGGAACTAGTGCAATAAATTAGAATGAAACAACTATATTTTTTCTCACTTTAACTTATGACACCAGTTCAGTAGTACAGTTAAAAAGAACAGACTAATTATCTCGTCGGTGGATACGGCTTTATAGCAAGCCGAAATTTAAGCAAGCAAATTGACCAATCACAGTAGATTGTTCTCCTTGCAATCAAAGAATAATCAACTGTGATTGGTCAATTTGCTTGTGACTTTACGTCGTAATGTAGAATAGGCTTAAAGAAAAAGCAAGTACACGAGGTATATGGCATGCGGAGATTACAGCCCAGCCATCAACACGCACGCAATTATGTATTTTGATTAGAATTAATTTAATCTTATAAAACATCGCAGAATGGTTGTTTTTACCTGCCTTCATTGTGGCGATATGCTGCAAAAACCTAAAGTGGCGAAACATTATGAATTTAGATGCCGTAAACCAGTGTTTGTCACGTGCACAGATTGTTTAACGGATTTCCAGTAAGTATCAATAGGTATTGTGCGGTTGTGATTAATATTATTAATTATTACATCGATAAATACAAAATTTTTAAAGATACAGGAAAATTAGCGTTTCTTATACCTTTAAAACGATACCTTAGACAAAGATTTATTAAATTGTAATTTAATAAGTTGCACTCGCCATGTATCTTAAATATAATTATATACTACCTGCAATCTAATTATTTCTGCAATTATTTTAAGAGGAAATGAGTATGTAACCCATACCAAATGCATAAGTGAAGCAGAACGTTATGGTGGGAAAGATTATGTTCCAAAGGCTAGTGCAAATAAAGGAGAACGCAAGCAACAAGAATGGATTGGTATTGTTAACAATTTATTGAATGGAACAGTTAATTTGTCCAATGCAGAGAGAAATTTCCTCAGTAGTTTATCACGATTTGAAAATATACCAAGAAAAAAACCTAAATTTCTTAACTTTGTGAAAAGTGCATTAAGTAATCGTGTAAATATGTCGGTTGTGGAAAGTATTTGGAGTAAAATGGAAATTGCCCATAAGCAAAGTCAACATACTATTACAAAACCTCAAGAACCAGATAATGGTAAGTTTTAATTTTCTTGTAATATAATTTTAAAAAAATTAAAAATATAGTAAGTATAAATGATATTAGATATTAAATAATAAATAATTTACTATATATTTTCAATCTGTAGTATCAGATATCTTGGTAACTAGTTTCCAAATATTATAGATCTTTTAAAATCTATATAATTGAATAAAGAAATATATATATATGTGTGTATTTGTATTTTCCATTAGATAAAACAAATAAAATTGACACAAGGATGAGTTCCAATAACTTGGTTAGTAACAATCATCAGGATAATATCATTGATAATCAAAACAATGAAAATATATGCAAGGAATATGATTCTGCACGACATCAAAAGAGCAATGATAAAGAATGCATGACCAATAGCATTATGGATGAAACTCAAACTGTTACTAAAAAGAAGTCTAAGAAACGACAAATGGCTGAATCTATTGAAACACAGGAGGAACAACCTGCTACAAAAACCAAAAAAACATCTGTCCTAGTAGAAACAAATATTTGTAAAAATAAAATGCGTAAAGTATCATTTTATTGGAGACTTGCAATTTTGGAGATTGTTCAAAATAAGGGTGAGATATCCCTGAAAAAACTTCAAAAAAAAGTTGTTTCACTATATTTACTTCACTCTGTTAAGGTTTTGGATCGTGATAAGGCTATTGCAAAGTTTCATAGAAAATTGAAAAAAATACCTGAAATAACTGTTTCGGAAAATATAGTAAAATTAGTGAAACCATGTAATCTCTATGTACAGGAATAGGAAATGCTATATACATGTGTGTGAAAGAAGAAAATGTGATCTCAATCATTGGCTGACAAGCTATCATTGTACAAATTAACTTACATATATAACATCGCTGATCGCACACATGTTTTATATTCATATTTAGACTTTGTTTTTGTGGGTTGGAGCTGTGTGCAAAACCAGCTCGTGATTTTTTACGAATATGAACGGTTGTTATATTGTTTATTATGTAAAAATACAATCAATCCAAGTTGTCTAACTAGACATTCGCAACTGAAAATCTAATCTAATTCTTGACAAACTTAAAAATTGTGCTATATTGTATTTTTTTATCTATTAATCCATTTCTCACTTTTATATTATGACATTCACTCGCGTTGCGTCGCAGATTATACACATCTGATTTTTACATATTTATGTGAGACATTTCTCAAAACTGTAATGGTTGTAAGAAGATATGTAATATTTTTTTATTCTCTTATAAAAAGAACATTATATATGATTTTCGTTTTACAGTTAAGATTTGATAAAAATTGTTTAATGGAAATTGGATTGAAACTCGTGTAAAAATTTGTCCGAATACAATGCATGATTATTCATAGTTGCTAGAAGGCCCTTTGTAAGTACTGTAGGGTCGTTAGCTTCAAAGTAAATTGGCTGTTGGTCGTACAACTGTGTTACCGTTCCTCCTAAGGCTCTATATCAAGAAACAAAAAAATAAATAGCAAATACATATCATATGTAATGTTTAATGCCTGCTAAAAGAATCCTAAGAATACCTAAGAATCGCAGTGCCAGCACATATATCCCACTTCTTAATAGCAGTTGTATGGACATATATTGTCGCATTATCAACAGCTACTTCCAAGAATTTATATCCTGAAATAAGACATATCCTTCTTTTATATACGTATGTGTGTATGTGTGTTGTGTACACACATACATTCGCTTCTGGTGCACAACATGAAACATGTCTATTATTTCTTGATTAGAGTAATGCAATATCATTCATGCTATACTGTGAGAACAGTGTGATAGCTTTCTGTTCTCTAACTGTTCAAGGATATGTGTCTAACAATTACTCAGTGAAATATGTTTAAATGGGTTTAAAGAAAATAAATATTTATGTTCCAAACAAAAGCAAAGTTTCTTTTTAAGAATTTTTTTAAAGCATGGTACTCTTTACCAATAAATGACAGACAAATTACATCAGAGAATATAGAAGCACCAGAAGCAAGTCATTTGCTTTAATTAAAATAAATAATTATTCGTAACTCCGACAATATTAATTTTTCGACCTATGTTTATTAGGATTTTTTCTCCATTGTTTGAATACTATCTGCTTTTAAAGTCCTGAATCCTTGTTTTTAAACATCTTGTGTATGTATATACGTTATTCGCAAAACCAACAATATAAAAACAATGATTTTTGAAAACAGGAATAAATCTAAAAAATAAGATATAAAAAAGAACATTTAAAAATCTTTAATTTGTCAATTTTTAAATCTTTAAAATATTAATTAATACTGCCCATATTAAATCTTTAAACTATCGATAAAATTATTAAAAAAATTTTTCACCTGCACCAGCGGCGGATATTATTTCAACATTGTTACCAAAAGCAACTTTAGATATGTTATTGACTTGTCCAGCATGCGAGCGAGATACAATCAGAGTGGGTGTCTTGTTATCTTTTGCCTATTGGAGGAAAAATTTAATGGATGAAATGAGTTTCAAAACAGTTCACCATTTTAATTACCTGGGGCAAATTTTTCAAATTTCGCGATATACCATGATTGATCCATGTCCAGAATAAACTATAATTCTGCTTTGTCTCAAATGGTTTATATATAACACCAATAACAGGTTGTCCTTTAATAGCTATGCATACCATAGTAGTTACATATTGTAATAAATTCTCTAAAATTATGATGATAAAAGATGTCATTTTTAAAAAGTTGTTAAATTAAACTAAATACGTAAGATCAGAATCAATATATCCTTTTGATTGAAAAGAATTTGAAGGTCAGTTGTGCTTGGTCTTGTGCCTAATAATCACACAAGAACATTTGGTAAATATATCATGCATAAAAACATAATTTAATAATTTCAGAATTTTGTAGAATAGATATTGTGCATCTATTAAACCATTCAATTAAGAGACTTTAGCCTCAATATCTCAGCATAGATTTTAACATAATTGAATTTACTATAATTATAATGTTAAATAAGAAAAGTTATTTTTTATTATTGCTCCTGAAAACAATCAGTGGTTGTTTAATCTCTAACCATAGAAACATTAATTGCTTCTTAATTTAATTGTCCATGGTAGTATTTTTCCTATATAAAATCTGTTCAATCAAAATATTTCTATGACTATATGAAAAAATCACATTATCAGTTATTTTACCAATATTTTTGCCATAAATTAATTGCAAAGTAATTTTATCAATAATATCAAAATATGATGATGAAGATATATATTACCTGTAAATTCTTTGGTAGCATCGAGAGGATCTATCCAGATTGTAATATCTTTAGTATTTACAATATCATCACTTATATCATAACCATCAATACTTTTAACAGAATTTTTAATATCTTCTATTATAACTTTGTCACAATCTTGCGATATTTCCTCAGATATCACAGTAATTCCTGGGAATGCTTCTGTTAAAGAACGATACATAGCACAGTGCGACCTATAATCAGCTGCTGTTACTGGATCATTCATTCCTTTAAGATGGACAAAAAAATATTACTATTTTATTTTACACAAGAAAGTATACAAAAGTATTTAAGAAAAAAAATAAGTATATGTATTTTATATAAAAGATATAAATAAATGTTATAGTCGCTCGTAATAACATGCATTGAACCCCCATATAAAGTTTTATGTCAACAATACCTTCCTTTGTTTGACCTTTGCTTTCGATTTTGAATTTACTTTGATGGTGCACCATTACCACTTCGAATCCTCCAAGTTCTGCCGCCCTTATGGCAGCAGCTAAAAGCTTCTTCAAAGATACATCCTTGTCATTCGTACACCGATTTATACATATATACACAATGGCAAAAGACGTCAGGAATGCGCCGAAGAATAATTTTTTTGCACGTACATTCATCCTGTTGTATAGGATCCTGCGAATTAGTGACTCGCAAATGATAACAAATCATCCAAATATTTCTCAAGATTTAGTTTTGCGTTCCACTTTCGTACATATCTCTCCATTGCGTAAAAGAAAGAGATTTAATCTAATTTGTTTACCAACTATACAAATATACACATAAATCTATAGATTAATAATAATATAATATATAATATGGCTTTTTTAACCTCGTTTGGGAATTCTATAGTACGAGGTTGTTTTAAATACAATGGCACGTCCGCATTATATGGCACCGAAAATTCTTGAATATTGAAACATTTTACATTAGGTACAATGTAAATCTACCTTTAGGCTAAAAAATGTAACAACCTGTCTACACAGTCTACATAGTACGGTCGCAACACGCAAAACGCAGATCACAGGACGCAAAAATTTCCTACACAATCATAGTTGATTATTTTCCTCATATTCGACTGTAATTCGGTCGTAATCGCTACGGTAAAATTTTTTTATTTTAAAACACAAATAGACCAATTAAATTGATTTATTTAGCATTTTGACAAATATGTAGGCTGTGTTCCGATATTCACTGCCAATACTGAAAATCTATAGTATACGTGACATGAACTATATATTTTCAGTACTGGCAGTGAATATCGGAACGCAGCTTAAAAAAACCGTTGGTCTTTAATGCCCATTCCTACCAATCTTTGTTAACTTAACTGGTTGGTTATTCCAACGGAATTGACCAATCGCATTTGTCGTTAATTAGAATGATTAAATGCGATTGGTCCATTCCGATGGAATAACCAGTCGGTTAAATCAACCAAGGTTGGTAGAAATGGGCATTAGGCCGGTTGAACGCGCCAAGTGTTGCAAACAAAACTTCCTTGAGGCAAATGTTGCAAACAAAACTGTCCCGTTTTATAAATACACTTAACACACAGACAATAAAAAAGCTCTCGATTAAGTCATTAAATTCTATTCTAATTCTGCCGCAGGAGATTGACCGAATGACCCGCTATTCAATCATTCAAATCGACGAGATCGAGAGATGCTCACGATACAATTCGGACAGTGCGGGAATCAACTGGGATATAATTTACTTTCGAAGGTGTCCACTGATCTAAAAGGTTCTAATACGGGCGTTTCTCATGGCAGCAATTACGAATATGCGGAAAACACTATTGAGAAATGGTTCGACGAGATAGCAGCGGACGACCGGTGTTCTGCGAGAGCGATTCTCGTCGATACCGAAGAGAAGGTTCTGAGCAAGATATCTAAAGAAACTACCACGTCGTGGTTCTATCGTTCAAGCAACATCATTTGCCAGTGTAATAACGGTGGTGGTTCTGCCAACAATTGGGCCTATGGTTATTGTATAAATGGCAAACAGTTGTCAAATGCCATTTTAAATGTTACTCGACGACAGATTGAGAAATTAGATCGTTTCCAGGGATTTCTTCTGCTTCTTAGTTCAGCTGGAGGCACAGGATCTGGTGTTGGAAGTCGCATGGTTGAACTTCTACGAGAAGAATATATAACTAAAACCATTATTGCTACGATTGTATTACCATTTACCTTTGGAGAAGTGTGCATCCAAAACTATAACACAATACTAACTCTAGCAAAGTTCTGCAGCAAAGCTGATCTTTCAGTGTTATTTGAGAATGAGAAGATATATGCTACATGTGTCAAATTGTTGCAAAATTCCAGTACAGCATTACATGATATGAATGATGTTATTGCTGAAAATTTGCTTGCTGTGTTTCAACCTACTAATAATGCCAGATATAACGCAAATTCTTTAGTATACGATGTAGCAGCACATCCAAATTTTAAATTTGCAACCATCAAGAGCACTCCATATATTCCTGTAACATCTCTACAGTATGAACCCACGCACAAATGGGATGTGTACATACGTCATTTGGAGCATGCTCTTCAAGTATCAAAGTCTCAAACAGAACTAACAAATAGCCGACTAAAGAAGGCAAGTGCTTCAATGAACAGTAATATGTCTTTTACGTATAGTTCCTGTGTGTCTAATGTTCTTGTGACACGTGGCAAATCTATAGGAGAAGATATTGTAATGACGAGAGATCTACACAAAAAGCATCTGTATCCAGACTGGAATACATTACGTCCATTCACTCATTTACACCAAGAACGTAGGATCCTGAATCGAAACAAATTTCTAACATTAGTCACAAACAATTCAGAGATACATCAGCCATTAGGAATATACTTGGATAAAGCATGGAATTCTTACAAATGTGCAGCTTTCTTACACCAATATAAACAGTTTGGCTGTGAAGAAGATGATTTTTTGCAAGCTTTCGCAGTAGTTGAGAACATTGCGCAGGAATATAAGAATTTAAAGAGGCAAAATGGAAATTAATATTATATGCTCAACCAGGCTATTTCAATCACAAATGTCAATATAATTATATGACTGGAAAAAGCAGAAAGAAGACAGTAAGTGTAAAGTTACCAGACAGAATATATTTGTCCCAGTTCCTAGGAAGAATAAAATTATGTATACTATACAATTAAATAAATTTAATGCGAATTTAAAGTTCAGCTATACTTGAGCTATTATTTGAAAAAAAAATATAATGAAAAAAGGAAACAATGATTTTTACCAAAAAATTTTTATAACTTAAATATCATTTAAATAAGAACAACATGCATGTTATTTCAGATGTAAAGTTTTACTTTTAAATGAGTCTATAATTATAGTCTGTATCTATTTTATTTATTCTGAAAATGGATATTCGTAAGAAATATATTTGTGAATTTCTCCTGAAAGAAGAAGACAAAAAAAATAGTTAAATTTTTAAATTCACATTTTTTTGTTAATTAGGTAGACAGATGTATTTCCAAGTCCATTCTCTTGACGTCTTTCCTACGCTTTTTTGTGTAGCGCGTGGGCGCTTACGCGAGGCCATGAATATCACGGTCACGGTTACTACGAGAACGGGGGGTAAAGAGGGATGGTTGTGACGTCATTGGGGAATCGACCAAGCTACGACAAACACATGAAAGAAACTCTCAGGAAGGAGGAAGGTAAGAAGAAAAGGAATAGGAGAGGAAGGAGAGCGATGGGATGCGAACGAACGACTGTGTTCACCGCTTGATCAGGAGCAAAAGCTGGATACTAACAGAACTGAGTCAAGTCGAGTAGAGTCGATGCACCGTGTGCTTGATTCCTCACACGATCACACGTCGGCACACTTCTGCGCAATGTGCGGACGTTTTTCTCTCTCTCTCTCTCTCTCTCTCTCTCTACATATATATATATATATATATATGTGTATATACATATCTTTCTCGCGGAGGTGGATGCAGAATTAAAGATTTGATCCTTTGGTTTCTCGGGAAAAAGGAAAACGTTTCCAAGAACCGTGTGACTTTTTACAACTCTCCTCTCGCGCCAATTCGGAAAAGATCCAAGAGACAATTGAACGATGACATTTCATCGAATAAATCGACTCTAAGTCCACTCAACGTCCCAAACTATTTGTGGTTTGCCATTGCATCATTTCGTAATGCTTTAATAAACACATTATATTGTAATGCATTTGGAAATTCCGATTGACAATTAAAAAGCTATATATATTAAATATATTAAATAATATATAATATTTATAAATAATAGAGCAAGCTCCAGAAAATTACATCGAAGGTATAAAACTTTTTACTTTACTCGTGGTTTCCATTAAATTTTCTCCATATTTTTATACTTGACATATTTTCTAATATAACTGATGTATCTATATATAGGTGCTCTTTCTTGATTTTACCAAGTTCAGATGTGGTCGTAGAAAAAAAACGATCGGTGCGATTATACCGAATCGCTGAGAAGCCACTGAAGCGGAATCCTACAGTGAATTCTATACAGCACATCCTTTTCAAAGCAAGATTTGAGAAAAGAAACGTCTTCCGCACTACGTCGTCGCGCGCGCGCGAGAGAGAAAGAGAGAGAGGGGGGGTTTTCCATAGCTACGTCTCTCTCTCTCTCTCTCTAGGTTCGAATACCTAGGCGGAGAGAGGCGTGGTTTCGGACGTAGAGGAACCTGTTCGTTCTCCCCCGCCGTACCTCGTCGCGTCGCAGCGTGACGTCGGCAAGCAGGCAGCGAGAGGCGGCGGTGCACCGCGCTGGATCCGTCGTCGATCCACAACCGTGTCTCGCACCCGCACAAACAACCAAGAGCCAAAGTGTGTATAGCGACGTGGCGCGGGGGTAGACAGGACTGTGGCGTCGGAGTCGCGGGGCAACGACGCGCGCCATTTTGTCCAGTGTTCGTCGAACGCGTCGCGCGTCGGGGTGTTTGCGGGGTTGGTGGCTGCGCGAGAGGAATAAATTGCAGTAGAGCGTGTGCGGTACGTCGACAGCGACGGTGGCAGTGACGATGGCGGTGCGCTACTGTACACGCGCTCTTACGACACGACTTGTACGTACGTACATTCATACATAGGAGAACGAGCGAACGTTTGTCGTGCTTGACTCCCGGGGCGGTGTAATATGTATTCCGTGACTCCGGTCATGCTTGTGGTGACGTATCGCGCGGGAAAGAACGTCTCCTCGGACGTGAACAAGCGTCGACAGATGTAGCGTCACTTCAACGGCGCTTCAACGTGACCAGGGGAAAACGATACGGTGAATGACGGCGACAGCGACGACTATCTCGCGGATGTCCTCTCCTTCGCTCATCCCGAACAGCCGACTCAATCATCATCGCCAGAGAACGACGTGCTACGGCAGCACAGGTGAGCGCCAACGCGCGAGCCAGGGTAGCGCGTGCGACTTTTCTGATCGATAAAGCGCGCGTCATCTCTCTTCCTCGTCCGTCTCGACGGTGTACTCTTGTCGGCACCTCTCGCGATAGGACGAGAGTGCGCACTCACCCCCATCTCTCGCGAAGAGGGCTTCACGCTCCGCCGAATGTTATTCCCGTGTAGCGACGGTGACGCTGACACAACGTATGCCCAAACGGATCGGCAGATTCGGACGGCGAGCATTGGTCGCTTGTGCAAAACGTGCCCGAGGAAAGTGAAAGCTCGCCCGATATTGCCTCGTTCTTCGTCCTCAGCGCAGTTCCTGTCGTGACGGCACGAGTATAACAGTCTTCGCTTTTCAGATGAGATAGATCTGCAGTTCGCACTTGAAAAAAGAAAAAGAAGCAAGTTCGCTTAGATAATGTCGTCGCGCGTGCCATTGCACGTTCGGGAGCGCACGCAAATTGTTTCTTTCTCTTTCTTTCTTTCTTTCTCCAAAGAAAGCCTGGGTTGTATCGAAACGCTCAGCGTCAATTCTACTCGATATTGAGCGTCTTGTCGATGAATCGCTTGCGATATAGCACGCTTTTGTATGTCAATTCGCGACGGTTTGGAATGTGCAGAAAGTGCAGGCAGACGTACCGTCATATCAGACCGCGATGCAAGGAAACGCGTCCAATATCTATCACTGACGTTGGTATAGGCGTCTTCGGTATCTGTCGTGTCGATTTGCGAAGAAAGTTGTGTGGAACACAGGAGATAAGCAGATAACCAAATTAATCTGTTTGGGAAATATATGATGAGATTTTCAAATGATTTTGTGCGATGACTCTTGAAATATCGCTTTTTGCATTCTCAATCGATACGTTAAATCAAGTCGCAATTGAGATGACTGCTACTACAATGCTGTTTGCGTTATTTTATACTAATGAACCACAATTTATTAATTTCAATATACTCGCGGTCCATTCCATGAAAGAACACGCCTGTTCTTTTATATAATCACGCATCAAGTTTAACATACCGATAAACCCTTTCACCGCTGCTGCGATAATACATTCCTACGAAATTCAAATTACGGTGTAACGAATGCCGAATTCCTGAGAGATTATGCACTAAGTTCTCACAAATTTCAACCTTTTATTTCTACATAGTGGCAACTATAATGTAGTCATAATTAAATGTAAATTGTATAGAGCAGAAAGAGATTCAGAATCGCGCATACACATCGTACCGATTATGTTCAGGGAGTCGAAACGTCCTAATAAGAGTTTCTGAACTCGTCATGGTTACGCAATGATAATAGACACGAATATGGGAGTGTTTAAAAAGAACGTTCAAACGTAATGGACGAGACGAAAAGCTTCGGTTGTAATTGAAGAAAACTATGAGAACGATCGCTCGTTGTATTTAATGCCAGTACGAGTTTTAGATGGGGCACTGATAGCATTAAACTCAACGATAACATTAAATCGCTAATTATCTCTGTTTAATTTACGTTGATTCGCGTGTTGACAAGAGAAAGAAATATCTCTAGATTAATCCAGTCCACGCATCTTGAAGCAATCATTTCGCAGGATATAGCCATTATTAAACGTGAACTAACAACTAACATTTCACAGGGGATTACGTATATATTTACAATAATTAGTACAATTTAGAGGAATTGTCCACACACACACACACACACACACACACACACACACACACACACACACACGCATGTATGCGCGCACACCCATAATATTCGAGAACTAATTTCAACATAACGATTGTGGTGCGCTGTATTCACTTTCTATATTAAACCAAGAAAATAAAGCATGAATCTCGTTACGTTAGGACAAATTATTCCGTCAAGTTAATGAAGAATTTTTACTTATTTCAACGTTCCTATTCATCAGATTGATATGTTGGACTGTTTTTGATTGATTCCTATTTGAGGAAAAAAATCACTTAATAAATTTAATATAAATGCGACCAAAGAGCTGTGCGAGTTACATTTTTATTGACGTAGACAACCGATCATATATCCGTGTAACTCGCATAGTTACGACAAATTGGTTGAATGTCCTAAAACGAAGCTGTGAAAGATACGATGAGTCTTCGTAACGAATATAACTAACAACAGTTCGGTATTAGTCAGGATTGTTCCTCGGGAATGAAATCAATTCATTAAAGACTGACAGAGTATCGCGAGCAGCGTCGCGATCACTGACATTATCGGCTGGTGATTTCAATGCCAGGATATAAAAGCGTGCACAAAGTATCCTTTAAAGAATCGGTCGTATAGTTCATGTGTTTATTTACGAGGTTCCGAGGGGCGCTTCATTCATACGCGACAACTTTGTCTGATCGATATTACATAGGAAGCAAACACCGAAGAGATACAATCTTTCCGCGGCATACGCTTTCGGGTTTATTTCCAAGTTTTTCCGACAACTAATCGTTACGTGTCATATCCTAGTATCTGTTAAGAAAAAATGAGTATTTCATGTAAAAGTTTCTTTGTAACGCATTAGCAAGACACACACGCACACACACACACACACACACACACACATATATATATATATATACGTATGTATATATGTACCCGAAAGGTCGTGAAGAGGAAAAGTTTTGGGAATACTTATATCGAATAATTATTATTGAATTTAATTATATTTCAGCATTTATTCAATAGTTAATTGCGTATTTGCGAAAATTAAATGTGGAACCTCGTATAAAAATTGTGTTTCAGAAAAATTATCGACTAACATACATTTATAAAGGGAAATAGTCGATATTTGGCCCGTAATTAATTATACATAATTATAAGCCGATTGTAAAGAATCATATCGCGAAATTGTTCAGAAGGTTGACTGAAAAGTATATCGTGGTTTTATATATATATATATTATATATGGCTACATAGTGATATACGAATGAGCGGATAATTTGCACGCACAAGCGACTTGGATAAGCATTGTCGGCTTAAGCTCACAACATCGCGCTTTTTTAACAACAATGGAAATGGATTTTCATCTTCTTCACTTTTATCGCGCCCATCTTAACCCTCGAGGGACCGTGTTTGTCCAACGACTCTAGAGAGCAGGACTACTTTTGTACGCACGTGAGTCAACTTGCACACGCGATCCTTCAAACGGACGCGGCGTTGTTGTCTACACCAATGCTTCCTGACTATTTTGTGCGCCATGCTATTGCTCGTGAAAGGCGATAATATTTGAGCTAAAGACCGGAGAATGAATTTGAAGATATTTGTACGTTCCATAAATAATCGTGTAATTAACGCATCTTTATACGCGTTTATACGTTATTATTTCGTTGTCTTTACGATATCTTGGTAGTTTACAACGCTCGCGTGAAATGTGAATTTGCGATTTTTTCTGTTGTGGTCTTTTTTCTTTTAGAAAATACAGAATACATTGCAGTACATATTTTTTGTTACATTTAAGTTATGAATAAGAGACCGACATATGTGATGCTAGTATTCGCTGCTATTTCTGTCAGATGGCCGCATGCGAGTTATATCTGATCAAAGTCGCAATTTACATGCACAGGGTGCATAAAATTAAACCGGAGGATACACGCTCCTCTCGTTAAAATTTATGCTCCTAGGACGAAATTGGCAACTTTTCAACATTGCCATGGTTGTGTCTACTCTTTCGAAACAACACACCCTTGCGCAACTTCAAATTCCTTCTTATCTTGGAAACTTCACGACTCTCACGCGATATTCTTCTAAGTGGTTCACACATATCTGTAGTTTGACTCTGGAAAGAATTTAATCGCAGATATATACAAGGGTAGTCCCAGAAGTACCTGATCTAATGTATAGATAGCGGTTGTTGTTTGAAAAGAATGACTATGGTAGAAAGTACCAACCTTATAAAGCTTAAGTTTAAAGTTTGACGACGCTACATTGTTTAGTATTTGTTTGGCAACCATCAATAGTGAACGCTCTCAGTGAATTTGTAAACATGGAAAAAATTGGTCATCGTTATGTGATACAATACTTTCATTTGAAAGGCCTCAGTCCAACCAATATCAAAGCGGAGCTAGATTCTACTCTGAGGGAGTCTGCTCCTTCCTTTACAACAGTAAAATATTGGGTGGCAGAGTTTAAACGAGGCTGTACGAGTTGCCAAGACGAACATCGCAGTGGTCGACCAAATGAGATGGCCACGCCAGAAATGGTGAAGAAAATCCACAAAATGGTATTGAATGACCGTCGACTGAAAGTGTGCGAGTTAGCAGACATGGTAGGCATTTCAAAAAGTGCTGTACATCGCATATTGACTGAAAATTGGACATGAGAAAGCTGTGCGCAAGATGGGTGCCGCGATTGGAACAAAAACAGCGTCGTGAGGATGTTTCAATTGAGTGTTTCGAGGCGAAGTTTCGCAGCAATAAAGCCGAGTTTTTGCGTCGATTCATAACCATGGATGAAACATGGGTCCATCACTTCACACCTGAGACGAAGGAGAACAGTCAAAACAATGGACCAATGTGGCTTGATGGCTATTTTGAGGAGCTCGACGATTCCCACTATAAACAGGGTACCGAAGCTACTGAACATCGCTGGGAAAAGTATATTGAGCTAAAAAGAGACTATATAGAGAAATAAAGATATTTTTTCCTAAATTTTTTTGTTTTCTTTGTTAGGTCAGGTACTTCTGGGACGTAGTATGTCACGTATTTCAAATATATTTATTTCTTTCATAAGAAAAAATGTATATAAAATGATGTATAAATTATCTAACAATTTAGATATCGTCTGTTTTCGAGACACACTACATTTTACTATCAAAAGTTGATGTGTCAAGTATAGAATATAGTATAGAATATAGTATAGAATATAGTATAGAAGTATAGAAACGGCAGCCAAATCGGTACAATTCAGGCGAGTAATGATAACTAAAACGACGCGACATGAACAAACGTTGTCTTGGAATGATATCGGAAACGTGTATCCACTTGTGCGTATCCCGGATTCACAAGTCGACCGATTCAAGTAAACTGGAACCTGGAACTCACCAAGACTTCGATCCAGGTGTTCAGAATTAATCGGGGACACACCTACCCTGCATGACTCATTGTCGACGAGTTCCTGATTTCTTTCGCCCTTCCTGCAAGGGATGTGCGGACTAAGAACATTACGCCTAATTCACTCTGTGTTCGTCACGACTTTTATCGACGATTACATATCTTGAATAGCTGAATTTCCGCTGAATAGAGAACGCAGCAATCTTTAATTGTAATTAAATAATTGTATAGAAAGTCTTCAATTGCATCAGAGATCTTCAATTGCATGATTCCAAAGGTCGATTTGATATATTTGTGAACGTATCGTCTACTGTCAGGCAAGAGAGACGCTTTTCTTCCTCGCGTTTATCTGAAGATTAAAAAGGACATTTCACGCAAAGTAAATTCCAAGTGCCAAGGGTACTTCAACGCACAAACTTAACGCGCGTATTTCGCGCGTTTGAGACTCGGTAGAGAGCATAGCACAGACTGTTATTCCTCGTGTCAAATATATGTATATAAAGATCAACACGAATGCCTTAACATTTATATTATTAAAGTTACTACGATTTCCAACTGTACGTTTAAAGGCAATATGCATATGGTTGAAAAATGTACGAGTAGTCGCTAAGTATAACGATTGTTATGCGAGCCTGCACACACACACACACACACACACACACACACACACACACACACACACACACACACACACACACACACGCAACCATTCTCGTCGGCAGTGTCGTGATATGTCGTGATTTCAAATATTTGTCTTTAAAATTAAGACAATCGGCTAACATGATACGAGAAAGAAAAGCGTCTCGTGTTACTTTTAACAATGTCAATGTTGAAAATTATTGACAAGCGGATATATTGTAACGTGCTTGTAATAATTTCCATATAATTATTTAATTATAGAGAAAGAATCTGTAGTCTTTTTTTTTTTTTTGTTTTTGTTTTAGAAATTAGACTGAGCTGATTCCCGCGCTTCGAAACCGGGGTGTCAACGTGGTCGGACGAAGACCACGTGGCAATTTCTCGTGAAAACAACGATGTTGGTTTCGTGCGTTATGTCGCAATCTACCGTGATCTGAGCTTGCGTATGTTCGCCTTTCGATACCGTCATAGACTCGGCCAGTCTTCGTCGTTTCAATGGCGATCTGGTAATTGCCATGAAAAAATGCGCAAATAACAGGATCGCGGCAGCAGCTCCGAGGAATTCACGTGCGGAACAAAACGAGCCTTATGAGTTTTGGTATGCGACGGTCAAATACCACACCTCTTACCAGATCGGCATTCCATTGGACCCCTGCTCCGTCTGCTACTCTTTCCCTCTCTCCCTTTTCCCGATATTATGCCAAAGATGATTTCTTATTCGTACTTTATCGCTTGTGTCCATTCCGGCGTATGAATGTCGTAGGGAATAACACGTGGTAACGCCGCGCAAATATAAAGATCTCGCGGGGGAAATATTCAAAGTTTATGCGTTTATGCGTTTATGTTTCAGGACTAACGATATTGCACGTAGGTGAGAATGCGTACCCCTGCTGAAACCGAGACACTGACCCAGTCCGAAATGTATCATCTGAATACCGAGGAGACGGGAACGTCCGCTGACGTGAGCCAAGTAGTCCTGTCGTCCCCTCATCCGGAGGCTCACATCTTTACAAACAGGTAGTTTTCCCTTTTACTCGCGGATTTCTCGCTTGGCGAGCAGGTATGCAGACTCTTTTTTAAACAAGATTATCTTCCCGGTGAGACGAATCTGTAGGGGTCAAGTTCGAAAGAACATTCATGTCCAACTGCGGATATCGCGATATTCCGACGCGCACTACGCCTGTTCAAATTCAAAATTGCGCGCGCCACCTTGGATCTCGACTTGGACATCGATGCTTGCGCATCGAATCGAACGTTCGATGCATCGGACACTCGCGACAATTAATGGCGGCACGAATGGAATGTATCTTTTTGCAAACAACGCGCTAACTTCATGCCGAGTCTCTGGGAAACAGACTTTTTTCATCGAATATCGCGGACATTGGACCGAAATGCGTATCACGCAAAGGACGTATCAATGAGAGCTGGTGAATTAGCAACGTAGTTTTCTTCGCGTCGCAAACGTAGTAACGTTATCGGAATACCCAACGATAAGCGAGAGACCTGTGAGTCAGAGAGAGAGAGAGAAAGAGAGAGAGAGAAAGAGAGAGAGAGAGAGAGAGAGAGAGAGAGAGAGAGAGAGAGAGAGAGAGAGAGAGAGAGAGAGAGAGGAGGGGAGGGGGGGAGTGGGAGAAACAGTAAAGAGAGTAGTAGAGGTAACTTCAGTCTGGTTTACGCTGATCTACGCACGTCAAGCCAGTGAGTACACGTATCGCGTGAGTGCGAGCGCTTGCGTGTGTGTCTCTCGACGAGTTTTCGCGCTCGAAATTGCCGTCCGCTCGACGGTATATTGTAACTCGACCTTCGTTTCGTCGCGCGGTACAGTGCCCTCGCCACATCCATATGCTACGCACAGCACGATGGTCCTCGCACGATTCTTCCTTAGGAAAGGCCAAAGCAACGAGGCTACTAGCGCCGTCAGCAACGTCGTCGTTTCGAACAACGTCGTCATCGGCACGAGGAGGTGAGTGCGAGGGGGAGAGAGAAAGAGAGAGAAAGAGAGAGAGAGAGAGATTTCGCGATATCGCAAATATCGTTGAGCTCGAATGGAATGCGTTCTTGATAACGTAGCCATCGAGATCCAGGGCCCGAGCAATTGCTCCGCTGTATCTCATCGGCAATTCTGATTTCTCGACATGAGAATCAATCGATCAATCGATCAACCGAGAGAGAGAGAGAGAGAGAGAGAGAGAGAGAAGAGAGAGAAAGAGGGAAGACACGCGCTGGATCTATGCGACGATAGATATATCGTTTCGCAGCGGGCACCGCGACATCAGCCTGCGGATTACGAAGAAACGTCGGGCAGGGATTAACAATAGTAAAGAGTTGACGCGATACCGTCTGTTCCGATGTATATCATGTGCGAGCAATATCTCCCGATAATTTCAAGTCATCAAGTCAAGCGGTAACGCTGTACGGATTACAAACAGGCTGGAACCTGCAAGTATTTGTTGTATACCTTGTGTACTGATCTCTCTTTATTCCTATCACGTTCGATCTGTCTCCGTTTTCCGCATACGCGGAGAGCGGCAGTGCAAAAAGCACATTGTTCTTTAATCAACCTCGAATTTCACGATACGGCGCTCGCATGAGTTTGTAGAACGTCGCCGTGACGTTTGTCCTCCGTGTCTTTGTTCTCCGTGACTGTTTGTGCCAACATCCGGATGTATCAGGCCTGTAAAACAACAAAGATCCTCGACGCCGTCACCGACATGTCAAAAGTCGAGAGCTGAATTGTCCCGTATACACACATTGTTAGTTTGTACGCGATAAACAGATCGGCTATGCGATCAAGGCGTTACCAGTGTTCTTTGATTGTTATTGCGACAAGCACGGTCCATCAACGTTCTGAACCACTGAACGATACTGGCAAACAGCTGATACGGAAGGTCTGCACGTGCGATTCCGGATACATAGTATGCACCTTCAAAACGCGAGTACGGTTCTCTCTCTCTCTCTCTTTCCCCCTCTCTCCTTCCTTCTCTCCTTCCCTGCTTCCCTTCTCTCTTCCTTTGCCCCGTTGACATACGTTGACGTCGTGTATAATCAGCTTTTCTTGTCGCGAGCATGAGGAAAATCGTCTCGTCTCGGCACAGAGAAGCATACCAGGGAGTCCGAGATAGCCATGGTCTCTCCTCAAGGCCACATCCTCTTGAAATATCAAGGCCACTTTCACTAGCGTAAACGGAAGGACATATCTTTTGCGAGATACGCGACTCTGTGTTGCATGAAATTGCAATTACACTCTATTGTCTTTACTCTCTGCGTCCTCCCACCGTCCATGAAAGAAAAAAGTAATTGATACAAGGAGATACAAAATAGAGAGCCAGGCTGAACTTTCCGTCCGATAAAAGTGACATTTTGCCTCTGAAACGAGACATAATTGAAAAGTACTTTCGTAATTGCAGTTACAAGACACACGTGTTATTTGACAAAATTGTAAAATTGAATTCTTAATACGACTACGTGGATTCACGCAATCGTGGACAGATCGCGTAAAATTAGTCCGGTGCGCTTGGATTTTAATTTAATCCGGGTGCATCGTTAAGGCGCGCGCATCAAAGAAGAGTATTTCGCAATTAGCGCAATTAGCGCGCGACCTGTCATCGATTGAGCATGCCGTGCGAATCGCGTCCAAACGCCGCGGATATTTTCTTCTCCTTTTCTTCGCAATGCTATCAATGTGCTAGCGAACTTGCTCCCGTTTCCTCCGCGAAGAACCGATTAACGGAGGGACACAAGAAAAGAGATGCGGAGGACGTATTATGGTTGGTGCAAAAATTTGGATAAAATTACGTGCGCTCGTCAACAGATCTCTTTGTGTGCGCAGTGTCGCGCGTTGTGTATCAGTTATCAATAACTGATAGCCAATTCAAACACGAAGCGCTCCGACCGCGCTTGTTTATGCAATTCCTTTTACACGCGCGCGCGAGAGAGGATGCCCGACTTATTTATTTTTAAATGTCGTATCGCGCGCGAGATCTCGCATCGCGTCTCACGGCGACGAAATACGTACGAGGCCTCGGGAGCGTATTGAAAAGTAGTCAAGCCGTCAAAGGACAAGAGAAAGTGCGATAATCCCAAGTGTTTCGCCGCGAGCGCGAGTTCGTTATATATCTCTCACCGATATCTCGAGATAAGGAGAAACTTGGGGAGACAGCATGGACTTATGGCGCTCTAAAGTACGACGAGCTGCTGGCGGCTCTTTCTCGCATTAGCGACCGAATCATTTTAGACAGGTAAACATATCGTATATATATGTTATACCACACGAATTTTTATTATCCGTTCAAACTGCTGATGCTACGTTATTCCGCAAGAGAGTGCAACGAAAAAAAAAGAAACCGTGATGTCCGAGGAAAAGAACTCGCCTCTTCGCCCGCCGTAGTTTGACGTTGTCCGCTTTTACAATTGCGTTTCTCAGTTATATCGCGACAAAGTTGATCGAGAGGAGCTGTTCAATACACATTGTTTGAAAGAACCTTTTTTATTTTTATTTTTATTTTAAGGGACATCAGTACGCGCACGCGTGTTATTTTCAGTGTGTTGCTTGTTCCAAATTGAAAATTATCCAGCTGGAAAACCCAGTAGCGACGACAGTACTATTCGTGGCGGTTGAGATAGTTAAAATTAGGAGTACATCTGCCTTACGACACAGTAAAAGAATACGCGATCGATAGTCGCATTGAACGCCATACATTGTTGCACTTAGCTGGATATACGCTGTGCTACGATCGCAGCATAATATAAATGTGGCGTACGATGCGATATTATCGATACCGGTAATATAAATCATGATAACGATGAGGATGATAATGATGATGATAAAAAATATGATTGGTCGTATAAAAAGATTGCATCAGATTAAATTTCCCGTGAATGTGATATTTTAAATATTTGTGATGGGTGTACGATATCAACATGCTCAAATGTACAGCATATTCGACGCGTATTGCTATTAAATGACAAAGAAGAAATATTTTGGTGAAGCTCACAACTCTTTCTCTCTCTCTCTCTCTCTCCTCTCTTCTCTCCTCCTCTCCTCTCTCTCTCTCTCTCTCTCTCGATTGTTTCATAAGATAGGTTTCGTCTATAACGACAGTCTATTGTTCGTCGCAAATTATTAACACGTCTGACATATAAAGTATCTGTAACTAATGGATTCTCGAATTAATATTCAAGCAAGCAGTGACACGAGGCCCGAAAATGAAAACTTTGTTTCCTTAATTTAGTTTCACAAGTAATATTCTGTGCTTTGCTCTGCTCACCTTTTTGCGGCCTAATTATGGCGGACATTCAGATTTTACGATAATTATATTATAACAGCTGATTTCACAAAGTATTATTCACTGCCGATCGCTATGAACAATTTGAAGGAGAGTTGCGATATCTTAACGATTAAGTAATTGGCCAAAGAATGTGTCAATTTGAGAGTCAATAAAAACGAACATTTCGGCATCGGTCTCTGCGCGCGCGATACAACCGTTTCATCAGCGATAACAGCAGGTTTCTCTTCTCGGCGCTTGCCAAATGCGCCCGTATGCACATAGAAGTGAAGATAAGTGTCCATCAGCCAGTGTTAGCCGCGAAATGTCATTGACACAAACGCCCAAACCACCTCTCTTTTGTTGCCGCGAACAACGTGCAACCTTGAAAAAAACGCGTATTTGCGAAACATTGTGACTGTTACCGACACAATATCATCTTTGGCCAATGCTTGAAGCCGAAAGAAAAGGCACACGAACTGGATGAAAAGGGGAGAAAAGAAAGCACAGGAAATGAGACATTTGGTATCATCGTTATCTCTCTTGCCATTATCGTTTTAACAGAACCGTTCATGTTTTTTTTTCTTTTTTTTTCTTTTTTCTACATCGAATTGTTTTGGAACTGATGCAAACGCGACGAAATGTATCGGATGGTATATCGTTGCTTTTAAAAGTATTGCTATCAAGATTTTTTTATCACAAAGCACTCATATATATATATATATATATATATATATATCTCTCTCTCTCTCTCCTCTCTCTCTCTATCTCTATCTCTCTCTCTCTCTCCTCTCTCTCTCTCTCTCTTCTCTCTCTCCTCTCTCTCTCTCTCTCTCTCTTCTCTCTCTCTCCTCTCTCTCCTCTCTCTCTCTCTCCGATAATAGTTCCAATAATAGTGCAGCAGGAAAATGTCGAACTTATGATACTGACCAACGATATAATGTAATAATCCGTTGTCATCATAATAGATTCTTCTTCCTCTTACTCGAAATTAGATTATTGTATCCAGAACAGAAATGAGAAATATGTATCTACTGAACCACACACAGTAGGTAGTCAGAACCGATGTTACTGTTAATATCAATGGCACGGAATTTTGCAGTTTTATCAAATTTGAAAATGTAATTGTTCATGTATATCAAATAACATTAAATGCATCGATTATTATTCAGTTTTATCCTCTAGGATATTACGTCTCCAGAACTTATCCTCTAAAATATAATCCGTGACCTAATCTGCTGATTGATTATCGCCGCGACCGATGTGATGCTATATGACATACACACACACACACACACACACACACACACACACACACACCACCCCCCCCCCCCCCCCCCCCACCACACACACACACACACACACACACAAACACACACACACACACATACACACACACATACACACACATATTATCATTCATCTGTAAAAGATAAAATTACGTGCGATCGATTCGTTTTTTTATTGGACCACTTCTTTGTGATGCATCTCAACAAACGTATCGTTAGCAGAACACCAGAGAGAATTCGTTCTGTTAAAAGTAACAAAGAAACAAATATATGAATTAAAATATCAAGTGTATAAAAAATATGAAGTACTTACGAAGACTAAATAGAGAATGACGATGTTTCGCCGGAATCACCGGGAAAATGTAATAACAAAAAAGAAGTGCAAGATGCTGCGTCTTGGAGCGATTATCGTCGTAAATTCAGTGATCGTCGAAATTAGTAAACTTCTAATATTTCGCACGTGTAATATCTCTTTTACTTTTGTGAAATGTATAAAAAAGACGATATCGTGTGATTTCGTGTGTTACATTCGATAAAAGCGGAAAATGGTATCTGCATATATAGTAAGACGAGTCTATACCAATGTGAATAGTGTGTGTGTAACAAGGAGGACACCGCGGCACGAATATATTATTAACGTTTACGTCGCCTTTCTGAGAGAGAGCATTCTGAGAGAGAGAGAGAGGGGGGGGGGCGGAATTGGCGAACAAAGAAGATGTGAAAATGGAAAAGCTCGCTTACAAAGCGTGCCGCAATTGATTGGCGTATGTTGTTTTCAACGTCCAGATTATACGGGTGTCGATTGCACGTTTGACGTGTGAGAAAAAATACGTGCATATAGGCACGTATGCACGATATAATACCGAACGTCGTTCGACGTTAATCCGAATTCACCGCTCTCCTCCCCCCTCCCGCTCTCGTTTCACCGATCTCTATGTGTTTAATCGCGGACTCGTGGAATTATTTATTCTCATTCTCGCTTGATATAAAGCCGCGCGAAGAGACGTAATAAATCTCGCGGATCTTATATTTTCAGCATGTTATGCATCCAAGAGGAGCTGGGCCAGCTAAGTGCGATCGCAGGGAGTGCCACAATCACCGATTCGCGAGAACCTCAATTACCTAACAGCAGCCACACCAACTCGGAAAATAATAGTAATTCCAGTGACAAATGTAGTCCTGGATCGGGAAGTCTCGATTCGCAGCGATCCAGTTGGGTCGAAGGCATATTAGGATGCATGCGTCCCGTTTGGACTATGCTGTCCAAGGCTACTGTTAACGAGAAAATCAAAGGTCATTCGAGTAAGTCCCTTACAAGTCATCTCTTCAGTAGTTTTCTTTTTCCGCGTTACCCTTGCCTTTTTCCTCGATGAAATTCCGCTGAAAAAACTATTCAATATTATGGTTTAATTTTCTTTCCTATTGTATAATCTCAGATTAGTAAAAATTAGCGATCCAAATATCAGTCCAAATATCATTGCGATACTTTGTGTAACGATCGAAGCAAGAATAGGTCGAGTTTGTAATCGTGGAATTAGCAAGTCAAATTTGGCGCACAAGGACGATTAACGTGGATTTCATTTCAGCGGATGATTGGGAGATACCTTTTGAATCGATCAGCGAGCTGCAGTGGCTCGGGTCCGGTGCTCAAGGTGCAGTATTTAGCGGGAAACTAAATAAGGAGGTTGTAGCTGTAAAAAAGGTGAGAGAACCGAGAGAGACTGACATACGCCATTTGCGGAAGCTCAATCATCCGAATATTGTACAATTCAAGTAAGATCCGCCATTTCTTCTGCATTATTGCCGCTTCCATCACAACATGGAATCAACGTAAATTGGATATATAAAACATACTGTTTTACGTTCGCAGAGGAGTGTGCACACAAGCCCCGTGCTATTGCATAATAATGGAATTTTGTCCATACGGACCATTGTACGACCTTCTGAGAGCCGGAGAACCGGTTCCTCCTACTAGATTGGTGTCATGGTCAAAACAAATTGCTGCAGGGATGGCATACCTTCATTCCCACAAGATCATCCATAGGGACCTCAAAAGTCCAAAGTAAATGTGAACAAGGCGAAGGACAATATCTTCGTCGAGATATCAGTTTATTCAGAAATTAATTAAGCTATCCTATATTTACGGTGTGTCACCCTTCGCATACGAATTTTTCGATAAATTTGCATGTATATGAATTTTTCCGGACTTTTGTTAAGGAAGAAATTTACTTCAAATTGGCTCATATAAATTTAAAGTGACGGAAGGTGATTCGCTTAGATGTTGGGGTTTTATACATGCGATACAGCATTTCTCTCTGTATAATAAAAAAGAGCAAAAATAAAATTAAGAAAAAGTTACGTACACACAGAGTGAAAATACGGTAATACGGTTTTGTAAATAGAGATATGTTTGAGACTTTTGTGCGTAAAGTATTTACCGCAGAATAACGAGGAAATTATTGTACTCGCAGCGTTCTGATAGGACAAAGGGAAGTGGTGAAGATCAGTGACTTCGGAACGAGCAGGGAATGGAACGAGATTAGTACAAGAATGAGTTTCGCCGGCACCGTGGCGTGGATGGCGCCGGAGATTATTAGGAATGAACCGTGCTCGGAGAAGGTGGATATATGGTCGTATGGCGTCGTATTGTGGGAATTGCTCAGCGGCGAGATACCTTACAAAGACGTGGACTCCTCTGCTATTATTTGGGGAGTCGGCAACAATTCTCTTCGCTTGCCGATCCCGAACAGCTGTCCCGAGGGTTACGGTCTACTGGTTAAACAATGCTGGGCGGCTAAGCCGCGTAATAGACCGTCCTTCAAGCTTATCGAGATGCACCTCTCCATCGCGGCTGTCGACGTACTCTCTACGAAACCTGAAGATTACTTTAAGGCCCAGGTACGACTCTCATTCTTTACATCAGGGCCTTAATATTTGCTCGGGTTTGACACTCGTCCAGGCAGCCCCGATTATTTGGACAGCGGATAAATAGGATTGTCCAAAAATATCTGAATAGTTATTGCATAATTATTTTGAGTTTTTGGATCGGAACCGGATATTCTTGGTATCTCAACTTGGTATCTTTACTTTGTATCTTTCTATTGACATTTATCTAAACACAAAGGGATATCTCTATTTCCTTTGTACCTTTATCTTGATACAATTTTCAGTACTTGCTATGCTTTTGAAACAAAAGTGACGCGAATGCAGAGTGAATTGTGTGATAACAAATTGTTTTTGCTACAGCAATCGTGGAAAAAGCAAATAAGAGAACACATGATGCAGATGCAATCGAATAGCAACAGCAGTCCGCGCTTCGAGGCCGATTTAATTCGGCGAAGGGAAGACGAATTACGACATGCTCAAGACATCAGAGAACATTATGAGCGCAAGCTCGAGCGAACCAACAACCTGTACTTAGAATTGAGCGCCGTATTATTGCAATTGGAGCTACGTGAACGAGATGTGATAAAGTAACATATTATACTATATATTTTCTGTGAATACAGGCGATATCTTATAGCATATAGACAAATAAATCAGAAATAAATGTATCTGCAGGAGAGAACAACAATCTGGATACAAACAGTGCAAGAAACGTCTTGTCCGTCCTTTATTGAAAGCCCAGGAAAGGCTTTATCGTAAACGGAACGGCACAGTGCACTTATCCACCTCATCCACGCCTACTACTCCACCTTCACCCACAGATCTGCCGCAGAGTCCTGTCAAAGCCACCATGTATACGCAGTTGAACGAATCAAACCAGCCAGAAAGCATTCTAGCACCGAGTAATAGTTTCAAGCAACGTAAATACAGACATCGTAGAGTGGGCTCGGGCTGCGGCATGAGCTCCAGTCCTAGATCGAGCCCACATCGTGAAAGAAAAGTAAGGACTTGGCTGATAATAGTATGCGATAAATGATAAATCGTTTTAACGATGCGCGATTGTATGCGAAATACATGCGTATATTTAGCGCGCGCGCGTGTGTATATATGCATATATATGTATATATGTATACACGCATATAAATAGGTTATTAATTTATAATTATAATTAAAATAATAAAAAGTATATTCTGTTGTCATGTCTTATAATCAGGAAGACTCTGTTTATCAGTTAGATTTTTAACAAATATAAAATTTAATTAAATATAAAAATTAAATATAAAATTTAACAAATATAAAATTTATGAAGATATAAAATTTACATATTACTCTATATATTACAGTTGGTAATTGTTACTAATACGTGTTACATAGTAGCATTATTCTCATTTTTCTCAGAGCACAGAAGTACCTGCGAGATTCATCGATAATCACACGCAAACGGACATCATGGATATTAGCGAAACCGACCACAGTCCGATAGCGAATGTGACGCATTCTCTGACAGAGAAATGCTCTTTGGACGATGTTAGGAGGCACTCGTTGAGTAAATCAATGGTAGAATGTTTAAACGGGAATCCAGCTTTGCCGGACTCGCATTATAGAATAGAATCTAGTCCATGCTCCAGTCCCGAACCTTTGGATGAAAATAACTCCAACGGAAACGAACGTTTGAAGGATTGTAGCGACGATGATAATCTCGAGACGCTTGGTAGAAAAGTCAGCGAGATTATAAACGCGAATCGTCTTATCTCACCCATTGACAATGGAAACGACGAGGATGTCCTGTTATCTCATAGGTATTGCACACTATCTGCCAGAATATAATATCTGCCTTTATTTATCCGTATGTCATATTAATTAATCCTCGAGCATAATGAGAAATGCAAATTGGCGACTTCATATATTGAAATTATGAACAATTTATAATCAAGTTCTAAACTCGAACTTTTCAATCACATCTCTATTGCTATAAAAAAAATATTTATTTATAACGTAAACAAAACACATTGATAATTTCTGTTGTCGAGATGTTTGTGTCAAAGAAAAACAGGTTAATTAATAAGATTAGTCTATTTTCATTCAACAGCAATTAAAATAGTCGTTAAAATTAAAATCTCTCGAAGTTGCGACACGATATTATTTAAAGATTAACATTGATTAATACGATTAAATGTTTAATAAATTGGTGGAATTGTTACAGTAGGAATAAAGAAGATCCGGCCAAATTAATTCACTTTTGCGGTATTAACGTCAACGGATCAAATCTGCAGCAAGAACAGCCCGATATTATAGTGCGAACAGACACTACGGATGATCGCGAAGATGATGCATGTGAAGAGAGCTGGTCAGACGAAGAAGGGGAGGATCCGAGCTATACTTACAATTACTTGCGACGAAGAAGGTATATTTAATTGTTCTCAATGAATATACATTATTTTTACCCAATTTCTGCAATGCTTGCTACTAGGTATTTAAATTGTACTGTACGATTATATGGTTATGTATGGTTATGTATGTCGCAGTATCGCAAGGAGGCCAATAGCTCCCGGCTGCAGATTAAGAAGATCTAAACAAACGGTTGAAAGAGCAAAGGTGGTGTTAGCTTCTGATGAGGAAAATACTTCTGAATATTCGCATCCTCCGTCCAGTCAGTCCTCCACTTTAGAAAGCAATCCAGATGTTCAAAGAGCGTTTCGTGATATACATGATTCTCAAAAAGTAAGTACATTAGAAATATAATTAATTTATTTTCACAATATTAGCTCTATATATATATATATATATATATATATATATATGAGAAATTGCGAGAAAAACAATATGGCATATCTCACAAGAAATAAGAAGATGGAATTAAAATAATAATGGCCACATTGTACTTTGAACCCAGAGGAAAGAAATGGATGACGCTTCTGACACATCGAGTCAATCAGAAACGGACGAGGTTAGTGAAGTTACAATTGCATCTCAACCGGCGAGTGGAACTAAAAAGATAGAGAGCAGAGTATAGACTAGTTTTTAGTGTAATTTTTATATCTGATTTGTGAACGATTTATAGCGTAGTTACTGCCCAGTGAATTCGGTGATTACATCCTTCATTCTGCAACTTGTGTTAAATATGTAGATATTTATCTATTCATACCTGTACACACATCTGACATTGGCGCGCGCACACACATACTATACATATAAACATATGCATGCATTTATGCATCACACATTACACACATGTGCGCGCGCGCGCGCGTGCATATACATATATATTAAGAAATATGTAATATTATTTAGAAGACATAAGCAAACAATTCTCATACTCTGAGATTCGACTCCTTACATCTTATTTGAATATGGTAAATTCAAATGATTTTCGAAACATGCTCGATCATTGTTTAACCAGCTGTCAACTGGTGGTAAATTAGATTAATATTGCTCAAGTTTGAGTTATACTGAGAATCTGTTCCGCAATATATATTGAGACATAAGATGATTGTGACTTAGATCTATTGTACGATTATTATATCGCAAATCTAAATATGAAATATGCTTCAAAGGGTATCATTCGCAAGTGCAGCAGTAACGTTATTAGTATTATACGAAATTGCTATGTATACTCAAGTTGAAGGGACGTATATTTATTGTATCTTGTACTTTGTGTTCACAGTTCCTTTTGAACACGCGCATATGTCAATCTCGAGCTATAAATTTAATTTCATAAATTTAACCGTGCATAAACGACCCCCGTAGAAATAAGTTTTCTATATGTTGAAATGAAGGAGACGGTCCTCTCTTCACGGTGAAAAACTTCATACATTTTTCTCCCTGTGCATTGTGTTTGTGTCTGATGAAGTGAAAAGGCGGTTATAGATGGCCGTGCTTACAAGTGCATCGGGCTAATGATATTATATAAATATGCAATTTAAATGTGAGTTAGAGATGCGCTCTTAGGGAAAAAGAACAAGATCAAATAAACCACCCCTCGAGACGGAATAGAATGTACAACATAACAATAACGATTATAAACGAGTTTTATGACATAAGTGCCTATGGCAATTTGCATGCAGTACGTCGACCATGACGAATCGAAGTGTCTAGTGAAAGTTAGAAAAATTGATAAAATGATAATACGCAATTTAGTCTTTGAAGCATGTATTGAAAGATATTGTTGTACCCATGTGATCTTTTATATTTACAATGAATATACACATACGAAGATACAGACGTTACATAAACGTTAGACCGAAAACAAGATGAAAATTACAAAAAATGTGAAAATTCTCTTCTTCCCAAAGCTATGCTCTATTTACGATAATAGGGGAAAGTACTTTCTATCCTGTTATATCCTGTACCTCTCGAGAATATGTATGCTCATACGTAAGGAACTTGACTTTATCTTACAACCAACAAAAGTCAAGGAGAATATAAGTTTAGTGATTGCGTACTTATTGATTTCAGCATTTATATATAAATCTTTTTTGTAAATTATACACACATACATATATACATACACCTCCATATACACACACTGTGTGTATGCGTGCATGATGTGTGTGTATATATATGTGTGTAGTTTAGGAAGAGAACTGTATTATATAATAGTCGAATGTGGTGCAGGTTTCAAGAGTTTCAAGATGAAGCTCAAACAATAGCATTTGGACTGCACACGTGAACATCATACTCATTCCGCGAAACTGGTATTACTAATTTATCGTAAGCTCTAAATGTCACATACGCATGTCTACGAATTACTTGGTTACTTAATTACTGGAAAAGGAAGGAAAAGAAAACATGTTTTGCATCGATCTATTGTACCTGCTTTGAAACTCAAATTGCCTTAATGACAATTATATACATCTGTATCTGTAAATATAGACAATACAACGGGAACCTAGTGTGTAAGAGATAGAATAATGTTTTGATGTGCTCATTTGAACGAAATAATTCACAAGGCATTTAGAGATAAAAGAAGAAACAGACGAAGACAGAGAGAGAGAGGGGGGGGATGTACTTTGTAGCAATTATACGTATTGTATCCATCATATTTATGCGAGTAGTTGCATAAATAGTTCCTTTTCGTGCAGTGGCAGCTAAACTGACTAGTTCTATTATTATATAATAATAGAAGCAGTACACAAAATTTGTGTTATATATATATTATATATATAAAATAAAGTTGATTTACACAATGTATTCTATCTCACTCTTTGTATGAAACCAGTATAAACATATTGTAGTGTGCGTACATGGATTTTTGCGAACATCCTATATGAAGAAAAATTCCAGATATATTTCCAAGATATATTTTAAAAATATATGTAGATTTTTTTGTATCATCTTTTTCAATGCATTTATACACTTTATTTTAAAAGGGCCATCAAGTTTATGAGTGAAAATTTCCAATTGTCTACGAGGAACGAATAAGAACAATAATATTAAAAACAAGATTGAAACATCGATCGGTTGTTTAATTAGTTCAATAATTTTATAAATAGCGATTTATATATAGTATACATTTAATTTTGTAAATATCCATAGAAATAATTATGACATCATCAAATTAAACACTAGAATTCTTTTACTTTTTATTCGATTGTACATATTATATTATGACTTGAGAGGATGTGTATGTTTAATGTTCCACATCCTAAGCTATATAACAATTTCATATCGCAAGCTTCTCTAATAGCAAAAGATCTCCTTTATACGGATAGAATTCGTCGTTTAATTTTATAGTACACGGGACACATATTTGATGAGAGAAAAAGAGAGAGAGAGAGAAAGAGGGAAAGAGATTATCTTTAATCAAGTTACAAGTCCAAACATGCATGATTGATAAAATACAAAAAAAAAATAAAGCTAACTTTTTATACAAACATACATAAAACATACCTCTCTTTACAAACGGATGTAAAAACTTAGAAATATGTACATGTTAATTTTCTATTGAGAGTATAAGATCTTATATATTATAAATTGTAAAAATTGACTGATTTGTTATTCTAATTATTATCAACCATAAATATTGAAATAGAAGTATAGCAGGAAATAAATATTCAACTGATTAATAATAATAATAATAATGATGGATCGATCAAGATCATTATAAATTACTTTGAGATGTTCTTGTCTCTGATGTACAATTAGAGGATATCTATACACCTGAATTACTGTTGTCATCTTCCAGTGGTGAACGAAGAATTAATTTCGAATAAAATTTAATTAACATTCTTATGTTATATCTGTAAGTTCTACCAGTAAAATGAATTGCTTAAAAATTCAGCTGTAGATTTATATAAGGATGAAGCACTTTGTTTTAAACCAGTAAACAGCGATACGACTCCTTCTTTATCATCTTCTTGTTCTTCCTCCTCAGGCAAATAATCAGGCATTTCTTCACCGTCGCTATTATCACCGGATTGCAACTGTAAGGAATTTATTATATTTCTATTATTTCGATTAAGACAACCTCTGCATCAAAATAAAAAATCAATCAGATTTATAGAATAGATATAAGCTGCAAGGAGCAATTGGAACATAACGGCAATATTTACCAATTTCACGAGAAATTCTTGATTAAATTTATTTCTTGTAACCAATCTTGCTTCCATGTTATCCGTATTCTTGTCGATTGCTTCCGCGATTTGTTTTGCGGTGACGTAGCTTAAAGTACGCATAGTTACACGTTGATGTTCAACATCGACAACAAGCGAAATAAGACCTTCGATTCTTATTAGAATTGCCTCCAATTCGGCGCGGGTTTCCTAATAAATTATTTCACTAATGTAGTTTATAGTTGCGACTTATCTTTTATGTGTACAATATTAACAAAGAGAAAATTTCTGTAGTTTACCGGCAGTAAACCTTGAACATGTAAAACTATCACGTGTGTCTTCAACTTTTTAGGTTCTATGACTCGTCTGCAACGACTACGTAAGTTATATATAGGTGGTTTCATACGTTCTATATCATCTTTGATGTTTTGTGCTTGATTTGATATCTTTGGTTCGCTCAGACTATACTTATTTATAGTTGCTTCAAGTGATTCACGCACACCAAAGGTAGACGTTATGTGTATATAATTATCTACATTCTTGACAAATATCTCCAGAATGTCTAAAGCTAAAGCAACAACATCTATGTCAGGTACTTCCAAGACATACGCTACATACGACAGGACCGTTTTATCCTGTAACATGAATGACAGGGTAAAATATATTCTTTTTTGCACAAACTATATACATGAAAAAAATTACAAAAACTTTTTCACACAAAATCACTATTGGAATGGAAAGATCAGCAAGAGCAATAAATTCTATGATATACAAACTTTTTTAAGAATTCTTATACTACCTTCAGAATAGTATCATGGTTTGCAAAATCGATCGCAAGCTTTTTATATGTCTGGAGGGTTTCCTGTAGTTCCTGTGGGTCTAGAGATTCCTCTCCGTCCATTGCTCACAGATGTTACATTGACATTAGATATACCTGAGACTCGTATGTCCAAGCAGATTAGATTTATAAGATCTTTTTAACGAGATTCGTATCGTTTTTCCGACAACAGAGACCAACTATTTTACTACACATCACCACCGAGAATCGAGTATGTCCTCGCGCTAATACGAGACACACATGCCGTCTTCTCGGTTATTACGCCGTAACGACGTTAATCTGATGATCAGTCTAACCTTATCTCAGAGGGGTTCCTCAAGGCAATGTTAAGAGAACCTGCCTGCAAACACTGCGAAAGAAGAATGGTAAAGCGGTTGTATTTGGCATTTGATCAAAATCGATCGACGAGAGACGTCGCTCTGAGACGTCAGTCGGTTTTATCAACACCGTAGAGAGGCAGAGTACAAGAGCTGACACACACAAGCAGCAGGTTAACTGAGAACGCGTTACAATCTTGCAACGGTAAATAATGCTAAAGATACATACGCAGCATCGATCGTGCGTCAATGTACGAGCATACGAATACCCGTTGTAAACAACGTGCGTGGGAGCGAATACGCACCTTTGTAACTTCCTCAGGCGCGAGCGTACAGTAAAATCATCCCTGACGATTGTTTGGACGATAAATCGACACGCCAACGGCCCAAAACGTGGCAGCTTCACGTTTCTACCAGCTGACTACGCTACAGCTGATCACCGGCATCCATGGTGTACAACGTCAATTGGTACTGACCAGCTGCTAGCAAGGGAGAAAACTGGAGGAGCAGTCCATCTTAAGACCGTTGCACTCGCTGTAGTCATGAAATAGACAGATATCAACACTCCGCGGGAGAAAGAGACAAGCACAGTGAAGTGCGGGCATCGAGTGCAGTGCCGTGCGAGATACAACTAATCGCAATGCGCATGCGCGGAGAGTCACGTGACGGGCGCGCGAAAGTTCGAGGAGAACGCGCAGCACACTTCAGGGGCGATGGTCAGTGCGCGTGGCGCGCCTAACGGCCGCGCAACCAAGCAGGATAACATGGCCGACGCTCGGCCAATGTCGTCTATTAGCAGTACGGCGGTCGCGACGACATTCGTTTCGTCCCTCTGATGCACTCGCTATCAATCGAACGTCACCTACAGTTTCACTCTCCTGCGGCACTCGACTTGAACGATCATCAGCGTGTGCAAAAGAAAGAAGTCGACGAGCGACTTAGCGTCGACTTGGCGTGTAACGTCGTCAGCAAGACCGGCGAGAGTAGGGGAGGGTAGAGGTAGGGAGAACTTCGACCGAGGGAAGGGAGAGTATATTTGTCGTGCACGGATGCGATCAGGTCATTCGGGGAACGCGCGTCGTACGAAGAGCGCGAAGTACGAGCGGAATGTGTCGTCGTCGACGACGACGACGACGAGGGTGACGTTATAGTGAACTGAGCGCGTTTCTCGCTAGGTGACACGATTATTCTGGTGTGATTATTACAGTTGTACATGTGCATGCGATCCGTTGTGCGAGGAGACATGGAGTTCGTGATGATAAAGGATATTCGACCGGGTCAGAAGAACATCAACGTAGTGTTTATCGTTCTAGAAGTTAGCCATCCTACTATTACCAAAGAGAACCGCGAAGTTCGAACGTTCAAAGTGGCCGACAGCACGGCTTGCATGAATGTTTCCATCTGGGACGAACCAGGGCAGCTCTTAATGCCGGGCGACATCGTTCGACTCACTAAAGGCTATGCCTCGGTTTGGCGACAGTGCCTGACACTCTATTCCGGCAAGAGCGGCGACATACAAAAGATCGGAGAGTTTTGTATGGTGATAAATGAGCAATTAAATATGAGCGAACCGAATCCGGCGTTGGCGCAGCAGTTGGTCAATCAGAGCGGCTCAGGTCCACCCGGTAGCAACGTCAACAACAGCATCACCAACAACGGCAACGCGAACAGTATGTCCGGTCAACAACCGGTCGGACGACAACCGCTGGTGCGTAAACGTATGATTGCTTGAACACCTTTAAGCCACCTGTCTCTATCTGTCGAGAGTACCCATACATCTCTTGTTCGTTTCGTCTCTCGTGTCATGTGTGCCATACTTATCGCAACGAATGTGTATGTTATTATAGATCAAATTGGAGCACACAAAAAGTGTGCAGTAGCGTACAATAATCGTCAGGCTGAAGGCATAAAAGCTGCGAAAGAAGGGAAAGAAAAAGCGTTTACCCACGAGACGACGTTAGCAACGAGTCTCTCAACACGCGCGCGCGCACAGCACTGGATACCCGTCGAAATATATCGAATTTACATCAATTCACGGCTGATGTCCTTCGGCGAACGCGATATCTCGTAATAATTCACGATAATGAGCGATTTGCGCGGCAGGAAAGAGAAGGCAAAAACTACTTCACGATATGTCGGGGAGTCGAGGATGTTGTTCGCGCCTACTTGTGTCTCGTACCTCTCGTTCCGCCTAGTCACAATGCTCGGATGTTTAATTACTGCCGAGCGGACTGTTGTCACGTTTGACACGTGTAATTGTCGCGAAACTGTCGGTTCTTTGGCATAATTCAAACAATATAAAGAGCACCGTACTCTCATATGTTCGCATTTCATCCGCGCGCGCTCGCGTTCGTCGTAACAAATGCTCGCTCCTTTGTCATTACGATGAGATATTGAGACGACGGTTTCGTCCGACAAACCGACTTAAACGTGCAGATGTAACTTCACCTTCACAGAGAAGTTTCCCTGCGCTACTTCAGAAGCGCACGTCTTTTCTTTCCTTATAGTCGATCGCACGATTCAGCACGCGAAAGGCATAAAGAATCGACAAGTCAAGTGATACGGCTCTCCTTACGGATGCATAAATATATCTGGACGAGTAGTTAAGGATCAACTAAAACTTGGTGCGATCTTCCATAGGCTATCCAGAGTAATACAACGGCGGGTAGCGGTGGGACGACTGGGGGTTCAACGACCGCCAAGAGCGGGAACAGCAACGCAAGCGGTGGCATCGGTAGCAGTAGTAGCGGTACAGGCGGTGGTGGTGGTGGAGGTGGTGGAGGCGGCGGTGGCAGCAGCAGCAGCAGCAGTAGCAACGTTAGCAGCAGTGGCTCCGGTCTACCCGGTAGCTCGGCGCGGTACTCGTCATCCGACTCCACGACGAGCAAGGGTGGATCAAGCACGAAGAGCAACTCGCGCGGTCGCGGTGGTTACAGAAACGGCGGTCGCGGCGACCGTAGATAACACACGAGAAGAAAATGTCTCATCATATATGTGTAACAATGCGATGAGACGCGCGTGCGCATATACACACGCGCGTATGTATGCACGCACGTTCTCGTCACTGTCGATCGTACGTTCATATAGCCAAATACGATTGTAATATCGTGTTTTATTTCTTTTTTTTTCATGGATATATCCTTTTTTCTTTTTAATGTCACGAGTCTCGCAAAGCCTACTCGTTGCTCGCCACGAAGACTTCTACCAATGTTGAAGCCGCGATCGAGAGAGCATGATCGAGAGCATCTCGATGTGCGATCCGAGTGAAGCGATTTGCAGAGAATGTAGCTTTGCTTCTCGATGCTGAATCGCCCGATGAAGTATCGATTTCAGATTTTATAAAAAGATTTCACAAGCGAAACCTCGAATTAAACTTGTACAAACAGTAGTTTCTAATGCATTCGCGAGAAAAAAGACAGAGCTACCTTGTTTCTCTCAGATCGTCATTCTGTACGAATATCGTATGGAAAGACACGTTTCAGGACTGGCTGGTTCAGCAATGAGAACAAATCAATCGTGAGTCTCGTGATGTTAAAAAAAAAAAGAAAAAAAATAATTACATATTACAGTCAAGTTCGGCCGTACGAATGTGCGCGTGTAAGGGGGACAAAAACATATTTATAGTGGAAATAAAAAAATTATTATAAGCAGGATTTGTGAGAATCTCCTTTTATCTTACCCGAGCGATCTGTCTGTGTCTAACAACGAGCGCACAAGTTTGACGATAAATTATCACGAACCATCACCGCATATGTAATATCTTGTCACAAGGATAATTTATGTCCGGTCTCGATAACCGCGAGTTCTCGTTGAACACGTCCGGTGTGTTCTATGTTATCGTACGAAAAATCGTTGACATTCATCACGAATCGTGCATTCTCGTTTACTCTCTTGATTTGTGCGGAATCATTTTTTAAAAAATGTCGCTGTGATTTCCTTAATAATTATAGTAGAAGAAATGTCGACTATTTTTTATCACACATACAGAGACTTTTCTAATTCGGCGGAGAATTATTTATAAAATATCAGTACTTGCAAATATAAGAGCATTATACGACAGATATAAATATAAGAATCATTAATGTGACTTTGTTCCAGAATAAGCGGGGACGTGTATACATACCTATCCGTATATATACGCAACAGTATCGATTTCACACGTCGACGCGACGATTTCCTTTTTTTTTTCGACAAGATATAGTGATTACGCGTTCGCGTATAAAGTGTACGATCTTGGATATCGAAAAGAAAACGAAAACAAGCATGTTTGTTCTGTCATTGCCAACCTGACAAACAAACCTTGCGAGCGATTAAAGCTAAAAATTCATTAATATAAAACGATAATTTTTATTCAATTTAGATCGCACAGGCTTGACAGCTCCCGTATTGCACTTTCGTATCTTTAGGTTATGTTCGTGCATGTATATTCCTACGTTACCTTATGTTAATGTCAAGGTAAGCTATCGCAGTTCCATACTGGGTGCGTTCGGGGAGCTTAGGACTATTTAACACTACCGCATCAATCTGTCCTTATTATTATTATATTTTTAAAGAGCGATAAAGATGTAACAATACAGTAGCATTGGTAGCGCGCTCCCCGAACGCACTCACTGTCGGCTTCGCTGCAATCTATGTTTTTCCCATTTTAATCTGAATTTTAATATTTACCTTTAGAAAAGTGTGACGATAATATCATAAATGACATATGAACCTTATTTAAATTTGTGACGTTTGAGCGGCTAGTACGTCGTAGCAATTTTTCACACACACACACACACACACAATGTGATGACTTACTAATAATTTTTTTATATCCGAAGTTATATATATATATACATACATACATACATACATACATACATACATACATACATACATACATACATACATACATACATACATACACACACACACACACACACACACACACACACACATATAATATAGTGCATTTATAGCTTAAGCTTGTGTTCAAATTGTACGATTCAATATAATTTTTACTGTACCGTATCATATAATGATAGCTAGATTGTACTTGTATCTTTTTCTTTTTTTTTCTTTGAGAACCAGTTTTATAAAAGCTGATTAAAAAATAGGACCTTTAATAGTAAAAAAATGATGAAAATGTAAAATAAAAGAAAAATATATATTTGTATAAAATTGTTCTCAAAAATAATTATCTTTCTTCTTCGAAAAGAATGTTACAGATTAATGGTTTCGAAATGTTATAATTGATATACATACATATGTTACAAGATACAATATATTTTTGTTAAAAAACATAAGAATCTGCTTTTTTATGTTGTCAATGAAACTATGCAGAAGAAAAATAAAATATGAATTCTTATATTGCTTTATCATTTTTCTTCTTTTCTCTCAGTTTTTCTTATTGTTCTCTTAAATTATCATATATTTCCAATCTGTTCCAGATTTTTTCTTTGAGAATATGACACGTTCACACGTAAAGTATCAAATTGCTAGAGATGATGTAGATACAACAGATTATTTGCCACAAAATATTTCGGAGTTTCAAAATGTATCGAAACTGGAAACTTCATTTTGGAGAAAAGCATCCCAGGCACTTTTATTAATCTCTGCTTATTTTGTTTTATCAGTGGGTCTTACATTTTATCAACCATGGCTTTATAATACATATGTAAGTAATTATATATCAACTAATTATGTCACTTATCTCTCTCCCTCTCCACCCTCTTTCTTTCCCTCTCTTTTTTTCTCTTTCTCTCTGGATACAGATTTATTTTATATTATATTTTTATTACAATATCTTTAGGGATTTAATTTTCCTCTGGGAGTAGTAGTTTGCCATTTGGTTATAAAGTTTATATTGGCTGCATTAATAAGATGCATCAGAAAATGTTGCAATAACAAACAGATAAATCTTCCATGGCAAAGTATAGTTTGGTCATTAATGGCACCTGGTATTGCTAGCGGTGTTGATGTTGGTTTATCAAATTGGGCACTTTCATTGATCCACATGTCCTTGTAAGTATAAATTGTCTTAAAATAATAATTAGAGTGTAAGGCAGTTATGTTATATGTTCAATATTGTAATAGTTAAATGACATTTCCTCATAGATACACTATGACCAAGTCAACCACCATCATATTTATTCTTGGATTTTCCCTTGTTTTTAAACTGGAAAAGAAGGTAAAATAAATTTCTATACATTTCAATTAAAAGAGAGTATTAGACTCGTAGACTATATATATTTTTGATAGACAAATAATTATCATTTATCGTAGTCATGGTCACTAGTAGGAATAGTAGTGATGATAGCAGGAGGATTGGCAATGTTCACATATAAATCTACCCAATTCGATGTTTTCGGATTTATACTGTGTCTCTTAGCGTCATTCTCTAGTGGTATTCGGTGGACTATGACACAACTGATCATGCAAAGATCCAAACTTGGTCTCCATGATCCAATAGAAATGATGTATTATATGCAACCTTGGATGCTATTACCTGCATTATTTGTAGCTTCGTGGTTCGAAGGTAATTTTATAATTTGATCAACTGAATCTTAATAAAACTATATAATCAATACGTAACGTGTCAAAAACCAAAGAACTGAATACTTCTTTTTCTATATCTTGCTTTCCAACACATTGCATGTATTTTATCATAATTCGAGATATATTGCAAACGTATTATATTTTAGGGAGCAAAATATACGACAATTTTAAAAATACCGATTGGAACGATATCGGTAGTGTTTTGATAACTGCAAGTGCTGTCATAGCAGGTGCCATTTTAGCATTTAGTATGGAAGTAATGGAATTCTTAGTTGTTACTTATACTTCTAGTCTAACGTTGTCGATCTCGGGGATATTTAAGGTAAATAGTGACTGTAATTAATTTCACTACCTTCTACATACAGTACACAACATATATCTTTATATTCTCTTCCTAATTAAAATTATGACAATTATAAAATCAGTCCGTGATTCGTTATATTCATTATATACACATTCAGATATAACGTAAAATATCAGAGACACTATGCTTGTACAAGTTACTGAATTTTTATTGTACAGAGTAATATTCCACTGACAAGATCAATATAATTCTTACATTAATATGCTTTATTACAGGAAATATGCATATTAATACTGGCCTTTGCTTGGAAAGGTGACCAAATGACTGGCCTTAACTTCATAGGATTGTTAATGTGCCTTGGTGGTATAATACTTCATGTTGTCCAGAAGATATTGGTTAACAGAAAAAAGGCAGTTGATAATTTGGAATTACAATCGAAGTTACCGAGTGAAAATTCTAAACATGAAGAGAGAACCGATTCGAATATACCATTATTAACAGAAAAATCAACATCCTTAATGAATCTTCTTAACGCCGAATTTAGCTCGGATGAAGATGATAACTCGAAAGAGAATGATAATTCGACGCAAATGCTGTCAAATATTTTGCAACGCAGAGAACAGTGACACATACACATTGTGAATCTTTAGTTCTGATATACGCTGCCGTACGATGCTGTATTACTTTAACAAGAAAAGACATTCCAAACAACGTACGTTTATTTATGCTTGTAGCATTTTATATTTTTGCATTATAAACTTTACAGTTGATAATGAATTATCAACGTCATAAGTTATATTTCGAGAATTGGCATGAAAATTAACATAACGAAAAACTCAAAAAAATATGGGTATTTTTTAGATATTCTTTAAGATCTTTCGGACGAGAATTTATATGAAGTATTGAGAATTGTATTATTTTAAGATAATTTGGTGTGATAAAAGCGCAAGAGTTATATGGATATCCCGCAGAATTGAGAAGTACAAAGATGAAAGTATAATTGACTTTATTGTACATGTATTTCGATATTTAGTAGGAACTAAATTAATATTTTGGACTATAAGCATACACAAGTGTTCCGCTTTATGATATATCAATTTACTTAAATTGGTCGTGATATATAAATCAATCTTCATTTAAAAGATATACTTCCAAAATAAAATAATGATAATTCAATAATCATTTGCATAATAACGTTTTAACATCTAAAACAAGCGCACAATATGATAAGCTTAAATGAAACTTTGTAGCTGAAACAGGCTATTGTAAAATTCAGATACAATTAATTTTATATAGACATTAGAAAGATTCCTGTATGTATGTGTGTGCGTGCATGCGCGCGCACACATGTATGAATGTGTGTGTGTATGCGTGTGTGGATGCGATTTTAAGTCGTCGTAAAATAATAATCAGATAGCTCATATGCGTGATATTCAATATCTTAACGATAATGCATCCTGTCAGTACCAAAAAGAAAATTTAATAAAGTTAATTTTATTTTTATATCCTCATATTGAGGATGGATTTTTTATCTCGTGGTTAGAGCTTAATAAATATTTTACATATGAATGTTACTTCTTGACAGATATATTTATTCTCCCAGTTTATTTCTCTACCACATAAACGGCCCTTCCTAAGAATTACGAAGCTTTCGACAGATTCAACTCAGGACTGAACTTTCCATGTTAATGATAGTACTGTACGTACTATATTCATTAACACTTTGACCGCACGTCAGTCATCCATGAATGACAGTTTTATTTATTCGGATCAGGAACGATTTTCTTACATATTTATAAAGATATTGAATGGGGAAGCAATAAAATATCATCCACGTGGTTTACTAAATGTATTAAAAACAAAATTATTCAAAATTACATTTATCTTACATGATTTGTAAAAAGCAACTCAGATAATACAGTATCGCTCAGATAATACAGTATCGCTCAGAACTCAATTTACATTCAGCGATACGAAAATTTCACTTGTTCTTAATTAATCAGCCAGCATAATTATATCTAGTCGGCCGTTTGTGTCACTTTACGCGGGCACTTGGCGTAAGACACTGTTATGTCTCTTGATAATCATTATGCGTTAAGTTTGTCTTTGTTGTTGATGCTTTTGGATGAAAAAATGTCGGTTTTAAGTTTACATTGGAGAAGTATACTAATTTTCCTGCTATAAGACGTGTGATGTGCGTATGTGCGTGTGTGTATGTGTATGTGTGATATATACATATCTCTTCAAGAGTTTGTTAGTAAATTGATATCCTACAAAGTATAGTCAGTTAGTAGATTGATATCCTACAAAGTATAATCATTTGCGACAAGCTTACATACGTGTTCGTTAATTAAATACGTTCGTTATCATATACATACTTCTAAGTAGAAAATATTTCCAGAAAAGATTGCAATAATTTCATATTGCGGGCTTTCGAATTTCTAAAAAAAACGTCAAGTCATAAATTCGTGTATAAAAGCGACTTACCATATACTATGAACACTCTTTGTCATACGAATATTATAGCGAAAGGGTCAAAATTACATAAAAGAATGGATATTGAAGTACGCGTTGATAGTAGAATTAGTATAATTTGTTTAAAATAATCGGATTTTGTATACTTTATATAGAATTTGAGTTTGACGAGATTCACGCTCGAATTCAGCGTGCGTAGCAGTCAAAATGTTAACACATTGCATACGGTTTGAAATGTTTCGTATTCAGGAAACGTACGTTGAAGCCAGGCCACAGGGTATCTATATCCCGTTTTTAAGCATTTCTATTCTATATAATCACATACTGATAGTACACTAAATTTAAAATAATTTGTCTGGTTGTTTATTCCTATAATAACAGAACCTTATCGACTTGCAACAATAGTACGCTGAAACATGTCATGACACATTATGTATATAATATGTGAGATCTTAGGGAGTGGGTTAGGGAAACACAAGATGCCGTATACAGTGTGTTAACGATCAAACAGGACGCAAGATATGTATTAATAGGTAATTCATGATTATATTCCGCTACGGAATATTCTTAATTTGCTATTGTCAAAGCCTTATTTTAACTTACATAATGCATATCCTTAATAAATAATATGTAACTATAAAATAATCATATATTATATCACTTTTTCAAATAATTATGCTAATATTCTACTATCTAGTGAATAAACAAGAATCACTTCATTATCATAAATTTTAAAAACTAAATGTGTGTATATATGCACATATGCGTGTGTGCGCACACACACGCACACACACACACACACACACACACATGCACGCACGCACACACACACACACACACAAACACACACACACATACCCTACATACAAACGATTTTCTCACTTCTTTGGAATTTTACTCTAATATTTTACTAATATGCAACATTGGTATTCTTTTTATAAAATAAACTACACAACAAATGTACTATATAGATACAATATCTATATCTATACAATTGCTTTCATTATTTATATTTTCAGATTAAATTACATAAGAAACTTTAATTTTATGTACAATTTTTTATATTATTCTGCTATATGCATTAAATAAGTTAAATATTTTTAGACAAGTTCTAATATAATAAGCGGATTTAGTAAGAGTATAGGAAGAGAAGAGGCATTTGGGACCTAATATATATGTGTATATATATATATAAAAGTACGGTTGTAAAGAGATGCATAATAGCTGTGAGTATCATCAAGAGTATTAAAAAGTACAAATGCCGGTTCTCCTCAGAATGCTGTTGATCGGAAAAATTTATTATCCGATAAATTTCATTTGCTTTATAATACTATCATGTTTTCTTACGTTATATGCATTACGTTAACTATACTAATGTTGATAATAAATATATATAAAAAACAATCTCTTTTATGATCATTATAATAATATTTATTATAATGATACTTATTATAATATTTATTATGATGATTATAATGATATCTATAATAATATACAATCTATAATAATATATAAATATGTGTGTGTGTATGTGTGGTACACGCGCACGCATACTCGCGCGCGCGCACATACGCGCACACACACACACATACACACACACGCGCGCGCGCGCACACACGCACACACACATACACGAGGAGAATATAACTATATATTATTATAAATATATTATTACTATAACGATATTATATTCATTATAAATAAATAAGATAACAGATTTATCTATTTTTTACTTGGTTTGTTTGATTTGATTAGTCTTTTTCGATTTGGTTTCGATCCTGTGCTCCAGTTTTTCAATCAATTCGTTCAATTCATCCTAGTAAACGGAAAATGGGATTAAATATCTTGCAGTTTATGCGATTCTTATTAATTTGTTGATATAACAAATTAAATACACAACTAAACTTATATCAGCGTTATACTCACTTCATCGTATGTATACAATAAAGTGCAATGCTTCAAAAGTTGCTTTTTACGACTGAGCAATTGCAAGGCGTGCGGTAAGCAATAAAAACTGTCATCTTGCGAATTGGTCACCATCGAAACAAATAAATTGGCTCTACACGTTTCGCATTCATGATCACCGTCATCCTCTTTCACTTTTCTCCCTTTATTTCCTTTTTTGCTACCTGGTACAGGCACTCTTTCTTTCTTGTTAAGGCCCAGGTTTTCTAGTTGTTTACGATTATCTAATTCCTTCTTACGAATCTTTATCACACTTGGTAATATCTGCAGATACATGATCGATACAAAAATTAACATTTGTTGAATCTCTAATGTGTAGAATGTGGTCGTAGATAATAATCAAAACACATTTTCACATTTAACAGATTCATCCTGATACATAATTCGGATATATCATTATCATCCTACCTGGTTCAATATATCTATCTGAGATCTCGCATCATTAATAATATTAAATAACAATCTTTCAAATGAAAAGATAGATGGTTCACAGCTGTCTTGTATATCCTGAAAAAGCATGCCATACTTTAGTTTCGCTAAACAAGGAACTCGTCGAGTTACTGACCATGATAGAAAATAGAAAAATCTACACACACATACCTTGAACACTTGCTCGGCGGTTTCTAACCAGGATGGTTGTGCGAAATACACACTTTCAGATACCACGTAACCAGTACATATACTCGATGTGAATGCTTTCGGAAATACGATTATAAATTGACCTGGTTCCTGCACGATTTGACATAACGATACACCGTTGTCTACTAATAATTTCGGCGGCACCATAGCAGTATCAGATGGTAACCATATGGTTTTATTTTTACAATATTGTGGCACCATTTTCGAGAGGGCCTCTCGGAAACTGTTGTTGTGTTCATCCGGTATTCCGTACCAGATCTTTTTTGCGCCCGTATGTAGATACTCTATCCATGGTAAACCGTGAGGATCGCGATACCAGCAACAAGCGCTAAATAACATACCTACGTGCAACGTTGGCACAGTTACACCTAAAAATGTAAGATCTTATATTATACTGCTCACACAAAGACATGATATGATGTATCTTCGTTAAAATATGAGATATAGATAGGTAACTTCGAACTGTGTGACAAAATTTTAAACACGTCACATCTTATTGTTATACTCTTGTTTACTCGTTCTCGTAGGGCAAACTTCTAAGATCGTGTGCGAACCGTTCCGGAAAGCTACATACCCATCAATGGACCCAAAGCTCTCAATACCGATCCAGCATTGTTAGTGAGTACTTTGAGATTCCACGGGTGTCTAGCGAATGGGCTGTTTTTAACAACAGGGAAGCCAAAACCACGTCCGCTCGAATCGATACTCGCTGCGTGTACACACACATGTCGTTTTCTTTCGGCAACATGTTTCCAAAATGCGTTTTCCACTTCATCCGCAGAGGCACCTTCAATTTCGTTGCTACCTCGTTGATTTTCACCGAACCACATACGTTGCGTATTGCGGGCGATTCGGTAAAAGGCGTTCAACGGCATGTTTCTCCCCTTTGATATATTACACGATTGATACATTAATATAGTTTAGAATAGAGTAATTGTATCAGTTATCAATATAATAATTATATTGTTTATTTCTGGTATAGGGAGATTCTCCTCGGCGAAAGAAAAAGTTCGACAAAAAAAAGATAGAAAAAAGGAAAGACCAGTTTCTTCTTAATTTTGATAGTTTGCGTAAAATCTTTTTATCTAAACTATACTACTTTTTTCACATCTACACACACCATATGATACAAAGTAAAGTTTAAAAAATGAACGTTTGTAATCGTACTTTTACGATGCATTCCTCAATTTCGTCAGAACTGTCATCTTCCTCTTCATCATCATTATCTACAGACGATGTCTCTTGTCTTTCCAAGGCTTTACTCTCTTTCTTTCTCCATTCTTGTTCAACTTCGTCGAATAATTTCTCGCGTTCCTCTACATTGTTTTTATTATAACATGTGAAAATCTTATAAACATCTATTGTTCAAAATGTAATTCTTTACGATTTAATACCTGGAGATAATGTGTCGTATGGTAACAGATATTTACAATAAATATCATCTAGTTTCGTGACACGATCTTGGGCAGATTTGGGTATCTTCATACCATCTGCCACCTTTTGCCACTTCTTTTTTTCAATGACTTCTTTCAGTCCACCCAAACTTTGGACTGTTTGATACAGGTGAGGTAAATCGACTTCCATTCCACCGATCTAAAACAGTTCATTATCAACGAATATTCAAAGATTTGAACTGCACGATATATCTTATAACGGGAATAAGATGATTTTATACCCATGGTGGATGAGACAAGGTGATACTTTGAGTCGCTAAATACTTCTTGATAGCCATCAGTTCTTTCACATTAGGACCCCATCTGTGAAGCATGCGATGTACATACTGATTGTAAGCGGTGAATCTCATGTCGTCAGATACCTTGCATTCTGGCTGAAAAATTGAAAACAGGATAATATAATCTATGCATATCAGAATAATGTGTTGTTGTTGTTATTATTATTGTTATTGTTATTATTATTATTATTATTATTATACACTAAATTTTTGTATGTTATATATACAGAAACGCTTAAAGATATTCTGACAATGTACTTTTCCTGAATTATTTTTTGTTTATAATAATATATAAATATACTTCGCATTATATATAAAATAAATGATAAGCTAAAAATATTTTGCAATTATATAAATAAATTATCAACTAAATAACAAATTGTTAACAAAATAAATACAATGTATATGTTTCATGTATATCATACAATCTATATTTTGCATAGTACATATATACATATGAGCATTTTGGTATTAAGTAAATCGAAGAAAATTTTATAGTATCCCGACAAGGAGCAACATAAAAATATACTTTATAACACTATATATCCTTAATATCTGATTTCACAACCATTTGTTCGTATCACGGATTCACATCTCCTATACATTCTTATGATGTACTAGATTCGATAAGTTTCAGAACAGTCTCTTGCGGAATTTTCTTCTATTTAGCTTGCACATTAGAAAGGATTCTTGTTCCAACACTTCTCGACACTTAGTTTTAGCACTCAATTTGTCCCACGTGTACTGTCAATTTAGTTGAAATCCGTACTTTGATATTGTCAAAGTCAACATCAAGGGGTTTCTTCCCGAGCAAAATAATATGGTATATACTTTGGACGATGTTGAAGATCATTATTTTGTTATGATATTTAGTTTTGAGGTATATTATATTTTAGCACAAAAGATATCACACATTTATTTTAGATATATTTTTGTGAACAATGCAATTTTCATAATGCTCTCCATGTATTGTAGAAGACCGATACACTTATTGAAAAAAAAGATCCTTGCATCATAACTGACTCCTCCATTATAATTCACAATAGGTATTTGGTTTAAACATATTTTATATCTTTTATTTTAATCACTCCACTTAATACTTTTGACTGTTTCTTTATTGTCAAAATATGGTACATCTTTGCACAATTTCATAAGCCCATTCGTCTTATTCTTCGCCTTTCAACATATGAGAGCATATTGTGCTATAATGGACATCAATTCCATATTTATCCTGTATAACTCGAGCAATTTGTCGCATAGGCTTGTGGTCCTCTCTCTCGACTTTTTTTATAATTTTGTCAATACTCTCTATTATTTCCCGAAGTAGACTTGTCTAAGCTAAGTAGGTAACTTGTTGCTGAATTCCCCAATCGCTGATCCAAAGGCTTATCAGCCTTTCGGATATCCCAAATGTTTGAGAAATTCCACTAGGATTGACTTCCTCCATCAAGGTTTGCTTTACAGCATCCTTAACATCTGCTGTGTATTCCTCATGCTTCGTCTGTTTCGTACTTCGCATTTGGGTGCGTCGAGCAATATGTCATTTCGTACCTAACATAATTTATTTCATACCTAACTATTATATGTAAATTATGAACAAAATTGTATGTGTCAAGAGACTCTTTGACCATTGCTTGAAGAAAATTTCTTCATAAAAATTAATTTTACTAACAACACATTAATATTGATACGGAATACCATATGGAAAATATTGTACTCCCATCACATACACATGTACGATAATTGAAATAATTGCAATCAATGTTTTCCTTATAATCAACTCTTCACTCTATAAATTACGGTCAGAAAGCTTTTTAAGCACTATTCGTGTAACGATATATATATAAATATATATATATATATAACGTTTATATATATATATGTATGTATGTATATATGTATTTATATGTGTGGTGGTGCTGCGCGTTTTTGCTGAGCGGGTGCTATGCTGCGTGTGCGTGTGTGTGTGTGTATGTGTGTGTGCGCTTCATACTTACTTTAAAATTCGCCGGAGGCACGACTTTACATATTCCATATTTCTCGGCAGTCGGTCTTATTTTGTCTATATATTCTAGAGGATCTTGGAAATCCTTCTCTGTTGGACGAAACGTCGGCGCTTCGACTACATGTCTCGCTTCATCATTCGCGTTCGAGAATGTCGTGTTATTGCTCGCAGAAGACGACTCGGATGCTTTCTGTTTGCATTTCACTTGCGACCTGAAAGATACCGCATTATAAATTGTGTACAAGAGCGTGACATACGACACAAAGTATAAGACGCAAAAGGCAGCTGAGCGATTGCTATTGGTGTATTACCATGTACAATGTAAAATATACCTTCTCGCGCTTCTCGACCAATCTATGGGAGGTTTTCTCTCCCTGGTGGATGATTTCAGAGACTTTCTGGCTTTTTCTAAATTACTGCTCGCACTGCTATTCAGACGAGTCGACACCGGATCGTCACTTTTCACTGGCAACGCCGGTTTCACCTCTTTTCTCGGAGTACTTGCCACTACAGTAGTCGGCGTAGTTGCTGCCGTGACCGACGTAAGCATGGAAATCGGCGTGGCCGCTACCTTCATCGGCGAAGTCGATGTCGACGGCTGTCCAATTGTCGAGAAGCCGGGTGGTGCACGTGTTGTCGGCTGTACCGTCCCTACTGGCGTCGGATGACGCGCCATGGACAGCGGCGACTTGGTGACTAATTTAGCTCGAAGGAGCACCCTCTGGTTAGGACCGGCACGTCCCTCTGTGCCGAGCTTAACAGCCACACCTTGTATCACTTGTCGTCCCTGCAAGTTCGGGCCGGACCTCGTGATAGCCTGCAATGGGATGTAGAACAACTGCTCGTCATCAACGTTATTAACGGTTTCTGTTTGCGTGGATATCTCGGTGCTCTTTTGCTGACTCGTGTCGTTCGTCCGCTCGTCGTTCCTAGCTCGCCATTCTTGTGCTTGTTCTTTTACTTGTACTTGTGCTTGTGCTTGTGCGCTCTCGTTGAAATTCACCTGCACCGCAATGGAAGCGCTGCAGTTCTCATTGTTCCAGTTGTTCGCCAGCTTATTGAGCGGTAACACCTGAATGTTGGACAAACCAAGGTTGAACTTGCTCAAGTTCAGAGGGTTCGCTACAGTTATCGGCTCAGCTATAATCTCCTGATCTTTCATCGCGGACGCGTCATGCATAGTAGTGTTCGTCGACTTCTCGCTGCTACTTGGCATGTTTAGACTTTCTCTAACAATCGGGTTGTATACTTCGGAGTCTTTAGTCTTGGACGTGGACGCTACCACGGGCATCGTCGCAGGAGTTACCAAGGATGTTACTGTAGGTGCTACCGTGGATGTTTTCGTCGATGTTACTACTGTGGATGATACTGTCGTGGATTCTGCAGCCGCAGATGCTGCCGTAGACGCTGTCGCCAATGGTATCGTGGTCTCTGCCGCGGATGTTGTCACTGCAGGCATCACTGCGGGCACCACCGCGGTCGGCTTTGAATTCAAGGTCACAATCGATCTTATGACCGGTTTCGTAGTTAACTTCGCGATCGGATTCTCAGCTGGCTTCGCGATCGGCTCTGCAATCGACTTTGCAGAGTCTTTAACTTTCCTCCTGAAGGGCGTGCTAACAGGCACTTCAGTGTCGCTCTCGAACGCGTAGACGCTACTCTCGTTTTCCGGTGAGAATGCGTTCGCATTTGGAGTCACGGTCTTGCGTTCTTTAACCTTCGGCAAAAATGGTTTGCGCGGTTGGAATATTTTCTTCTCCGTCATTATCCTCTTCTCTGAGAGACCGTCCGAGCTTTGATCCGACTTCGGCACGGAATCACTGTTCTCAACGGGAGAGATGTCCTTAGTCGCTTTTTCACTTTTGCTCTTACCGACTTCCATCGAGTCACTATTGGTCTTATCTTTGCTGGTACTGGCAATTGACGGTATGGTCTGGACGGTTTGCGTCTCGGTCTTCGGCGGTATCACATTTTTGTTGAGCGTTTTCAAGCGATCTTTCAGACTCCCTTTATCCACCAATTTGGAAAGCGTGACGTTTACGGGTCGTACCAAGTGCTGAATTTTCGTCGGGATAGAGAGATGCGAGACGTCAGTTTTCAATTTCTCGGTGGAATCGTACCTGAAAGCAGAAACATTCTCCATCTCCAGCTTACTTTCCTCCTTGACGAGCGAGCTCTCGTTCAACCACTTTTCTATCCGCTCGGTCGACATATTCACTCGTTCTTTCCTCGTGTGCAGCGTCGATAACGGCATATTTATGAGATTAGGAGAAACCCCGTCGTCCTCGTGATTGCACTGCTTGCTCGTTTGTTCCGCAGATGATGGCAAGTCCTGTATCTTATGGGACGGATCCGACACTTTTGCCGGTAGCGACTGCTGCTGCTGCTGCTGCTGCTGTTGCTGCTGCTGTTGCTGCTGCTGCTGCTGTTGCTGCTGCTGCTGCTGCTGTTGCTGCTGCTGCTGCTGCTGCTGTACATGCATAATGTTACACTCGTCATTCGACGACAAGTTCGCGACTGAAGTGCTGGCTTCGACCGGCAACGTTTCTTCCTTATGCTTATGTAAACTCACGCTTTGATTCACCAATTTGTCGACCGGTACGATATCCAACATCTTGACGTAATTGAGTTTCTCATCGACTAGCAGATTCGCATTGGCGTGCGTCTGACATGAATCCAAAACTTTCGATATTGCCTTCTTGGTAAATCCGCGGAAAGACTCCTCGTCGTCCGATATCTTGGACATATCTACTTTCGTATTTTGCGCCTCTCTGCATTTTGTCTCGCCGTTTTTCACATTATTAACATCTTCGAGGCTCTGCTCTCTCTCCTCGTTGCTCTCTCGCTTCTTCTTTATTTTGCTAAGCAACATTCCTAATGTTTCCTCCTCCGACTCTACGTTCTCACTTTGATCGTTTTTCAAGCTCTTCGGCTTAGATTCGTTGATCTTATCCAACGATGGCTTCGATGGATTTGAATCCCGTTTGCGTTTCATCGTCAATTTCTCGCTGACCGATTTTATACAACTTTGAACTTGAGTCTTCGGTTTGTTACTCACGTTACTCGTCTCCTCCGTCGGTATGACTGTATTTCTCGAAGATGACCGAAGACTTCTGCTGATCGGTTTGTCGAGCTTTCCAAGACTCTGTCGGGTGATGGGTCTCGTGTTGTTCATCTCTATCGAACTCTCGGATTCCTCGTCGGTGTCCTCGCAATATTTCTGCATTCTTATAAGACGCTTACTCTTCAGTTGAATCAGTTTGTTGGTTTTAGTTTTATCCAATCGCTTGTTACCACTATCGTTATTGAGGAAGCTGACTTTACAATCCTTACTTTTGCCGACGGTCTTCGCAACTGTTTGCTTCACTTTAGCTTTGATCTCGTTTTCCGTTTGTGTTATTCTACGAGCATTCGGTAGCTCGGGAAAGCTCTCAACGGAGACGTTATCATCGTTCTCCAACTCTGGGCTCACTAATTTCCTCCCAAGAATTTCCATGTACACAGCTGCCGCTTCCTTGGTCTTTCTGGTGGGTCTTGTCGAGAGTTTTTTCGAGGGGATTGTGCCGGTGTACGATCTCGTAACTCTTCTCATTTCGGATTTGCTTCTAGTGCAAATCTTCTTCTCGATATTCTTTTGTATATTGCGTTTTATTTGCGACGTCTTCTCCAACTGTGATTCGGCCTCCTCGTGCTCTTCCTCGCAATCTTCCTTCTCGGACAACTCATCGATATTTGAAGCATCGCTACCTTTCGATTTCAAAATACCCTTCTTCTTTGGTTTAATTGGCGCGACTTTCACTTTCGACAAAGATTTGTTCACCTTGTTTAGCAATAAGCCACTTCTCAAACCATGTCTCTTGGTTTCGATTCGAGGTAAGAACTTTCCATGCTCTGATTTGATCTCACTATCCAACGTAGATCTCTCTGTACATGATCTCGTCCTCATAACGCAAGTAGCTTTTAATTTATTCTCTATTCTTTGTTTAGCAAGACGTTGCTCCTGATATTTTTTCTTAAGTGCTTGAACTGTAGATGTTGCTGTCTTTAGTTTGCTGATGTTTTTATGTATCGTACTAGGCATCTTCTTTTTCTCCGAGACAATAGACTTTACTCTTGTCATATTCTTCGGACACATCTCTGGTTTTGAAGTTTCTACAGCAGTGCTAGTAGTAGGATGAAGTACCTTGACTGTGGAAATATCAACCGGCCGAGATACCGATTTAAGTTTCAGTTTTTCTTTTGTGTTGCTGTAGTTGAAAAAATTCAAACTGGGTGGCAAAATGGACGTCCCTAAATTTGAAGAGAAAAGAGTTTGTCAGAGGATTTATTTCAATTATAATCAAAGTATTGCAGATATGTAACTGTACAAGATATGTAAGAGAATTCACTACAAATAAATTATCTTTGTTCCAACTAATGTTATTTGAAATCAAAAAATATATTTTTATATGCTTATACATATATATATATATATATATATATATATAAGATGTATCTCATTTTGTAATAATAAATAATTGTATATATATGTGTGTGTGTGTGTGTGTGTGTATACATACACAGAACTACAAAATAATCTTTGTGTATCTTTTAAAACTTGATAAAATATATCTTTGAAAATCATGTATTTTTTGTGTGTGATAAAGTAAATCTTTGATCCAATATTTTCATAAGGCATATTATCACTTTTAAGAGTAAATACTTTACCTCTGAAACATAGAAAAGTTAGAAAATCTTCTGTATTCGGACGTTTATGAGTTATTAATTCTTTAATCAGAGATGGTTTAACTTTTTCTTTGTCTTTAACAGGTATAGATGATGCATTAAACATTGTAGATGCACCCTGTGCAAATTTTCTTTGCGCGTGAACTTTGGTCCTGAAATATTATATACATAACATATTGCAAGATCTTTAAATTCCCAAAAAGAAGCCACAAATTATAGAAAAAAATATACATGTATATATATATATATGTGTGTGTGTGTATATATATATATATATATAATTCCTAGATATATTGTACCTTTCATCAGTTACTAGCATTAAATTATTGTAAGGAACACGATTATAAATAATTTCTCAAATTACCTTTTCGGCGATTCCGATAGCGGTTCCATAAGATCCACTAGGTCTCCCTCCTTTTTCTTTCTCTTGTCGTTGCGATTTAAAACCATTTTGCGATTCTGTACAACAGAGGACTTTACTATCACCGACTAACCACTTTCCGTTTGATGCAAGACCTCTTCGGCGTATCCGCAAAGCGTTAAGAATATGTCACATCAAGTGCATTTCATATACTTTGACAAACTTCGCATCCCTGACAAGGCCATGCGAACCAATATCCCGCACATTTGCTGGAAATTACAGAACACAAGAAAACATGTACCATCGCCAATGCAGCAATGGCTAACGCTCCGTAGAATTATGCGATTTAGTCCAAACTAGATTTTTCTTCAGTTCATGATTGATACTTCCGATTGATGGATGCGTATCTGACACTGCAAAAACCGAGGATTTTATATTACACTTAAAAAATTGCACGCTCGACTCAGCATATTGCACGAAACAATAGTTGTTTATTATGTCAAGTAAAATCAAAATTAAATACCACGACTAAAACCTATAATATAAATATACATAGACAGGCAGTGTATTGATTTGTCAAGAACTGTTTCCATGCAGTTAAATCTTACCAGAGAGGAACCTGAGAACGGTCAACACTGCGTTTTCGTGACACCAACTTTTCGCACTAGAAAAAGCCATCATCTGCATCCATTTTGAGAGGGGAACTACGATGGCTGCATTCAGCAGACTCAACAGTTGGACAACATTACTAGATTTTCCACCGAATCTCGCTCCTGATTGGTAAATACTTCTGGGTCTATAAAGAATCTAAAAGAATGCTTCAATCACAGATAATAATCACTAAGCGCTCTCTGATCACTTTGTACTGAACGCGGCCACTGTTAAGCTAAAGCTAAGACTCCATGCATGCGGTGAGCTCCGGCAAACGGCTGCGGTGACCAATCAGGAAACAGACGCATGCCGGAGCTTGCCGCAACCGGACTTGCGCCTCCTTCCTGATTGGTCACCGCAACCGTTTGCCGCAGCTCACCGCATGCATGGAGTCTTAAGCTAAGACTCCATGCATGCGGTGAGCTCCGGCAAACGGCTGCGATGACCAATCAGGAGGGAGGCGCAAGTCCAGTTGCGGCAAGCTCCGGCATGCGTCTGTCTCCTGATTGGTCACCGCAGCCGTTTGCCGGAGCTCACCGCATGCATGGAGTCTTAGCTTTAGCTTTAAGCTAAGACTCCATGCATGCGGTGAGCTCCGGCAAACGGCTGCGGTGACCAATCAGGAGACAGACGCATGCCGGAGCTTGCCGCAACCGGACTTGCGCCTCCCTCCTGATTGGTCATCGCAGCATTTGCCGCAGCTCACCGCATGCATGGAGTCTTAGCTTAAGACTCCATGCATGCGGTGAGCTGCGGCAAACGGTTGCGGTGACCAATCAGGAGGGAGGCGCAAGTCCGGTTGCGGCAAGCTCCGGCATGCGTCTGTCTCCTGATTGGTCACCGCAGCCGTTTGCCGGAGCTCACCGCATGCATGGAGTCTTAGCTTTAAGGTCATTCTACAATGAGGTTGTAGTAGATGCAGTAGGCAAATTGACCAATCACGATCGATTGTTCTCTTTACGATCGAAGAAAAATCGACTGTGATTGGTCAATTTGCCTACTGCATACTACTACAACCTCATTGTAGAATGACCTTTAGTGTTCGGTGCTTGAAGTAGAAATATAGAAACTGTGTTGTGTGTGTGTTAATCAAGACTTTGATTTATTGAATCCTGATGAGAAGATCCATGTAGTTATCATAAACAGAATTCTTCATAGCCGCTCAACAATCCTTTTTATCGACAATCGCAAGGTCATTCCTTACATAAGTGTAAGCCGTAAGAATTGACCAATTATAGCTGATTATTTTTGTAATAATCGACTGTGATTCGCCAATTCTTACGGCTTAGAACTTACGACACGTATTGTAGAATGACCTCTAGTCGTCGGATGTATAGTGTGAATTCTACATAAAGCTACAAAGAATTCATCTACAGAAGCATGCAAACTATGCCTTTCGCAAAAATGCTATGAGAGAATTGGAGAGAATTTGACAGGATTTCAGTTTATAGTAAATAAACACAAACAATTTTTTACGCCAATTAATCATCAACATTTCTCTCAAAGTTGATTTCTTTAGAACCGAAAAGCTTAAAAAAGGTGAATTACAAGTTGCCAAAATGACAAGTGCTGAAGATGATCCGTATGATATAGAAAAGTGTGCACAGTGGGTCCAGACGAATGCATTAAAGCAGGTTTATGAATATGTTTTTAAAAGTATTTTATTCACACATTAGTAAAATCGTACTTATACAATTTTCTACAAATGACTCCTATTTACCACGCATATTTTATCGATCATGCATCAATTGTGTATCGTGAATCGAGGTTATTCGTCGATACAGCTTAACGAATTATTCCATCTTTTACGAGCGATATAGTTGTATGTTTATTATGAATAAAATACGAGTCTTAAATAAACGATTTTTAAAAAGATAGTACAATAACCGGTATAGTCATTTATAAATAACAGCAAAAATTGCACTTATATATGATTATCTCTATTTCAGACATGTGTGCACACATGCATGTCTGAAGTGTTATAACTACAATATTGTTTACTGTGCTATTGACTATATATTCATGGTATAAATTGCTTCTACAGATATGTCTACAATTTCCGGATAAGTTATTACCAGATGCTGCAAAAGTTGCATTACATTTAGAAAAAAATATAGGACAAAAGGTATACATCTTAGGGGACACAACCTGTGGTAGCTGTTGTATCGATGAAATAGCAGCTCAACATATCAATGCAGATGGTATAATACATTTTGGACACGCTTGCCTTAATCCTACCATTCGTTTGCCAGTTTTACATATTTTACCAAAGCAGCAGTTTGATATAAAGAAGTTTAGCAATGAATTCAAACAAGTTTTTCAAGATAACACAAGGAAAATTGTATTTTTTTATGATGTGGAATATGCATATAAAATAGGTAAGCTATTATTAAAGAAAAGAATGTAGTGTATTACGATTGACAAAAATTTTTACATCTATAGAGATATAATATGTAATAATTTCTCTTTACAGAACATGTATATAATATATTGAAACCTATGTACAAACATATAGTTTTGTCTAAATTAAATTGTACATCAAATGTGGAATATACCGATGCAAAGACAACTCCAGACCATGTAATATTGGGCAGAAGTTATACTTTAGAAGATGAATATAGTATACAAGATTATGAAGGGTTCTTTTTGGGAGAAGAAGGGAAAGCTCTCGCAATATTAGCAATGAGCATACCTGTGAAAAGATGGCATTGTTTTACAAATAATAAAATTAGTGAATTCGAAGCATCAAATGTACCTTGGTTAAAACGAAGGAGGTTTTTAGTGGAAAAATTGAAAGATGCCAAAACTGTAGGCATTGTGGTAGCCACATTGGGTATTAAAGAATACCTGATGGCTACAAGGTTAGTCAAAGAAATTCTTAAGCAAAAGAATAAAAAAACTTATACTCTTTGCATAGGTAAAATAACCCCTGCTAAACTTGCAAATTTCCCAGAGGTATGTCGACAAGTTGTACAATATATTTAATTTTCATTCAATCTCACTGCTTCGCACAATCGTACAAATAAATACATGATCCTGATTTCAGATCGATGCTTTTGTCATAATAGCTTGCCCAGAGAATGAAATATTCGACTCGAGAGATTTCCTACAACCCATGCTTACACCGTACGAAGTTGAATTAGCGTTTAACAGTGCCAGGAAATTCTGTCTGCAATATTTCATGGATTTCCAGCAGATATTACCCAATGGCATTCACTATGTTGATTTTAAACCATCGATGGACACTGATATTTCCCTCATTAGTAGCGATGTCAGAAACTGTGATGATAATACCTTTTGTACAGACCAAATGAATGAACTGACGATTCGTTCATCAGGTATATATTTATTTAAATTATAGGGATTATAACAAAATATGATAATTCGATGTTTAGTCATTTTGCTGCTCTAATTTCTAAAGTTTCCCTGTACAATTTTTGCGCCAATAAAGTCAGTAATTCAAAGCCATTTTCGAGCAACATACTCCTATCGCAATAACGATCAACGTAGCAATTTCTTCAACAGGTACTGTTGCTATCGGTATGACTGGAGCTCAGTTTTTGCAAGATAGATCCTGGAGAGGTGTCGAACAAAGATTAGGCGAAGATCCTGTACAATCGGCAGAAATTGGCCGTGTTGGGCTGGCATGTCAATATACAAACGAGCCTCTAAATACAGAGAAATGTGATACACTAACATAATAAATGCTATGTAACATTTTTATATATACTTTTATCATGCCATCATTGTAACACTTATAAAGATAATTTAATATATAGACTGTCAGATGCACAGACAATTGTTTACAATATAGAACAAAATACAATGAAAGTCAATAGATATAATCAGGAAAAGAAACAACAATAAAAATCAATAACTTTGATCATATTTGCATTTCAACAACGGATTTTAGTTTATTTTTAACATACGCGTACAAGTAGTGAAATGTGACCGGCAGATGGACAATGGGGCAGTAGGTTAATACGCCAATGTCTGATTTATGTATGCTAGATAATTATGATGTCATATATATATATATATATATAATGTATATTAAAATTGTTAAGTTTCCAGAGTCTATACATATATATATATATATACATACATATATATATATACAGACTCAAAAAAATATTTTTCAGTAATGTTACGGAGCACAATACTGCTTGTTTAAATATTTTTGTGATGCCGAGTTCGTCACGCATGCGCGAGAAACCTCACCAATGGGTGCATTCAGTACTACAACCGCTCACTGAGCGCTTAATGAGTTTTTACATTTGATTGGTATATTTCTTTAGATTTAAAAATATACACCAATCAGATGCAAAAGCTCACTTAGCGCTGCCACCATATGCAGGTTTTACCACTGAGACCTGAAAGTGGATATAACATCGTAGTTCCCCTCTCAAAATGGATGCAGATGACGGCCTTTCCCAGTGCGGAAAGTCGGTGTCGCCGAAAACGCTGTGTTGGCCGCGCTTAGGTTCCTTTTTGATGATAGATTACTTCCTTAAGGCCTAATTGCACCAACATTATTTTGGTTTTAAGTGAGACTTAAACATAAGTCTATCTTTATCTTTCTTACTAAATAAATAAAGACAGAGATATATTTACGTCTTACTTAAAATCAAAATAATGTTGATGCAACTGGGCCTAAGAAAAATAAAATGAACAAGAACCGTGTACGCTTTGCCGTTATCGTCAAGACGTACCTAGTATACACACGTTTCCTCAGGGGACGCGTCGGTAAAAGTGTCCCGGCGTAACCGGCCCGATGGCCGCTCTTAAAACCAGCGGCACACGGTGCTTGTTTCGTGCTGGATTGCTTGCTGGATAAAAATACTGCGTTCTGATTGGTGCATTTCCATCCATCTTCGGAATGTACCAATCACAACGCAATATTTTCATCCAGCAAGCAATCCAGCACGAAAACAAGCACCGTGTGCCGCTGGCTTTAGTTTCTCTCTGGTTGCACGTGGTTCTTATGGTCTGTTCTTTATAGCTGCACTGATGACTTTATAGTTGAACTGGTGCAATAAGTTAAAATGAGACAAATATAGGTTTTCTCACTCTAGCTTATTGCATCAGTTCAGCAATGCAGCTACAAAGAACAGACCGTTAATTGGTCTGTTCTTTTTAGCTGCACTACTAAACTGGTGCAATAAGTTAAAGTGAGAAAAAATATAGTTGTCTCATTCTAACTTATTGCACTAGTTCCGTAGTGCAGCTGAAAAGAACAGACCAAATGTGTTGCTAAGATGAGACATTTTGTAAAATAAATAAAATTTTTTAAACGAGATCTTTCTCTCTCTCTCTCTGTTAATAGAATTTTATTCTTATATTGTGACATCTTAATAGCTGATATTTGTTTTGCTGTCCATTTATTATTTCAAAGTATATTGTAAAGTGTAATTCATATTTTGTATTTAAAAACCTAACCTAGATTCCAATAGTTTCATTTGTTACTTATTCTTGATATCGCAACAAATTCTAACAAAAACTGCAAAAGCCTTATAATGTCAGAGTATGAAAAAGTGAGAACAGGAAAATTGGTGTTGAAGGGTGAAAAATCAAGGTAGTATTTATATTTGATTGTTTCTTGTGAATTGATGTTTTGAGTACCTTTATCTTATGATACATATTCAACATTTACATCAGCGTATTTATATTCTATAATACTATTTCATCTTTTTAGGCCAAAAAAGCGAAAGCATAAGAAGCAAGAGAAGGAACAGGATGTAACTGTGGAAGACAAAGATACTGTTACTCATGGTATTTATCATTTGTTTTATCATTTTATTATCGTTACGTAAAAATGTTCATCTACACGATTGACAATTTATTTTGTAGGAGGATGGTGGAAAGTTAAGAATGTATTTGAAATTACGGGGACAATAGCTATAGAATTTGGAAATCATACTTACTTGAAAGCACTTGACAATGGACTATTTACTCTCGGCGCACCACACGATGAGGGCGATGGTCCATCGCCAGAAGAAATTTTGACAGCATTCCCTATAAATGAAACTAAAATTGCTTTGAAGTCAGGATATGGCAAATATCTCGGTGTTGACAAGAAAGGTATCGTTATCGGACGAAGCGATGCAGTCGGACCTATCGAACAATGGGAACCAATTTTTCAAGTAAATAACACATCTACATGGAAGTAGATGCTAATTACATTAATTTTATAGGAATCATTATTTCCTTTCTATTCAAAATGAATATCTAAAAAACTGTTGCTAATAAATAATACAGATATTTTTCTAACTTTAAAAGTTTATCAAAGATACAAATTTCTCCTTACGGATTATGCCTCTTAATAACATAATTGAAATTTTATTATCGTTCCATAGGATAACAAGCTTGCTATATTACATAGCACAGGATGCTTTGTGTCAGTTACAAGTGACGATGATGTGATTTGCCAAAATAGAACAGCTGGCCCATCAGAATATATCGTCATCAGAAGTATAACACAACGTTCTCAAAGTCCTAGTTGGGATATACCAAAAGAGGAACAAGGTTCACTGGCAGATGTTGAAGTAAATTATGTGTGAGTATGAAATTTTTTCAAGTATTTTTATAGTTCATAGGGGTTTTATATATATATATATATATATGTATGTATATATATACAGGGGGTCCTAAAACAGATCACCCTAATAACTTTTCATTATTGAAGTTTCAAGAAAAATGATCTAAATAAAAGTTGTAGGGATTTAAGTGAGCTACCTTATGATGACCTTGACTTTGACCTTGACTTCTATTTTCAAGGCTATTTGAAAGTCAACTTGTGTTTTTTAAACGGAAACCCCTATTTTTGACCTCGGATTCTAAAAGAGTGCAAAATTTTACGTTCAGATATATATCTTTATGGGGGGTCGAAATGAACTGTAGAGGTCATTTGAAGGTCAAATATGTTATTGGTACGAAATAGCTGGTAGATTGTGGTTTTTATGAAATATGACCCGAATAAAAGTTTTTGGGATCAAAGAGAGCCATAAGCTGGTAACCTTGACTTTGACCTTGACCTCAATTTTTAAGGTCATTTAAAGGTCAACTCGAGTTTTTTAAATAGGAACCCCTATTTTTGACTCCGGATTTTGAAGAGCGCGTTCAGGTTGTTGAGCATTCAGATTATTGTAGGAGTCAAGGCAAACGTTGAGGGTCATTCAAAGGACAAATAATGATTTGACCTTGAGAACACCGTGCAGTAACGGAATACGTGAACGGAATACGTAACGCCAATGTTCACTTGATTGAATAAAATATTAGGTAACCATTGCTTGCGTAGCGGGCTGGATTTTCAGACCCCATGTGATCCAGCCACTGAAGGCAAGATCGTAATGATCCAGCCACTGAAGGCAAGATCTAAGTCATTCGGCCAATGGATGCAAGATGGAAGTCACTTCTGGGATTGGATCCGCACTTATGTGTGAATGGAAAACTAGTGGATTAAATGTTCAAATTGAAGGCCTCCAACCTCTTGACAATATGCCATGCGTTGATAAAAATCAGAGACAGATCTTCTTATCATATCTTGGTCCATCGAGGTATACTCTCGGATAATACGATTTCGGAGTTCATATAAATTATTTGACTTTGTTTCATAGATTCTACTCTTCAGATAATCCATAGGAGAAGTGGTAGAATTGGCTGCTCAGTTGATCACAATCTAGAAGCTTGAATATTTTTTGCGGGGCTATCTGAACTGTACAGTCTATGTGACAAGTCCGAATAATTCTGATGAATTTAGAAATTACATTAAAAACAATTTTTTTAATAATGTTCTAATTTCGGAAGCTACTTAGGCCTTGGATCATTACGATCTTGCCTTCAGTGGCTGGATCATATGTGGTCTGAAAATCCAGCCTGCTACACAGGCAACGGTTATCTAATATTTTATTCAATCAAGTGAACATTGGCGTTACGTATTCCGTTATTGCACGATGCTCTCAAGGTCAAATCATTATTTGTCGTTTGAATGACCCTCAACGTTTGCCTTGATTCTTACAACAACCTGAATGTTCAACAACCTGAACGCGCTCTTCAGAATCCGGAGTAAAAAATAGGGGTTCCTATTTAAAAAACTCGAGTTGACTTTTAAATGACCTTGAAAATGGAGGTTAAAGTCAAGGTCACCAGCTTATGGCCCTCTTTGATCCCAAAAACTTTTATTCAGGTCATATTTCATAAAAACCACGATCTACCAGCTATTTCGTACCAATAACATATTTGACCTTCAAATGACCTCTACAGTTCATTTCGACCCTCCATAAAGATATATATCTGAACGTAAAATTTTGCGCTCTTTTAGAATCCGAGGTCAAAAATAGGGGTTTCCATTTGAAAAACAGTTGACCTTCAAATGGCCTTGAAAATAGAAGTCAAGGTCAAAGTCAAAGTCATCATAAGGTAGCTCACTTAAATCCCTACAACTTTTATTCAGATAATTTTCTTTGAAACTTCAATACTGAAGAGTTATTAGGGTGGTCTGTTACTTTTGGGACACCCTGTATATATATTACATGTATTATCCTTTGAAATTAAATATTCTTGCACTCGCGTCAATTTACGATATTATTGAGATATTATTATATATTTCATTTACTAATATCCTACCAACATTTTCGGAGAGAATATTTAAATAAAGTATCGAAGAATATTCAAATTATTGTTTGGTAATTATGATTCAAAGTCTTATTGATCTTCTTGTTCCATGATTTGAATATATTTTTCAACATAAAAAATATTTAATCATGCAGGCGAAAATTCCAAAAGTTTCAAGACAAAAAGTTAAGGATAAATAAATCCGATCGTTCCGAATTGAAGAAGGCAAGAGTAGAAGGGAATTTACACGAGACTCTGTTAGACAGAAGAAGCAAAATGAAAGCTGATCGTTATTGTAAATAAATTCAGTACTATAATATATCATTGAAACGTACGAATTATTTATATCAAATATAACCTCTAGATGTAAAAATTTTATTAAATATATGCAAGTTATCGTTACATGTAGTTGATTGTTACTAATTGGCACTACCATATAATACATAATATACATGAAGGGTACAGGACACGATGAGAACTCATTAAATTTACAGAGAAACCATAATTGTTCGCAATATCTATCCTACTTTGCCACATGTTACGCAATTATTCGTAACATTATTGATAAGAAAAAAAATACAGATAATCTGTCGCAAGGTAAGAATGTCAACTAACGTACACACACATGCATGTACGACACATATAAAGAGAATGTTAAACATTTTCTTTTGTTTATATCCTTTTAAAATTAAACATTAAGAAATAAAATTGCAAGATCGAAAAAAGACAACAAGGTGTATCGTACGAAATTACTTTTGTCATCGATAAAATTTTTCTGAATCACCACAATATACAGCCGATATAAAAAAGAATATTGTACACTTGGTTTCAATACGGTTCGAGACCGAATATATACTGTATCCAAAATATAGCTATAGCTAGGTATTGTACAAAATTCTCACATGTAGCAATCTTGATTAAATTGAAGAAAAGAAAAAAAATAGATAACTTTGTATATATATAAGAAAGAAATGGAATGTGCGTAACTCAGATAAATACAAAGAGTCGTGTATCAGTCGTTTCGACTGAGCTGGCACATCATACAATGATTCAGGGACAAAAAACTCACCCAATAGATGATAACATAAATCATCTATTCATATATCAAAAAGAAATTACAAACAAAATATGTATGCACTTGGTGTATAGTGCGCGAGTTTAGGTCGATTGATTATCGACATCTATCTTAAAAAACCAAGCTTGCCAAAGACGTGCAGAAATTTGAGAAATATGGGAACTATGGGAAAATCGCTATGAAATTTGTGGCCTTAATTATTATCAGACGTTATTACAAAATAATCAATAATTCGTATGCCTGGGAATAGGATAACGTAATACCAGGACGCTATCGACCGATATAATAGGTAACACATTGTCACAATGATGATGCACTAAATGGCTCACGCTATCGAATACACGATCTTTTGTGCGCACCTGCAAGTAAAAAAACCTTTTCTATCTTCGCAGTTTTCACCAAGAGAAATTCAAAACAACTTGCCGGTATAAATAATTTTCGCGCTAACCATGACTCTCTCTGCGAAATACTTACGACGCCTTCAGGATCAATCAGTAACAAATGTTTCGGCGTTCCGTCATTCATGCTAGTCAGAACATATTGACCAGGGGAGCCTTGAGATTCTCGAACCAAAAAATCACCATCCTTACAAAGCAAAACGAAATTGTAAAGAAATCAGAAATAAAGAAAGATAATCGATGCGTTGATAGACAATTCATATATTTCGATCATGATGTATTTACTCTAGTAAGCATAGATTCCGCTTCGGCTCGGCTGACACTCCCGTGAAACCAAATTTCTTGCTTCAATTGTTGTTTTTGCGATCGAGGACTCAGTCTATTCATGTCCGATATTGCTAAACTAAACGGTTCTAAAATTCGTATATAAAATGTAAAATGTAACACGAGTCATAAATTATAAACGAACATAAATTAAGATTTACGCCGAAAGTAGATCCAGCCAATTCGCGCGGTAAAAGGCGGTTATCTTTCGGTCGAGAATAAAAAAGAATAAGATAAATAACGCGCGATGCTCTTACCCATGTCGAAAACATCGAAAAGGGATGCTGGCTCACGATGGTTATCTCTATTCGTCGCTACGACATTATCGTTGACATAATTGTGTTCAGGCACATTATTCAAATTCGTCGATGCGGATATCGTGCCGTCCGAGTTCAGATCGATCAGGTTCCCAGTTTCTGGAAGAACAAAATCACCATCGTCCGTCGCAGGTGTATCGTGCATCGCGAGATCATTTCGCGCGACTTATTACCTGCCCACTGTTGGTGTTTATCAACGGTAGGGGGGAACGAATCAACCGCGGTATTCAGCGCGTGACTGCGCGATGCGTGATTGTGATGATGCCTCAGATTAGGTAAAGTAGACGCTGTGTTCGGCAAAGGAGGTACTGGCGGTGGACCAATATCCGGCGGTACTTTTCCTGGGAGATCGTTGTAATAATCCCTATCCGCTTCCCTCACACCATTCAACGCAGGGCTACAAGCAGATGTGAGAAATTAGAAACGGTTGATAATCGCGAATATTGGCGTAGATTCGGGACGTAAATTTATTGAATGAATCGCGCAAAGACTCACTGCAGGGAACCCGGTTTCGTAAGAAATTCTTTGAACCTAAGCTCAAATGCCTGTCCAATAGTAGATATAACGTCCTGTGCTAAACCGCCTTTGCATTCAAGTACATAACAAGCACGCCACTCTTGCATATTTTTAGCGACATAAGCAACAAAATCCAGTATCTCCTATCAAAGGTAAGAAGATTCAATTTGAAGGATACAATTTTTCCTCTTTTTATCAAAACAAGAAACGTAATGTTTCATATCACCCGTGTATACATATCGTGTGTGTATACCGTACGGTATATCGAAACGATGAAAATAGAAAATATGCAAATCGGTGCATGCTTCATACCGTATCACCGCCGGAAGCAAAAGATATACGGGGCATGTCATGTTTGGCGATGATATGTCCAGTTTCGATACAGCTCAAGGATAAACTGCAGCTACTGATAGTTAGATTGATATTAGTGGCAGTATGCTCCATGCAGGGTTTATCCGCTATAGCTCTCAACACTTTCATGTCAACCTGGTAAGAGAACACATAGTAAGATCATTGAGCAGAAACAATTACTCGCATATAATATAATAATTTTCAGCAGAGTACGTACCCATCTTTTTTTATCGGCAGATTTCAATCCAGCAGCTTCACAAACTCTATTTATACATTCCCTGATACAAAAGTAGAAATGTTTTTTAAAGCTTACGTATGCTTGGAAACATCTGTAATAGAATTAACTCGAGAAAGTGGAAACGAGCATCGCGAGATAACTTACTTGGCTACACACGAACGTGTTTCAAAGTCTAAGCTCTTCATGGAGGTATATACTTCGAGGCATCCTATATACTATAATTTCAAAATAGATGATATAAAAATGTTGTAGCATATTACAAAAGAAACGGTATCCAAGAAACATATATGAAATATATCTTGCAATCAGTGATACAATTGGAAAAAGAAAATCGCAAGTAGCAGAACCTCTTTTATGTCAATTCTACTAGTTTATCCTTCAGTAGCAGTTCATTGTATGCCATTGAACCAATCGATATCAATCAGCAATGTCAACAAATACAAATGCACACAGCAAGATCGATAGAGTTAAGTGCAAGTGCAAGTCCAAAGTTAAGAAAACGTATACCTAATAAGTATCAAAAATGGTTTCATCATCAAAAGCAAAGTTGAGATTGAAAAAATTTTATTCTACATTTTTGACTTATTCTTTTGCGTGGAATCGTCCACTTTCTGGATGTATAAATTAAAGGCCATCTTGTATAAACACAACACACAGAAAACTTCAATTTTTCATGAAATTATGAACATGAAGTTGTAGTAACAATTTGCATACCTTTACTTTGTAGATGATTCCTTCTTTACTCACTAAATGATCCGGATGTAACCATCCACGCGCTGGCTTACTTATAAAACTATTATTGCTCGCAGCCATCGCTAAATGAATATACATACATACAGTTGCGTATAAGTGACAATGATGTGAATAGTTTCAAAATATGCATGTGTAAAATCGATCGAGACAGATATCAGATTGAAAACAATATGTAGCCACATGTGAAAATTGCGATAGAAAAATTACGTATACGATGACCATAAGCTAAACCTAGAATACAATGAAGAGTAATTCGCTGGAATTCAATGAGCACAGAATAAGACTAGTCATCGAGGTGAAATTCGCATGAAATTATACCTTGTGGACATACGTTATGATCAAAATATCATCGTGTCCTTGTAATATTTCCGATACATTCAAATCGGAGAATCACTCAACATTTGTGTATTCGTAATATTTCAATTCCGATATGAAAACACAAGGAATATGAAAAATGTGATATCATGAGCAAATCACGCCCATCGCCACTACACTTTCGAACTGTCAACGTCAGATCCTAATTACGCGTCTAGCGATTCACACTCGGACGCGAGATCATACTTACTAGCGACTGATTATCGGATCATCCGTTAGTGATCGAGTCGTTCGTTAACTATTCGATAATACGCCGAACATGTCGCGTGAGACGTCCGAACACTTTTTGTTCGCAAATTATCGTCGATGATTCCGATTCCGAACGTCAATCAAATTCATGAAATGGATTATCGACACACACCACATATACCATAGGCGTGAACTGTTCGATAAGGCTATTCGCTTTTCGCTCTAGCTACACCACCGACGAGACACTATAAAGATGTTGGTCTTACGGGAGTGCCAGAGAAAACTCACCGAGCACTAGCGTCCTCTCAGCGATATCGCGGCTGAAAGACGAAGCTGTAGCTTGAAAGAAACATAAATGGTAACAGATATGGAGCAGTGGAAAAAAGATGTCGGAAATTGTCATGGTAACATTTATATTCGAATGACATTCGAGAGAGAAAGGTACACATTTGGGTCTTTTCGTTCCTCGTACGTTGGTGCCATGTGATTTTTCTTTCAAAGTAAAGGCCGTTGCACGTAGAGAATTTTAACCGTAAACGTAAGGCCGTAAGAAAACTGACCAATCACAGTCGATTATTCCTCTAGTGCAAGGAGAATAATCGACTATGATTGGTCAGTTTTCTTACGACCTTACGGTTACAGTTACAAATTTTCTACGTGCAAAGGCCTTAACGACTAGAGATCGCATGTTGCGCGCACTTGTGAATAAAACAAAAATAAATAAATATGCAAACATGTTCTCAGTTCGATATTTTAAATGTGCATACAAATATGAGACGCGAAATAATTATTAGTCTGTTGTTAGAAGGGAAATTGAATCATATGATCTTTGTTGAAGGCAGATTTTGAAAATGAAAAACTTAACAATATGCTGTGTATGATAAGAAAAAAAAAATTGAATGTTAAAATTAAATAAAAATGTGATTTATTCTTTTGATTCCCTATATTTTTCTTGTCCAGGGTCCTAAATATTATAAGAAACTGGTTCAGGAAATGAATGCGCGCGCGTTCATAGAACGCAATATATTTATATAGATGCAATATATTTATATAGATGTTTTGGCTCCAGTTCTACAATAAGTAGACACGAATGAGATAAGATCATCATAACAAATAAATATCCAATCAGTTTTGTTACGGACTTTATAGCTACAAAAATGTCTCTCATGATTAATTGTATGAAACATAACTAAAAGAAAGGATATATTATTCAACTTTTTGCAATAGATTATAAATTGTATTTGACCAAATATGAGTAATTATCTTCGTTATATGTTACAGCAACACACACATACCTTTTTTAAAAAGTTAACATACATATCTTTTTTAAAAAGCGTTCCAAATATTCTGACCAGGAGCATGATTATTTTTTCGTTCGTATCTGGAAGCAGAGCATGACTGAACAAAAGAAGCCAACATTCAAATCAACCCTCTTCGTATAAGAGGAAAATTAATTGATATAAGAGAGAAACTTCCTCTTGAAGTAAGAGGAAGACAGATGGAATAATATCTAATAAATTTTGGATGAATGGTTCACTTTAATCGCTTGATCGAAAGAGGAATCATTTTTCTGTAAAAAGCTTCGCTTAGAATATGAGACTACGGGAAAAATCACTTTACAAATAGAATACTTTTTTTTGGGTAATCGCTTCTCACCGTGTTTACAAGTCTGAGGAAGGTGGCGGAGCTGGGATGAACGACGGTGGACGGCGGTGTCAGTCTCAAGAGCTTGGTATATTTATTTACATAGACATACGAAGTCGCACATATAAAGTTTACAACGATACAGTTTCTCTTCCTCATCCGCCGCTCGTCCGCTCGAATCATCATGTGAGCGTGTGCAAAGGTATCTCTCTCTCTCTCTCTCTCGTACGTTCGCGGCAATCAAATCGTCAAACGCCATGCTTCAAACCCTGCCAACCTGGTGGTTCTCTCCTCTCTTTCTTTCTGTTTCTTTTTTTCTTTCGCTCTTGCGTTTGTCGTCACAACTGTTGCTAACTATAGAGAACGCGGCGCGACAAATCCGCGCGGTTTGGCGCGTCGTAGACACATGGTTGTACGTTGGTATCAAATGTGTGTTCTCGTGTCGGATATAAAAGTATCGAGTCTCCGCTTATCTATTATTACATAGGGTGATCTATAACGGAAGGTAAAACACGGAAGGTGGAAACCGCTCGCCGGCCGGAGCGTCGGAAACGCGTGTTCAACGCGGGATAAGAGTTGCGGGAAATTTTCAAAATTGCCACCATCTTATTTCTGCGATCCTTTTTCTTCTTCCTTTCTTCTGCGAAATGGCAATATATGTCCACAGTGGCAATGTTACGAGCTACGACGATATTTCGCATGATTTTGGAATGTATACATAAGACTTTTAAATCCAAAGCTTAAGTAACAATTACAAACGCTAGGCATTAATGACTTTGGCAGTTCCTCTGACGGCGTTGATCCTGCTGAACGCGCCTTTGGCGACGCTACGCGGCCGATGACTCTCCCGCGTTTTACCTGCCTTACTATCATCTTTAGAGAAGACCAGTTTTTTGTTCAGACACCTCACGCTGTTTGAAAACGAGTCCAGACGCGAGGCGAGAAGAGTGGCAGCAGCTTGAATACGGATCTTTGTTTTTGTACAAGTTGTCATCCTGCAGAGGGGTGTTATTCCAAATAATTCGGCCATTCGATGAGACGGTGCCGAGAAGAGGTCTCCGGTAGCTACCCGTTAACTATTGCTTTGTTTATAAAAATAGGCTATTCAGATGCTGTGAACGTGTCTGTTTGTAGATGCTGCAGATGCGACTCTGAAGTATACCTGTGAGCGTGATACTTAGAGGTATCTACACGTCTAAAGGTATTTATGCAATATAAAAACGGATAACGGATAAGAAACGGTTCAAACGGATGAGAGTACTAAACACCTGTAAGTATCACACATTCGGAACGTATAGAGGTTCTGTGTGTGTGTGTGTGTGTGTGTGTGTGTGTGTGTGTGTGTGTGTGTGTGTGTGTGTGTGTGTGTGTGTGTGTGTGTGTGTGTGTGCTTATGACAATAACGCCTGGTCTCTGCGACTATGCTAACAACGACGGACTCTCTTTTTCTTTCTATCCCTTTTTTTTCTCCTTCTATTCCTTTTTTCTTCTGCTTCTTTCTCTCTCTTTTTTCTTTTGGCGAAAAGAATGCCCGTGCGGCTTCAGTGAATCGCGCAGTGAAAAAGCGCGCTTCAGTGAATCATTTATATAATATATATATCTATATATATATATATATATATAATATTCATATTATATATATACGCGTATATCGGATGGTTTACATAGAGATGAACGTGTGTACTTGTGAAAAAAGGGGGGGCGGACTACAGAGCTATTGGATACAATGCACACATTTACCTATTTACGTGTATGGTATCGTGTGACTCCCGATAATTATACGTTAACAACTCATAATTTCATGGTACACGGATCGGAAATATATTTTCGTTAACACACACACGCGCGCACACACTCGCGTACGCCGAATTGCGCGGTGGTACAACAACGATTCAACGCACAGTCACCGATCGTCGTCGGTCGCGGATCTTTTCCGATCTGTCGCGAATGGATGTATCTCTGATTTTCGCTAAGATGCCTGGAGAAATGCATGTTCCACCGATATTCTCGATGATTCACGCGATGAACGATCGCTTAAGTATCGACTGCATATCGACACACACACACACACACACACACACACACACACACACACACACACACACACACACACACACACACACACACACACACACACTAACCTAAAGGGAGGGGTGGGGGTAGGGGACTTATTTCCTGAATTGAGCTTGTTCGACTAAAATCGAAATTAGTCGGACTCTCTATATCGATTAATTATTATCGTTAAGAGATACTTGGTAAGAAGACGAGGGCTGATGGATTCTATATGTATGTGTATGTATATATCTATGTATATATATACGCGATATATATTATGATATATTACGATAGAAACAAATTCTCTTCTCTCTCGATTGCACACAACAAACGCGCTTGTATGATCACAGACCGAGCATACCGACGTATATCCTTTTCTTTCTATCTTCTTGATTTAAATGCACGCGCTTCGTAATCGATAATAGTCTCTTGAGCGTGCCGCCACTGCGTGGCGAAAAAGGCGGCGCGCTTGACAACGAGCTTGGTCAAACTTGAACAGGTAGATTATATCTCGCGTTAAACTCGATACTTATATAGTTACAATTCAAAACGCTGCAGAAAGATTCGACTAAACTCGCGATACAGGCAAATGAATATTAAACGCGTTCTCTCGAGAGGGGACACGCAGACATGTTCGTCGATTTTGATGGAATTTGGATGTATTGTGATTCAGCTAAAAAGAAGATGCGCACATGCTCTCTTATGCGTGCGTTTAGGATTGAAACGAACCGAAGATTATTCGATAAAATTGATTATGAGCAAATATCTCCGGAATCGTACGGTGTACGAAACAATCTTTTAGATTTTTTAAGACCATTTTTTTGGTTTTATAATACGCGCGCAATGTACTCTATATACTACATAATTACATCACATTATAATTTTGCAATTTGATTGTTCGACAATATTCGTACGAGTCGAAAGGTGATATTTTTCCAACGATGTGAACAGTTGCATGAAATATCATGCAATTTATTCTTATATTATGATATGAAACATGTTATATGAATGAATAATTTTTTCTTCTTATATACTTTACGGCTCCCAAAATGTTCGGAATTTAAAATTCAAATTTACCGGATTTCTTTCGCGAGATAGTTCCCCAAATGTGCGAGAGAGCACGCATGAAAAACATGTCTCTTCTTTTTAACTAATCTGAAACATATCCAAAACGTCATCGAGATTGGACGCTTTCACGTGTTCCCTCGTTAGATGAAATTACTCCTAGGATTATTGCGCTATTAATTTAGAATTATCCTTTTTTCTTTGCAAATTATAATTATTGGATAACATTCTCTCTTTTTCTCTCTATCTTTCTTTCTCTCTCATTCGCTCGCTCACTCGCTCGCGCTTTCGTTCAATCGTTCTAACACACACGCTAATTATGATAAAAAATTGATTTCATTAGTTAGGACTTGCGACGTCGTAATACACACGAGATATAGCAATATGTAGTTAAAAATTTTATTGATACTATTATGCTAAGGTAAGTTTATGCACTAAAAGTTCATTGCATGTTTGTTGTTTCGAGGCCGGTGTTGCAACATCAACTCGATAGATTGTATTTTGCGAAACTTAATATTCATTGCTATAGTTCGTTGATAAACATCTTTCCCAAATGTTCCATTTGTACCGTTTTATAAATTCATAGACATACGTCTCACGAATATGTAAATTGAAATAACTCTCATAATAACGCGGCGGGTAGAAATTTTGTTGTCTGTTTATAGTCAATCTAATTAGCATTATTCTCCGAGAGATTTACTCGCGCGCATGATTTATTTATTTTAAGTGTTAAATAATTAAATTGTGCAAAAAATAAGTTGTCGAGATATATGCATTATCATTAGCATATCTCGGCCAATTTAGTTACAAGTAACACTTCGACGGCTGTAACAACGCATACAATACACAATATGCATTATACTCGCATATAGAAATAATGAATCACAATTTCGCTTATTTAACAACATAAAAGTTTTATACATCGTCTAATATTTACCTTTACCGGATACGGACTAGGTAGGAAAGACCGGGCCGCGATGAAACATCAGACGATAGCAAACAAATATTCGGTCACACACTATGTGCAACCATTTTACAAATGAATGAAAAATGTACAATGAAATTTGGATGATTCTCTTTTAATCTATGAAATTTCTTCCAACGGAACAACACGAATAATGCCGAGATGATAATATTACATTTCATCGGTCCTTTTTCTATCTAGTTCGTTCCTTGGTTTGACGAGAACTAAACAGTTAAACACAGAGCGACAAAAAACTTTAAGTTCAAACGAATTCGTACATAGACAGTTACATATGTAGACAATTTCGATCTATTTTTTTTTGCGCACATTATATCGGTCGTGACTCTTCTTTTTTCTATATCACCAGTGTGCACTTGATATATACTTCTTTCCTGCTCGATCCTTTCGCCGTGACAGAGTCAGTCAAAAAACGATGTCGCTACATGGATGTGTGCACTTTGTTGCGGACAAAGTCTGTATTTGTTGTATCACCGTGCAACAAAATGACAGACGAACTATCGTTACGGTGACAGACAGATTAACAGCGTCCCTCTGTGCAACAATATAATACTTTAACAGCGAGCTGAAGACTCGTTTATTGGATGACTCGACTGTTCGTGGCTTGTCGTAGCGAAAGATTCAAAATTCGGCATTCCACTTTCTTTGCGATAATTTGAAGCACAGCATACATTCCAACATTCAATTATCAATAAATTATTATAATTTTCAAATAAAAAACATTGAGTCTTCGATATTTGTTTAACAAAGTCGCTGGTAAGAACACAGTAAACAGTGATTCCGTAGCATGCTTTTTCTCTTGTAGAAAACTGAATCGTCTCGCTTAATCATACGTTACGTACAGATAAAAGTATTTTTTTAAGTGGACCTCAGTGAAATGCCGAATTATCACGGTCACGTGACACTAAAAGAACAACGTGCAATCGCGCTGTGACTTTTCGATCGAATTGTCCGTCAAAAAAACTCAAGAGGGCAATAAAATTATCTTCTTTTCTAAGGATGAAAATATCCGATAACTGAAAGTTATAATTTATTCATATTACGTCATGAATTGTTTCGTACTGAACAGTAGGTGCGTAAAATGAATTACGTTTAACCATAAACGTTGAAAAAACATAAAAAAAGAAGAAAAAACGCAAATAACAAGAGTCGTATGGCGCGAAAGCGTGTCTTTGAGAAATCTATCGTACTCTTTGCTCCTTCCATTCGAGAATATATATATATATATATATATATGTATATATATATATATATGTATGAGATATATATATGTCTGTTAAATTAATAAGAAATATTAAATACATACTGGTAGTATCCAAGACAAATTCTTGGATAATACACTCAAGCATTTCACGACATACAGCTTATACGATAATAAATTTAATTTAGCAATTATCATACTATTTCGTTTAGTAGTAAACCTTCATTGCCATAATCCTGCGTAGTTACCGTAGAGATTCGCGGGCAATGGACCGCCTGCGGTGAATAATCGGGTACCCGATGCGTCGTAACAGTGTGTGTAAATAGCAGGGGTGTATTTTACGTTTTGGAAACCATCGATGTATTCCTCGTCCGGAAACTGTCCCGAGAGAAATGGACGCATCAATTATATGCATGGTAACGCAAGACAAAGCGATTGCAATGTAGTACGTAATGTACTGCCGCGATTGGCGACTATTTATAAGTACATCACGGTAAACGCGACGTTCTTTTGTCCATCACTGCGTGACGCGCGACTTTGTAGACATTATGTGAATATACTTGAACAACAAAGACTCACCACGTATCCTTTTGAAGCTTTCAGCACAACGGTGCGGTTGGAGTTGATAGAAGACTCCAGATACTTCTGGGCCCTCACGTCGTAGAACATGAGCATTCCCAGCCCGGTGCCGATGGTTAAAACGGATCCTTGGAAACTAGCGGACCGGATGCCGCAGCCGCTGTATCTGTAACAGCGTAAAGTTCACATTATAGCGGAATATATCGAGGCGAGATAAAAATGTCTGTATTTTCCTTTCTCTTTTCTCTTTCTTGGTTTTTCTTTTTTGTTTCTTACCTTGACGGTATTTTCTTGATCGGTTGCAAAGTACGGGCGTCCAAGAGGAGAGTATACGATCGACATCCTATCGCGTAAACACCATCGTCCTGCACGGCGAGACAAACATTCTCCTGACAGGCTGGCAGTTTTCTGGATATCTTCTGTTTAAACGACTCGGCCGACCAGATATGTATGTAACTATTGAGCGTCAATGCCGCGATCTCTTTGTACGCCTTGTTAAATGCCAAAGCTCGCACTTTCTGAGCGGATTTGCACTCCTTCACGCAGACCGGCTGAATCAACCTGCTCGCGAGGCGACAGACGCGTTATAGACATACGTTATAGACATACGCACAATCCTAACCTAACGAAAGAGTCAACTGCGGTCAATTATCATACCTATGCGTAGGTACATCCGCTTTGTCGGGGGCTTCAGCCAGGTCACTGTCGATACGCCACAGAGCCATCTTCGTGTCTCTGGAACCCGACACCAGAAACTCATCGTCCAACCAACACATGTCGAACACCCAGTCCCTGTGGCCAGTTTCGCCGACGCAAACTGGATCCAACGTCGGTAGTCTGTATATTGCTATTTCGTTACTACTTCTCGCACCGGTGGACAAAAGGGTTCTGCAAAGAGAAAGGGAACGCATTGGAAATTGATCTTGAATTAATCTACCGTTGCGACGCGGCGTGGAATCTGCGAATTGAGACTCGCCAGTAAAGAGCAAATCTTGCAGATTAGAGATTAAAACTCAAAGAGTCACCCAATTTCAATTTTGACTGATATTTGGACTCAATCCCAAGTCAAGTTCTAATTTCCAATACACAGTCTTCAATTTCAAATATTTAGTTGGGCTACAGAGATTCAGATCTCATATTAGTGTAGATAATGCAAATTGAGGATTGCGGATTAAAGATTGGGCTTCGATGAGTCAATTTCGACCTTGGCTCACTTTGTCTCGACTTTGATCTTTTCAGTCTGTATAATTCAGTTTCAGTCTGTATAATCGGCAACCTTTAGTGCCCGTTAGTTTATTAGGATTCGTGACGCTACCTCGAGGGATTGATTTGAACGGAGTGGATGCCACACTGTTGCTCCGGAACGACGCTGCCACCTTGACTGAGTCTCCCATGAAGCGATGGGATCTGGTCGAGCTTTTGCGTCGCCACATCGTACACCATGAGCTTGTTGCACTTGGTGCCGAACACCACCTGTCTATCACTCAACCACTGCGAGCAGAATACTTTGTTCATGTTGTTCAGGCTGACCGAGTATTCCTTGAAGAGGTCGTGCGTCAGTATGTGCCGAGAGCCGTATTCCTGGTTGATCTTCCGTACTTCACGCGTATTCGTCTCACGGGCGCGCACATAGTCCACAAAGTTGAACGAAGTTCTTAGGAACTGTTTGCCCTCGGTCACGGTCTCCGCTTCGTCGTCGCTCGACTCGTAACAGACGAAGTCGTCCGGTTTGTCCGGTTTCCGATTTCTCTCGTGCCGTAACGCCAGTCTACGGGCAAAAATGCAACGGCAGATTCATCATGACGCTCTGGAATGTGTATGACATTGAAAACGCGACTTCCTTTTACCTCTTGCTGCGACGTTCCTCCAGCCTGCTGCCGTTCGCGCACGGAGGATGCCTCCCGTATACCGTCATTCTTTGCGTTTCGGCCATTATTAAAAAAGCTTATTCAACAGTTCCTACAGTATTCAGGCAACTTGCAAGGAACAATGAGTATTGTTGAACAGGAAGTACTTCCGTAAGCGAAACGTAAGAACAACTCTGCGTGCGACCACTTATCTCAAATAAAGGGAAAACGAGCGTATATTGGCAACGTACAAACAACTTGAACAATGTTTCGTGCTATACAAGTTTCTTACAAGCTATATCGGAGCTATTTTCAGCGTCTTCTCTTTCTCTCTCCCTCGTCTTAAACTGCCTATTTCACCTATTTAATCACCTAATAGAGCTTCGGTGGGCTATATCGAGATTGATAAACAGATCCACTATCACATCATAACACGCCCGGGAATACGTCGAATCGGATAAAAATCAAAAACTAATAGCTTTACTAATAACTAACGATGGCTATTAATGCTGAGCTCTACTGTGGAGAAGCTACTTCTGCCCACGAGGAAGAGTCGACTTCGATTAGTCAGCAATGATAAAGCAGAGAGGCAGGAAAGATCCAGCTTCGAGTGCTGATGTGGACTTTTGACGCATTCGCCGCCTCCTCCTCACTTGATTTTGATTTCAGATATTGCTAATTGTTATTACACTATATATGGTATCAGTTAAATTTCTTTGTAGCTAATAAAAACTCTGCAGAGCTACCTGGCAATATTTCCTTCATAGAAATAGATTTTTGTGTACAAGTTTGCTACTTGTAGGACGAAGACAAGTCCAGTAATAAATTGTTGCTTTGTTGTAATTGATCTACCTACTTCCTTATTCTTGTTTCATGCAAGTGCCTAATTATCTTTAGACGCGTTTAATTTAACAAACTATTGTTTCATTCGTGTGAAAAGTTGAAGTATAAATTTTCCCGTTTTTGATGATTTGTTATATTACGAATGTAGTGTTCAAAATGTAGTTAAATGGCTAATAAACGGGCTGGTACATTCACCAAGAAGCGTCTTCAATGAGCTGCTCACAAGCTGGAATCACCAATAGAAAATTTAATTAACACGAATTTTTTAAGTTGCTGTTTTGCAATGTAATAGTTTTATTACATGCATATACATGTATATAAATGCTGGATTTATATATATATTTATATATATGTATATATATATATATATATGTCTAAATGACACAGGAAAATCTAAGACAATACATGTATAAATGACAGTACATATGTACATGTATATTCAAAAAGAATGCATAGGCAAACACTCTTGCGATTTAAATTTCCTCCTTATCTAGCGGGTCACAATTGTATAAACAAAGAAACATGACGGCAGGACTTGAATTATGTCCAAAGTGTATTACTTATGAGCTTTCCAAGTTCATTGTATCGTTTTATCACAAAATTCTTATCTGATTTATCTCATCGGTACATATACATCAAGAATTTCAATTGCACTCCCGAGTAACTCGAACACAAAAGTTCGAGACCCTCGAAAGATGCCTGAAACTCGCTCGCTCCCTCTCTCTCTCTTTCTTTTTGTTGCAAGCAACTTCTTCGACCGTCCTCTAGATATCACTGTGCGCTATGTGGACAATCGCTATGTCGACTCTGTGACATCTCCGTCTGCCGAGCGGATCAACCGTCTCGGAATCCGAGACTCGTTATTAGGATCCGCGGCCGGCCGATAAGCGATCATGAATCGTCAATTTTCCGCTCAGCCCGGCCTTCCGTGTGGAAGACGCGTGTCGCGGAACGGCGATGTAGCTGCACCGCGTCAGCAGGGTCATTTAAATACCTGAACGCGGTCGTACAAAGCCAGATGAATCAACAGCAGCAACAGCGGCGGCAGCAGTCGTCGCCATCGACTGTGCGTTGTTCGCTCGCTCGCTCGCTAGTCTCGGCTCGTTCCTCGTTCCAAGACACGTTTCTTCCTCTCTTTCCCCCCCTCTCTCTCTCTCTCTCTCTTTCTCTCTCGGCGTTGTAACCTCGTTCGGCCGCGGCGCGGACGGACGGACGGGTGCAGGTCGATCACGGACGTGATCGTGTTTGCGGGCTTGCAAGTACCATGAAATCGTGGACACGACGAGATCGCAGGCAGCCAGAGCGACGCGACGTAGTCATGATGAGCGGAGAAACGCACGGGCCGAATGCACCAACCGCACCGCCATGTTGAAAGCGGTACCACATATACGTACAATGTGGTGTGTCGCACTTCAGCGCCTAATCGCTCGAGACCGTCCGTGAAGCGTGTCGTCGCATAGCCCGTATTATTGCAGTCCGCCGAGCGATCGTGCTCGTCGCTTCGACGACATGACAACGGACCTGAACACTCGTCAGCACGTGCGCGATGATTCACGAACGTTTTTCGACCACGCGCGTTCCACTAGCTGTCAACATCAGCTTGACGTCCCCACCATCTCCTTTCGCTTGCCCCGTGCCCCTCGGCCGCGCGCGGAGAGACATGCAGCGCTCGTAGCGCTCGCAACTCTCATTGTCAGCTAGAGAGGAACTACTGTCGGCTGCAGAAGAGTGTTGAACAAGCACTCGAGTGTTTTTACCTCATTCTTGCGCAGTTTTTAACCGAGGACGGAGTTGCGTCCGGCTGCTCTCAGTTACGTTAGCTGAAGTATTTTTCCAGAAAAATGTCTGCTTTCTTACCATTAAATGACAAGCAATTCGCCTCATCGAGGTCGAAATTGTCGGAGGATCACATATATTGGAGGAAATATATGGTACGTATCTCGGAGGTGTTGATTTAACACGAAACGATGATCGTTGTGATGTACGTGCTCGAGATATAACCTATAAATGGGCACGTGTTTTAGTGTTGGTTTTAGTGTAGTTTTAGTCTACCGAAGGCAATAATAGGTCTGTTAGTTTCCGAAAAACTATATTTTCTCTCAGTCTAACTTATTGCACTAGTTAAAAAATTTTTTGAAAACGAAGAAACTCAATAATAAGTCTGTTTGTTTTTGAAGAATCTCTGAACTAGCATACACTAATGCAATAAGTTAAGCATTAATAAGAGAAAATATATCTATCTCAATCCAACTAATTCAAAGTCTTTTGAAAAAGAACAAACCATGGGTCTGTTTTTTATCGCTAAACTAGTGTACACTCATGGAACTTAAAAAAAAACAGATATAGAGTTTGTTCTTTTTGGAAGAATTATAATTATATAGTTTAGGGATCTCACCTGCAATATTGATAAATTTATACTTAATTGATGCATTTTTGCATAAAAGAATATGGGAGAACAAAGTTGCTCTGCCTTATGAAGCAAGATATTGTTAATAAACACAAATTTATCAATATTGGAGATAAGGCCCCTAAATTGTATAATTACCGATAGAACTTTTGAACTAGTGCAATAAATTAGGGTAAAAGCAGATATATTTGTTTCACTTTAATTTATTGCACTAATTTACAAATCCTTTGAAAAAAACAGACTTATATAATTGAGAGTTGGGAGAAGAGAAGAGAGAGTTGGGAGAAAGAGAAGAAGAGAATCCATGCAAGTTAATATAGCCAATTCGATAATAGAAAATAAACTTATCAAGTGATTATGACCTGATTCCAGTAGGTTTTTTCTATCTCTTGTTTCAACTGATGAAATCCAATTAGTTTAAAATTTGATTGACCTATTAGATTATAGATTAATTTGCAAAGTAGTATAGTTCTCGGTAACAAGTATTACCCAATTTTTCAGAGAGGATGAGTGAGATTTTATGTGAAGAATGATAAGTTAATTGTGAAAATTGTTTGTTTGCAGCCCCCAGTTTTGGTAAAAGAATTCGGCCCGATCGATTATATTGACTTCTCATCGGTAGAACCACATCATTTCGCAGTCACCTGCTCAGTACGATTGCAAATATACAATCCCATCACAAAGTTAGTTACAAAGAGCTACAGTAGGTTCAAGGAAGCTGCATACGGAGGTTGTTTTCGCAGAGATGGAAAACTACTGTGTGCTGGTGGCGAGGAAGCAGTGGTCAGACTTTTTGATACCAATTCAAATAACATGTTGCGTCTCTTCTCAGGACACAAAGCTGCAGTACACAGAGCTTTTTTCACAACTAATGATATTCACATAGCTTCGTTCTCAGATGATAAAACGGTAATATTGTGGGATATAACCAGTGAGAAACAAATAACAAGCTTTAGTGATCATACTGAATATATCAGAGCTGGAGCAGTAAATCCTACATCTTGTGATATAATATTGTCCGGTGGCTATGACAAATGTATATACATGTATGATACTAGGACGAATAAGAAAGTGCTCAGTGTTAATCATGATGTACCTGTAGAAAGTTTACTGTTCCTGCCAAGTGGAGGAATATTCTTGTCTGCAGGTAAAATGATTATAATCTGGTTAATCCATGTAATAATTGATGACATGTAACTGTGCAGGATTGATTTTTAATCAATCTATATAACAATTGTATACAATTTAAGATTTTGAAGGATCAATCTTTTTGTTTCTTCATATATAAAAATATTTGTTTACTTTTTACTTTTTTAGGAGGAACAGATATCAAGGTATTCGATGCTTTCACTGGTGGCAAATTACTCGCAAAAATCACACAACATCATAAAACAGTGACATGTCTGAAAACAGCCTCCAATGGCCGCAGGATATTATCTGGTTCATTGGATAAACATGTGAAAGTTTACGACGCCGGAACCTACAATACTCTTCACACTTTAGATTATCCCAACGCGGTCCTCAGCATAGGAATTAGCGTAAGCAGAAACATTTTTTTTTTTTATTACTGTTCTTGACACATTAACATCTGTGCTAGGCGCATTCAAACTTCTTTTCTCCATTCAATCTATTATGCTTGTATAATGCTTAATAGTAATGATTGATCATACAATTTAGAGAACAATATAGACATAGATTAATTAATTCAAACGTGGAAAGTTGCAGTGGTTCATTTTTAATTTATTCTGAAAGAGCTGTGTGTAGATTAATTGGATCATTTAACGAATCGCAGGCGGACGACCAGACTATCGTTGCCGGTATGGTGGACGGTATGATATCCGTGAGAAAACGCGAGGTAGAGAAGGAACACGTGGAGACGAATCAGAAGAAACGTTTTACACACAGACACGCAGAAAAGGATCCTCACACGACGGACACGATAGATACAGTGAAGCAAAATGTTCACGAAACCTTGTCTAAGCATGATACTTACCTGCGAACGTTCGAATACAGCAAGGCGCTTGATTGTGTCATGATGAGCTATGTAGCCAGTAAAACTCCTTACGTAACTGTTACGCTCATGCAGGAGTTAATTAGGCGACAAAGCCTGAAACGAGCCTTGGCCGGTAGGGACGGCAAATTCTTAGTGAGCATTATCAGATTCCTGAACAAGCATATCGGCAGCATTCACTTCGGCCGAGTAATGGTGCAAGTTGCCAATACTTTACTAGGTGAGCCTACGAGATCGTCATCTCTGAGAAACGAATTTTCAGGTACGTAAGTTTTTTCAAAAGTGATAAGATTGAATTCTGTCCGATAGATGTATATGAGGATCATCTGGATGAACTTGAGCAGGAGCCACGAAAAATGTTCACCATGTTGGCGCAGAGATTACGGGAGGAAGTAAACTTGATGATGTCATTAGCGGAATTGCAAGGCTCGCTGCAGATGATACTGTCTGCCGCCAAAACTACTTCTTCGATCGCCGTGAAGAGTACTCAGAACATGGAGCCGTCAAATGCTGCTCTCACAGACCGCAACCTTGTTCTGAATATAACGTGAACAAAAAAAATCTTAAATACGTCAATCGACGTTTCTTGTAAATACATTTCGCGTTACATGTGTGAAGTGTCCTTCGGACAAATTGTACACGATGACGGTTCGAATATTTTTATCCACGAGAGTAAAGATTATTTTTGTAAGAATAAATACTTTGTCGAGGTCCGATTAACTTTTAGGTATGGAAATGTAGCAGAAAACATTGCAGGATACGTAATTCGCGTGATTTAATTTGCAAAATGGTCGTAGCAAATTTTCTATTTTCCTTAAGTAAGTTTATGTATCGATACGTCCTTCACTCGAGAACTCTCAAGAATTCTCCTTCGTGAGACACCTTTGCCATGCAGCGGATGATGGTTTCTCAGGCACTATCCATCCCACCGGAATCGTTGTTGCGTCGTTCTCAGAACTTACAAATTTGTCCCAGGCCGTACTGAAATACACACCCGACGGTCACTTTCCTTTACCGGGAAAAGCAATTCCTGTGTGATATCGAGAGTAATGCATACCGAGTTATGATGAAGCAATTCAAGTCCTCGTAACATCGCTCGGCAGTCGATATACTTCTACCGAACAGCACGTTTTCCCAATCGTCGAATATATTCTTGCTCTGTTTTTCGATCCTCTTCTCGTTGTTCGTCTTCAGCATGAGTTTCAAACCTTGTTCCTCCATAGAATACTCGCGATCCAAGTTGGTCCACTGTTCCGTCAATTTATCTGCAGGGAATCCGCCGAGGATCAGTATGTTTGTTCTTTTTTGCTGAATATTGCATAAATTGATATTTAGGTGTTACCTTTTACCTTTAACACATTTAGCACATTAACAGAGCCGATTATTCCAATTTCTTGGTAAGTTAACTGATAGTTGAATCATATGTCTATCTTTGTTTTTTTTTTCAATTTAGACAAAGACAGACTTATGATTCAAATATCAGTTAACTTATCAAGGAGTTGGAACAACCTACCCTTATTGCCATGTAATATATTAAACATTTTTCAAGGGACTAATATTACATAGGCATAATATGCCTGTTAATCAGCTTTTAGAAGTTGATAACACTAATACCAAATGTTTTCTTAATACGAGGAATTAACTGTGCAAAAAGATTTAATGTCCCACTTAATCTTACTTGGCAGTGTTAAAGTGAAAGAAACGTACCAAACGAGTATTAAAAGGGAAAACGACAGAGTTCCAAGAAGCTGCTCTAGTTCAAAGAAGCGACCAAAGAATCCTTTCAATGTGAACACGTGAAAGATGAACATTTTCAAATGTCAAGTTGAGAAATGTTCGCTTTCCACGAGTCAAAAGGGAAGATTCGCATGTTTGACTTCTGACTGGAAAGAACAGGCTTAACATCGTGTGCACGCGCGCGATTTGCAATCATCGTATCATGTCGCGATGCCAGGAACACGAAACTTCGATAAGAGAGATAGAGGATGATAAGATACTACCGATGATATTGTGGAATGCTTCGTCAGCGGCCGAGGACAAGTGTTCGCCTCTCGCCCGGGCGATGGTCATCTTGATCCTTCGTAAATTCTGCAGCTCCTGCAACACGCCCAGATACTTGCGCGCGTCGTTCCGCTTACCGCGAACGTCCGACAGGATCATGTCCGCATCCTTGCGCAGCTTCTCCTCCTGTTTCTCGCGCTCGATCACCGCCTGCTCCTTCCTGATCCACGAGTCGGCCTTCGCGTGCAGTCTGGCTCTCCGCTCCGCCCTCATAGCCTTCTCCTCCTTCCATTGTTCCTTCTTGGATCGTTCCCTCAGTCGTTTCTTCCTGCGCTTCTCCAGGTCCTTCTTCACTTTGCTCATGAATTCCGCGTGGTTGATGCCGCGTAAGATCTCGCAGATTTCATGCTTCGCGACGTCGCAGCCACTGATCTTCTCTCGCCACTGCGTATCCGGTAGATCGATGTTACTTTTGAGTTCCATCCAAATGGCTTCAAGTTCCTTATTTAATTTCGCCACGGACGTCAACGCACTTCTCATCGTCGCGATCTTACATGGCTCTTTCTTCGGGCTGTCTTGCTTTGGAGATTTCAGGTCGGTCTCTTGGAGGAATTGTTCAATGGCCTGTTCGTTCTTCTTCCTTTCTCTAAGCTCACCGGTCGACGTTATTGCGTTATTCATAAAATTGTTATCACATGTTAAATGGCTTGGATAAACATTGCAGTGCATACTCTGGCTATAATTCGCTTCGAATGTGACTGGCTGCGAAGTCATCGGTAATACCTGTTGAAAACTCATGTTGAAATGGGGATTTTCGTATGTTCGTTGAGAGGCAGTTCTCTCGTTGGATCGACCACTGTACATGTTCGCTTGGTATATATTTAAGTGTTTGGTTAACTAGGAGAAATAAAAATGCAACACTAACACATAATTCTTAATATATAAAATTAATTTGCCTCTGTTGTAAATTATCGCTAGTTAAAGAGTGATGCGTAATACCGTCAAATAATATTCAAAGAATAATTTAGCGAAAGTCACCGCAGCACTTTCTAACACATTTGCAAGATGTCTCCTTCTTTTGGCAGTTGTGCCTCTGCCTCTTGCAGCACTTTCTCAGCTTCAATGTAGTCCTCCAACTCTTTCAAATCCTGCTCTGTGTCCAAGATCTTTTTCAGTTCCTCGAATGCTTTAACAAGACGTCGTTGACAGTCTGGTACCATCATGAGGGACTCCTGCAGCACCTCCTCTTGCTTCCTTATGTCGTAGCCGTCTTTATCTGTAAAATATGATGATATACTGGGATTATATATATGTATCACAAAGGAAGAAAATAATTTACATCAGTTCTTAAAAAGCTCTGATGCATTGACCAGTGCAATTTTGAGACACATCTTTTGCAATATATACAAAGGAAAATACATTTAGCAGCATTATATACTCTAGAGATATAATTTTGATAATGATATATAGAATATATAAGCAACCAATCTCCTTTGAATTTTGTGATTTAAATTTCTTTTTGTTATAATAGTAAAAACAAAAACTATTTATACAGAAAATAGCTAAAGATGAAAAATAAAACTTGATAAAAGATTGAGACATAATATATATGCCTATACATCAAATTGCTGATTATTGCCTAGAAATTGATCAGTTTGTTGAAACATCTGGCACTAAAAAGCAGCAAACATGCCATACTCATATTTCTCATATCTTTTCAAATAAAATTCTCACCGCCAAAAGCTTACTTATAAAATCACAAAGAAATAATCAAACAATCTAAAGATGTTCTTATCTCACAGAGTACTTATATCTTCAAAAGCATCTACCTAGTATCACAATAATAATAAGTATAACACCAATCTTTGAAGGTTAAAAAGATTCATGAATTCTATCGAGCGAAATAAGCTTTCGCGAAACTTCAAACTTATCACGATTACGAGTCGAAATCTCGTACTCCACGCTTGGAAATCATGTGCTTTCTTCTTCGTTGTGTGCGACGAGCAATCCTTACCTTGATCCTTCAATTTTTGTATCCTCTCCCGCTGTTGTGCCGCTTCCTTCTCGTACGTGACTTTTTCCTTCGCGAGACGTTTTACAACGCCGGTCTTGATCTTAAGCGTTCTCACACGCGGGTCAGACATTATCCTCGCACGAATAACTTTGCGACTCTTCGCAAGAACGTACGTGGAGAGAATCGCAGAGAGAAAGAAGCAGAGCGAATGATGCACGTCGAAAGTCAGCGATACTTTCGTTCTCTTTGATTGCCTTATCAGGCAGATGAGTCGAGAGAGAAGTGAACACTATTGGAAGATGACACTAGCTCTTCGTTTTCTCTTTTCTTTGTCGATGTCTTCGATCCTGTATGGTGTCACTTGAGTACTTCCTCAAGGTGATATTATTGCAACGTGGAGACTGGGGGAGGTTATGCGCTGACTTAGCGCGCGCAGCATACTCGAAAATAAAAGATTACTTGGCTTCCCGTTGAATCATACTTGAAAATAAAAAAAGTCCGATTCGTCACGGAGATGTACTACTCGAATTAGAATTGTTAGATACATTACAATCATAGTACTTGTAACCGTTCGCCGAACGTACTCAATATTAAAGTGACGGAGATATCGTAGAAGCGTGAATTTAAAACGATCTTCGATATAAAACAGGATCATGAATATAGTCGTAGGTCTTTTTATTTTCTAGTAGCGCAATCCAACGACAGAGTAGACTATTTCACGCGCGAAATTCAAAATATCATTTTTCATTATTATGAAAAGTGAGCCAAATTCAATGAGTTCCAGTTTCAGTAAAAAATAGCTCGGGAAGCATTTTACAGATTAAAATTTCTACCTTCTAGGCATGTGGAGTGCATAATCTTGCTGTCATTTCTCACCAAGATATATCGAGTTGAATGAAGCGAATGAACAACGACGATCTTCAATCGATTTTCGACACCATCTATCAATTTAAAGACATATCTATCGATTGCGTCTTTAAATTAAAAATTTACTCATATAAAAAAAGATAAAATCTTTTATTAAAGATAAAATCTCGACCTTAATCTTAATCTTTTGACGAATGTCGTATGTTGATCCTTTCACTTTCTGTGAATAATTAAAACCGGAATGACGGCTTCTGCTTCAACGTTGAATAACTCGACAAACAATCGCACCGTTTAACGTTTTACCGTCTATTTCTTGCACTAGTACAGGAAGTTCAACGAAAAAATAAATCTATATTTATCGAGTGCACGGTTAAATAGTTGTGTTTAATGACTGCGTTTGGCAGAAGAAATATTAATATTACGATAATAAGCAGGCAAGCGCACTCGATAAACGAAATTACACGAACGATAGGATGATATTGAAAATTTCATCGAATTAAATAAATGTAATTTGTAGGCAAGTTTTTAAAACACTGCAAGGTGGCGTATCTTTTGAGAACGGGAGAAATAAAAGCGCACGACGGTTACGATTCTAATCACATTTGCGTGAAATATGTAGTCGCGAAGAGCGGCGCTTCAGTGTCGGTCCGGTTTTTGAACAAATATGGCGGATGCCGAGGTGAGCGAGTCACGTGGAGCGCAAGAAAATATTAGATTGTCTTTGTCCTGGCGTATTGTAATCGGCGTGTATTTTGTTGCAGTTAGCAAAAGCTCTGAAGGATCTACCGAATCGAGTTCAGACCGCCAGCAAGAAGGAGCGGCGTGAGGTTCTGCAAAATGTCGTCAACGTGTTGTCAAATCCCGGTAAGTAGCAGAGGGAAGTTTTAATTTTTGATAAGAGATAAGTGATTTTTGTATTCACCGGCAATGTGGAGATAAGGAAAAAAGATTCGTTTCCGATATCACTCTCTGCTCCTCGTGCTTTATATGTAAATCGTATGCCGACATGTCGATAATCAGGCACATATGTAACCCGCCGATTGCTCGTTGCAGGCATCAACGAGAAAATTGTCAACGGAGTATGTAAGGTTCTATCGCTTACCTTACATAGGTACAAAGACAGTGCTTCGCAATCCTACGTGAGAAACCTGATCGTGGAGTTGCTTAAGAAACAGCCAGATGCTACTGTCAAACATATGACAGCTGTAGTCACAGAGCAAGCCACTTGGCATAAAAATGTGGTTGCTACGTAAGTATATAGGGATTGAAAATTGATGTCTCTCTGCCCATATCCACATCTGATGGCACTGCTTTAACAGAATATTTTTTCCTAGTTTAAATACCTCTTTAACTGCATATATTGCATTGAAATGGTCGACTTTAGTTATTCTTCATGGATACAACGAAGAAATGGATACTACCCAAATCTTACCGAAGCTTATCGAAGCTCAGGCAAATCTGTCTGCAGCTGCTGTGGCATCTAACGATGAGAGACTCTCAAACAAGGTATACACATTACTTGCTCATGAATGGACAACCATAAAGAATATAGAAATTATATATGTGGAAAATTTAACAAAATTGGAAATTGGAAACGGTACAATAATCTTGGCGAGCTTACTCACCAAATATCTAGTTGCCTCCAAAAGGAACGATCTGGTGGAACAGTTGAAGGTAAGAGAACTGAAGAATGGCGATAATTAAATATTAATAATCCTCGATGAATATACTGCTGCACTACATGTCATTATAAACGTGTGTGTTGACGTGTGCAAATTTCAGGTAAATATGATAGACATATTCATCAAAGTAACCATCAGTTGCAAAAAGAAGCCAGACTTGTATGTGGTCGACGTGGCTGTGCCGCTTCTCCGACGATTGACCCACGAGGAATTCAAGATCCACTTGCTTCCCGCTTTGCAAAAAGCCATGTTGAGGAATCCGGAGATCATAATCGAGTCGGTCGGCCATATATTGAACGGACTCAGTCTTGATCTTAGTCAATATTGCCAAGAGATCAGCAAAGGCTTATTCGCCAATTTACATTCTAAGGAAGACCTGGTGCGCGATAATGCGGTCGGAGCGTGCCGTAAGCTCGCTCTGCAATGCTCCGACACCACGGCTTTAGAGTCGCTGTTGTCGTCGGTGTTCGCGGTGTTCCACGGATCCGAGGGCAAACTTACGGTCGCGACCCACAAGATCTCTGTGCTGCAAGGAGCCGGCAATCTTAGCTACAATGCGGCCTCGGGCAGCAGCGTGCAGAAACTAGCGGAGACGGCGTGCGAGCACTTCGTCAAGGTCCTAGAGACCGAGGTGCATGAGAAGACACTGATACACGCCCTGGAGATGATGGCGCTGTGGTCCAAAAAGTTCTCGTCCAACGTACCTAAGAGTGTGGTGGACGCGTTCAAGAAAGGCATGGCAGCGAAAACGTCCACCGCTGCAGTGCGCACCGCCTACATCAAGCTCTTCTTCTCGACGCCCGCCACTTCTTACGCAGGCGTGATAGCACCGACCCTCGCACAGGCGATCAGCAGAGCCATGCAGCAATGCGCGCAGCCGACGGCGGTGACCGAGGGCCTGGTCGCGTCGTACCTGCTGCTCAAGTTCGTGTTGGCTGACCAAGTGGAGAACGACAAGCAGAGCGTGCTGTGGAGCGCGATCGATGAGCAGATCTTCTTCTCGGAGAAATTCCTGTCGACCTGCGGCGATGACATCCTCTATCATCTGATGTTGCTCTGCGAGCGCCTCATCAGCGAGTTCTCTGACCGACTGAACGAGAAAGCACTCAACGGGGTTCACCGTGCCATCGTGTCCTGCGCGACCGCGCCGAACTCCAGCACGAGGCAACGGTGCTTCCCGTTGGTGAAGAAAGTCGTTACTGGCTTGAGCACCTACGCTCCGGCGCAGGCTCTCCTGACTGAGTTCAACAAGTTCCTGGAGAACGTCAAGATCAAATCGGAGGCGGACAAAGAAAGCAGAGACGAGTCCTCGATGGGGGAGATCACCGGCCGGTGTCTCGCGGATGGTTTGTTCGCCCTGTGCTCTGGCTCCTTCTTGTTCGACGTTCCCGCCATGCAGATGACCCGAGACTCCTTGCTGCCGTCTCACCATCCGGCCTTGCTCAAGGCCGTGCCGAACCTGTGGTTCAAGATAGCCAAGAACTACAGTTTCATACCCAAGGATTTCTTGCGTAGCTACAGCAGCGAAGTGAGGAAGATGCTGATACAGAATTACAGGCCGCTAGCGAATTACGAGAACGCGCTGATAAAAGTCGTGTCGTTGGCGCCGGACGCTTTCCTACCCGCGTTGGTGTCCAACGTCATCAGCAAGCTGGACGATCCAGAGATCCTGAGAGTCACCAAGGATGAATACTTCACGTACCTCACCCCCGAAGGCGAGCTCTACGACAAGAGCGTGTTACCCGTTAACGACGAAAACGATATTCTCAATTCCATGAACATGAAGAGGGAAAGCAAGGTCTACTCGTTCAAGGAGCAGCAGGAGGAGCTTCAGTTGAGGCGCGAGCTGTATGAGAAACGGAAGAGGGAAGGCAAGATCAAGGAACCGAAGCTGACGCCGAAGCAAGAGGAGACCCTGAAGGCGCAGATCGCGAAGGAGAATGGTATTCGCAAAAGATTGACCGAGTTGAAGGCCAAGATCGATACCGCGGTGTCTCTAGTCACATGCTCGATACGCGGCAATCGACAGGAGCTGTCGCTGCACTTGAAGGATCTGCTGCCGTCGATCTTGAAGAACCTGGGCTCACCGTTGGCAGCGCCTGAAATGGCTGAGCTGTACTTGTCGCTCCGTCAAACAGTGACGATCGACAACAGCGCGATCTTGGGCGATCTGATCGCTCATGTGACGCTGCGGCAACTTCAGCCACAATGCGACCTGGACCCAGCCTGGGAGGAAGAGAACCTCGATGTGGCGGTGAAGAGAACGTTGAATCTGATCCATACGGTGACAATCAAGAAGAAGGAGTTGTTTACGGCCTCGGCCTTCTGCTACGTGTTCCCGTTCGTGAGGAAGACCTTGTTAACGTACAAGGATGACGGTATGATCGTGCAAGGACTGCAGTTTATACAGGAACACACGAAGCAGAGAGGAAGCACCAACGAGCTGAAAGATCCGAGACATCCCAGGCTGCTGCCGCGCAAACAGATGTTTGACCTGCTGATCGAGCTGATGGAGAAGACCACCGGCCGGGTGCAGTCCCATGCGGTCGCCACCCTGTTGGACGTCGCACATTCCGGTAGCGGTCAACCCAACACGGCGATCGCCACCAGCGAGGACATCGACTCGCTGATCGGCGCGCTGCAGAACTCTCTGTCGACTGTAAGAGACGCCGCTCTCCGAGGACTGGCAGTGATACGCCAAGCTTTCCCGTCCCACAAGGAGGATGAGGATCAGTTGGACAGACTCACCAGGAGAGTGTGGATTGCCCGCTTCGACGTGAGTGACGAGAATAAGATCCTCGCCAATGAGCTATGGGACGCGGCCGAGTTGACCGCGCGGGCGGAGGTGCTCTGCGACGAGCTGATCCAGGACATTGCGCACCCCGTGGAGCCGGTGCAGCAGGCTGCTGCGTACGCGTTGGCGCAATGCTTGGCCACCGTGCCGCACCTCACGCCGTCTGTATTGGACAATCTGCTGCAGCTCTATCAGGAGAAGCTCGCCATGATCCCGCCGAAACTCAACGACTTCGGTCGCGTGATCGAGCAACCGATCGACACGTGGGGACCTCGACGAGGAGTGGCACTCGCATTGGCGCAGATCGCGCCGCTTCTCACCGCTGACACGATACACCGGCTCGTGCAGTTCTTCGTCTCGACCGGCTTGGGCGACAGGAATCAATCGGTGCGCACGGAGATGTTGACTGCTGCCGTCGCCGCGGTAGACCTTCACGGCAAGGTCAACGTGACGTCGTTGTTGCCTGTGTTCGAGGACTTTATGGATAAGGCGCCGAAGATCGGCAGTTTCGACTCGATCAAGCAATCGGTGGTCATCCTCATGGGTTCCCTGGCGAGGCACTTGGACAAGGACGACCCGCGCATCAAGCCCATTGTGATGCGACTGATAGCGGCGCTTTCCACACCGTCGCAGCAGGTGCAAGAGGCTGTGGCGAACTGTCTGCCGCACCTGGTACCTTCCATCAAGGAAGACGCGCCGAAGATCGTGGATAATCTGATGGATCAGCTGCTGAAGTCGGACAAGTACGGCGAGCGTAAAGGCGCGGCCTACGGATTGGCGGGTATCATCAAGGGCATGGGAATACTCGCGCTTAAGCAATTGGACATCATGACTACGCTGACCAATGCTATCCAGGACAAGAAGAACTACCGGCATCGCGAGGGCGCGCTCTTTGCCTTCGAGATGCTGTGCACGATGCTGGGCAGGCTGTTTGAACCTTACATCGTTCACGTGCTGCCACATCTGCTGTTGTGCTTCGGGGATTCGAGTCAGTACGTGAGAGCCGCCACCGACGACACCGCCCGGGTGGTCATGAGCAAGCTCTCCGCCCACGGCGTCAAACTTGTTCTGCCCAGTCTGCTGGCGGCCTTGGAGGAGGACTCGTGGAGGACGAAAACCGGTAAGGCTGAGGAGAAGTGTTCTTAGCGGCAAAGAGCCTGCGAGATCTTGAACTTCTCCTCTTGGGAGTTATTGGAAAACAATTCTCCCCGTTACATAGCGGAGAATTTCATCAGGAGAGCATTGCAACCTTCTCGCCACTCACACTCTTCCAGTTCGAGTAACTGTAACCGTGTGAGGCTTTTTTTCTTTTGTTTTCTCTACTTTGATGAATGAATGAATAATTTTTCTGGCTCAATTGAGAAAAGAGCGCAAAAGAAGAGTCTGCTTTGCTTTCCCTCTTCATTTCATTTGTCCTTATTGTTGTTTTCTTTCAGGGTCCGTCGAGTTGCTAGGTGCGATGGCATACTGCGCGCCGAAGCAGTTAAGTAGCTGCCTACCGAGCATCGTGCCGAAGCTGATTGAAGTGCTGAGCGATTCGCACACGAAGGTGCAAGAGGCCGGTGCAGAGGCGCTCAAGGTCATCGGCAGTGTCATCCGTAACCCGGAAATCCAGGCTATCGTGCCGGTACTCCTGAAGGCGTTGCAGGATCCTTCACACAAGACCGCCACCTGCTTACAAACACTATTGGACACGCAATTCGTGCACTTCATCGACGCTCCCTCGTTAGCTCTGATCATGCCTGTGGTGCAGCGCGCTTTCCTCGACCGCTCGACTGAGACGAGGAAGATGGCCGCGCAGATCATCGGCAACATGTACTCGTTGACGGACCAGAAGGACCTGACTCCGTACTTGCCGACTATAATCCCAGGCCTGAAGACGAGCTTGCTGGACCCCGTGCCCGAGGTGCGCAGCGTATCAGCGAGAGCGTTGGGCGCGATGGTGCGCGGCATGGGAGAGTCGAGCTTCGAGGACCTGCTACCTTGGCTGATGCAAACTCTCACCTCGGAGAGCAGTAGCGTCGACAGGTCCGGCGCGGCTCAGGGTCTCTCGGAGGTGGTGCGCGGCCTGGGCGTCGAGAAGCTTCACAAGCTTATGCCAGAGATCATCAGCACCGCCGAGAGGACCGACATCGCGCCTCACGTTAAGGACGGCTACATCATGATGTTCATATACATGCCGAGCGCCTTCACCACAGAGTTCACGCCATACATTGGCCAGATCATCAACCCTATCCTCAAGGCTCTGGCTGACGAGAACGAGTACGTGCGGGAGACCGCTCTGAGAGCAGGCCAACGCATCGTGACGCTCTACGCCGATTCGGCGATAATGCTGCTGTTGCCGGAGCTGGAGAAGGGTCTCTTCGACGATAACTGGCGTATCCGCTACTCGTCCGTGCAGCTATTGGGCGACCTGCTGTACAGAATCTCCGGCGTGTCCGGCAAGATGTCGACAGAGACCGCAAGCGAGGACGACAACTTCGGTACCGAGCAGTCGCACTACGCTATCATAAACGCGCTGGGCGCTGAGAGGCGGAATCGCGTGTTAGCCGGTCTATACATGGGTCGCTCAGACGTAGCTCTGATGGTGCGCCAAGCGGCTCTTCACGTCTGGAAGGTCGTGGTGACGAACACACCGCGAACCTTGCGGGAGATACTGCCGACGTTGTTCACTCTTCTGTTGGGATGCTTGGCGAGCACAAGCTACGACAAGAGACAAGTGGCCGCTCGGACGTTGGGTGACCTGGTGCGCAAACTAGGCGAGAGAGTCTTGCCGGAGATCATCCCGATCTTGGAGAAGGGTCTGCAGAGCGATCAGGCCGATCAACGGCAAGGAGTGTGCATAGGTCTGTCAGAGATCATGGCGAGCACCAACAAAGACATGGTCTTGACCTTCGTCATCAGTCTCGTGCCGACGGTGAGGTGAGTCGGGTGGCAACTGGCGAAAGAGTCTCGCAAAGCGCGAGAATGCAAGGTTACATCTCTCTTCGTGGTTCAAGCTAAGGGGAGAATCGTCGTTGTCTTGTTTCAGAAAAGCGCTCTGCGACCCGTTACCGGAAGTTCGACAGGCCGCGGCCAAGACCTTCGACGGTCTGCATTCCACGGTGGGCGTTCGCGCCCTTGACGACATATTGCCGGCCATGCTAACGCAATTGAACTCGCCCGACTCGGCCGAGGCGGAGAACACGTTGGACGGCTTGCGCCAGGTGATGGCGATCAAGTCGCGCGTCGTGCTGCCGTATCTGGTCCCGCAGTTAGCCTCGCCGCCGGTTAACACGAAAGCACTCTCGATCCTGGCTAGTGTGGCAGGTGAAGCATTGACACGGTTCCTTCACAGGATCTTACCAGCATTACTCACTGCTCTTTCCAGTGCTCAAGGGACCGCGAATGAGCTGCAGGAGCTCGAATACTGTCAAGCGGTAGTTCTTTCGGTCACTGACGAAGTAGGCGTCAGGACCGTGATGGATCAGTTGATGGAGGCCACGAGAGCGGAGGACCTCTCGAAACGGCGCAGCGCCGCGACGTTGCTCTGCGCCTTCTGTCGCGACACTCGCGCGGATTACAGTCAATATGTGCCACAGTTGTTGAGGGGTCTGATCCATCTGTTTACCGACGAGGACAAAGACGTGTTACAGATGAGCTGGGAAGCGCTCACCGCTGTCACCAAGGCGAGTATATTGTGTTCTCATCGAGCGGTGTCCCTTTTAATCCGTTATCCTGCTACAGCGGGGTCTAGATGATAAGTTTATTTGTTTTTAATTCTAATGAAAATAATTATTAAGAAACTAAATTTTGCTACCTCAAGTCAAGTGATTTACAGGGTTTCTAGTTAAAGATAGTCAGAATTATATCAAAATTAGAATTATATAAAACAGGATAGCGAGAGCTAATTGCAGGTGGTATTATTGTTCTTCTTTTTTTTTTCTTAATATAAAGCTTTAGAAAATGCTATTTCTTACCTGGGAATAGGGGTCGTACTCTGGGGAAAGATTAAGAACAGACGATAGAGGAACCGAAGAGACGAACTAGCTTTGTTTCCGTTGCTTTTCGCAGACTCTGTCATCCGAGCAGCAGATAGCACACGTGCAAGACATCCGGCAAGCCGTTCGATTCGCGGTGTCCGACCTGAAGGGCCAAGAACTGTTACCCGGATTCTGTCTTCCCAAAGGAATCACACCGATTTTACCAATCTTCCGAGAGGCCATACTGAACGGTCTGCCGGAGGCGAAGGAGCACGCCGCTCAAGGCTTGGGAGAAGTCATAAGGTTGTCGAGCGCGTCCGCGTTGCAGCCGAGCGTCGTGCAAATCACCGGCCCGCTCATCCGAATCCTCGGCGACCGTTTCAATTGGAGCGTCAAGGCAGCCGTGCTGGAAACGCTCGCGATATTGCTCGGAAAGGTGAGTAGAACAGCACCATACCACGATTTATTTTAAACAGTTTCGACTCTCTGATTAATATTTTGTTACTGGATATTAATGTTGTTTAATGATACTGATAATGGATTTGTGGAAGCAAGATGAACATTTCAACCTCTCTTCATTGTCGATCAGCATTGCGCGATTGCTATTCAATGTTCGCACCCACTGGACAATATTTTAACGTTTACCTTGCTTACCGGATAGGTCGGTGTTATGCTGAAACAATTCTTGCCGCAACTGCAAACCACCTTCCTGAGAGCCCTGAACGACAGCAATCGACAAGTCAGACTGAAAGCGGCGTACGCTCTCAGTAACTTGATCGTCATCCACACGCGTGTCGATCCTTTGTTCACGGAGCTTCACACCGGTATTAAGACGGGAGACGATCCGGCGATAAGGTAATTTCATCGTAGAGTTGTCTCTGTGGTGTATCTCCAGGTATCTCTGTTTCAAGAGTCTGTCATTGGCATATTTCTCGTGCAGAGAAACGATGCTGCAAGCTCTCAGAGGCGTACTAACGCCCGCTGGCGACAAGATGACCGACCCGATGAAAAAGCAGGTATTCGCGACGCTCAGCAGTATGTTGAGTCACCCAGAGGACGTGACGAGGAACGCGGTGGCTGGTTGCTTCGGTGCCCTGTTACGCTGGCTGAGTCCAGAACAGCTAGCGATCACATTCAACGATCATCTTCTATGTGAGTTTGCTGGAACTTGGTTCAACCAAGCGACGGAAGCTTCAAACTCTCATTTACTCGCCGAGATCGTTTGCTAATGGGATGCTCGATTAGGTAACGACGTCAATGCCGACTGGATGCTCAGACACGGACGCTCGGCGGCGCTTTTCGTGACGCTGAAGGAGTCGCCCGCCACAGTGTACAATCCCAAGGAGAAAGACCGTGTGTGCACGGTAATACTCTCGTACTTGGCCGCGGACAGAGTGCAGATAGTCATGAATGGCGTGAGAGCGTGTGGGTATCTGTTTCAATACCTCATGAACGAGGCACAGCCTGTACCGCAGCAGATTCTGTCGCCCTTCGTCAGAGTAAGTTCGACGTCCCGTGTGATATTTCTCGTAATGTCCATTAGAAAATCAATTTCTCGGCAATCTCTCAACGTGAAATGTGTGTACTGGCCGGAAAGATTGAACGATCAGTGGAAGAAAGATGGCAACACCTCTAGATGAGTTTTACATTATATCCATATCCAATGAAAGAATTTGTCTTTCTAGTAGCTTTCAGAAGATATATTCTTCTATGATGTACCAGATGTATTCTAAGGTTTTTGAAGTTTTCTGAAGTTCACCCAGGTGAAAAAGCACTTGCAATCTTCCTACCAATGACTGGAGACAATGTCGAGCCGATTTCAACGTGGATACATGTACGTGTGTAACCTTCGCTTCGAATTTCAGTCAATGAATAACAATAGTAACGACGTGAAACAGCTACTCGCTCGAGTTTGCATTCACCTCGCGCGCAATATACTGCCTGAAAAGATGTCACCTGAGCTGCTCAGGGCTTTGTTACCAATGTTGGTGAACGGGACGAAAGAGAAGAATGGATATGTCAAAGCCAACAGCGAACTCGCGCTCATCGCGGTGCTCCGACTGAGGCAGGGTGAAGAAGAACACCAGGTATGTTTACCTTCAGCAGAGACAAGTCACATATGAGTGACACGTTGTCTAATATATTCAATTTGTTTAATATATTTTATGTATGTTAAATGCAAGCATGCATTATATTAAATTACTAAAAATATAGCGTAGGTTATATTTTAATAAAGCTTTAAATTTAGCAGTAAATTATGCAGCAAGTTTAGTAAAATTATTTTAGCTTAATTGCTGTATTGTAGTTATTTTAGTTAAATTATCAGGAAACTACTAAAAATATTGTAAACGACTTTAAATTTAAGTTTCATAGCGAACGTGTCAAAATTTCCGAGTGAGAAGGATGTGATTGTCAAAATAATTATTCTTCTCGTAACTCCTTTTTGTGTCGTTTTTTTTTTTTTTGTAACATGATCTCTTTTCAGCGATGTATGGCTTTCTTGGATGCCGGTGCAAGGGAGTCCCTGTCTGATGTGGTTAGTAAAGTGTTGCGCAAGGTTCTCTCTCAACCAGAAGGCAAAATAGAAGAGCTAGACGACACGTTACTCACGTGAGAGACGTTGTACTTCTCGAGTCTTGGTACGCACTATATTCATCTGAATAACCGTACTCTATGTCATTCACTCGATCTTTACCGAAAGATGTATCGTTCATGTATTAGTTACATTATGAACAAGCTAGCTCGTTCAACATTGTATCTCGATAAGCAATTAAAGAACGTGAAACGTAGTCACGGTCGTTCGATGGGGTTCAAGTTACTTAAAATTAAGATATCCTGAAGATCCAGCGAAACGGATGGAAACTGTATATACTTCGCAAGATATATCCTGTATTATTCACGTATCATTAGCCTGATATTTGGAGATGTAAACGTCAATTGGATCGAAATCCTATACGTATACTTTCAAGATCAGGAATGATCCTTTTTTGTTGGAGACATAAGATTTACTATTCAAGTCGTTACTTTATTCATTATATTAGTCTATTTAAATAAGTCTTTTTGTTTCTATGAATTAAGAATAATTACAGTTTAGAATTAATCGCTTTTGTTTATAAAGAACTTATAAATCTGTATGGAAGTTATTTGTTTTTATTGAGAATATTGATGTGTTGTTTTCATTGCGTCATTGCGATATTGTGATTTTTTCATGGTTTTTGCGCAAGGAAAATGGCAAACATTTTTTTATCATTCCTCCATACAATATAGACTTTTGCAAATCGGACAAAGTCTCATATGTTCACTTATATTTCACAAAGTCTTTGGATAATTCACAGTTGACAATCCGTCGGAGTCTCACCGCAGGAACGAAATTCTTGTGTTACCAAAATTTCGTCTTTCTGACACGATGAGAGTCTCATCGAGACAGTGAATAACTGCCAACCAACCAGATAACACATTGACCGCCGCACTGATCAAGGCTGACCTGAGGACTGAATTATTAAAGATACGGTAAAGAAATTTAATTCTGTAAATGTTACGTAATTCCGGTAAGTTTGTAAATGCTTCACCCTCAAATTCCTTTTGGAAAACAAAGTCACACATTTGTACTATCCGACTTCAGTAGACAATGAACGATTTAAAATGGCTTATTTTGTATTTATATGATAATTTTAATAAATTGAAAATCAAGGTTGGCAAAATATTTTATTATTTAAAATATCTTTTTGCAAACATGTGGAGGCGCTGCAGTCCCATCATCCCAAGTTATAGAAATATAGAATGTCTACGAAATTGTTGAATATACAGTAAATACGAAAACAGTATAAGAGGAATGTAGTTGTGAACGGATAGTTTTCATGGCTTTTAAAAACTTGTACTTTGGTTGATAGAGAAACACGCATTGCTTAATATTTAATTATTCTACACTAAAGTATACCACAGTTTTGTTGGAGCTGGCGAATGTTCCTTAGAGAAGTGGTACTAAACATAATTCATATTACATATTTCATATTTTACTTGTATAATCGTATATACTTGCTAAAGATATACAATTATACAAGTGGAGAATATGACATTCTGATTAGGCACTGAATATCGCAGTTGCATTATATTCATTGAAGAATAGAATAGAAATCTTTGGATATAAGTCCAATGCCTTATATGTAATCGAATTTCGTCGATTTTACGTATCGCCTAATTCCGGTTACAGTAATAAGTAATGCTTAATTACGATTACATAGATACAATCGTATAGACAATAGCTATGTTCAGCAGAGAAAGTTACTTTGTAACTCATGAGTTGTAAAATTCATGAATCTCAATCTGTAGATTCACTTTTGCTTTTAATTTTGATTGCTTTGAATTTAATTAAAAGCAGAGGCCATTCATTTATGAATTTTATGACAATTGCAAAGCAGTTTTCTGTGCTAAACGCAGCTAATCTTTGGTAATTAAGCGTCTTTTAAAAATATATGTATATATACAATGATATTATACACTGTTCAATAAGATAAATTCGTTATCAAACGAATACCTCTTCCATCATCTTGTGTAACATTTCAGTAAAAGACAAGTTTTTTTTCTTAAATGTTGCGAGATTCTTTTAATTACTAAACTTTTGAGACTCAAAAATACGAGATTTTCCCTTGGATACGATTGTAGACATTTATAACAAGAGAGAGTGTAAACATTTATAATATATAAAATTACATTACATCAATATCTCTCACTTGTATACAATTAATATATATCTTCCAAAAATGCTATTTATGGAACGAAAATTTGTATGATAACTAATGTAAAACATTTCAATCAGATTAATCGGTTTTTTAAGTGTTTACTGTATTGTACGCAGTCTCTATATACACACACAAGTTATATCTTTTTTTCTCATTTAGATTATAACTTTTTGCAATTTAGCTTAATACGGATATTTTCGATTTCATTTTTTATTTTATTTCTAAAACTTTTAAAAAACACGTTAAAATAAAAAGATAATGTCCGTAAAATGACATTTATGTTCGTTGGAATAGATCTATAAAATAAAATAAACTTATATAAAATTAATTAGAAGCGAAATATATATGTAACCTATCTTGTAATTAACATGATAAAATTTTATGATTATATACAACATACACATGTGGCAATGTATATAAATGAATACATTCAACGTGCAATGATTTATTGATTAAATTGATTTATTGATTAAATTTGAAAATATTTTTTTTTAAACCATCATGTGACTTTCTTTTCCGAATCAATTTATATATATATATATATATCCATTATTTATATTATTATAATATATATATATATGTATATATATATACATATATAATGGATATATATAAATTGAGTATATTGAACTTTGAACCCTGAATGTTGAACCTGTCGTTAGGCACAATAGTCGTCATATAATTGTAGATTAAGACGATTAGATCATTCTGAACAAAAAAGTCCTTTACCATTTTGCAAGTACGCAAATTTTCAAGTTATTTAAATAGCCTCTAGATGTGGTCAACCATTAATAACTTAATAATTATTACGATTTTTATAACTTGACTTTTTCTCAGTTTGATCTGATTAATCTTTACAATTTTTCGTTTTCAAAAGATCTCAGACATCCTATATATATAATTCATTATCCAGTCGATTATTTATCATAGTTTTTTTTTACTTCCGCTTAAATTTCTTACGTGTCGTTAATTAACATCCAGCTCTCTATATATATCTGTCTCTATATGTATATATTTTGATGATATTAGTTTATGAGTGTGGAATACATGGGTAAACGATACCACGTATCATGCCAATCGCGCGTGTTTGGGTAAACACATGGGACATGTTGATATGGATATTGATGATATTGACGAGGTGTCGGTATAAAATTATGGTGCAATATAGTCGACGTGGGCAAGCGGTAGTTATATAAGGACAAATTAGGCACTGGGGGAAACATGGACAGCGGCGTTGGTCTCAATTCCGACATCAGTGGTACTAAATGCAGGGATGGTTGCCTAACCAAGGGTGGGTCTAACCAAGGTCTGTAAAGTCTATGATGACGTGACGGTGTCGACGGCCTTGCGTTTTCACGATTATCCTCCGCTCTGGGTGTCGAATTTTCAGCTTGAGCAATCATCGATGACGGCGATTTGATTTCATTTAGGACACCGACGCTTACATCCTTGTGCAAAGTACTCCTCAGCATCATTGCTGTTGTCTTTTTGGGAGGCGGAGGACTCGCTTCGGACGAAGAGAGGCTGTCCTCGTCAACTATAAGCATCTGACCGGTATCACTGTCTTGTAACTTGCGTTTATATCGCGAATGTCCCGTCTCGCGAAATCCCTTCGCAAATGGATTGTTGTCGATTTTGAGTTTTGTGATTCTCTCATTCTGGAAGCAATGCAAATGGGAAATTTTTAATTACTTACGCATAATTCTGATTGTTATTTTCGATGAAAAATAAAATAGGACACAAGAGTGGAAGAAGAATACATAAAACGAATGAAAAATGAAAAATCGCACAAATCGTATAAAAAGTACAAAAAATATGCCTGACATTTTAGATATGAATTATCTATTTTGTGATATTATACTAGCTAAATTTCTAGCCTGTTTCTCCTGTTTAGCCATCAACTATTGGAAAAACTCGATTTAATTTCACTATCAATTAAATCTTAATTAATTTTCACGATTTTATTAATAATTAAATCGTTTTTCTTAATAATCGATTTTATTAATAATTAAATCGTTTCGTAAATTAAAGTAATTAAATCTCCTTTATTTACTTTTCTATCTCTTTCGCGCGACCGCCACAAATTACTTATACATATTCTAGCGTTATTAACGCACTCGTGTAATCATCGAGAAAGCTTTCTTTTATCTTGTGACATTCCTTCTCCCGCGCAGATTTTTCCATTTTTCCGTTTACCTCATTCTATTTAATATCTATATAATATTTTTATCAAGTTAGGTCTTGTAATAGGAAGACTCTCCTGTTGTCACGTACATATCTCCTTATTCAGTATTTCTCTTAAGAGGAAACATTTATTTAATAATTTACATAATAACCGCATAAAAAAAGCTAATATATATAACAGTATTTGCACACAAAGAAACATGCCTTACTTTATATTCCTTTTACATAACGAAAGTCAATTCTCTTTTACACGAGACATTCTTTACAAACGAAGCGGCATGAAAATATGAAGTATTGCGAGGTATTATTATTATTATGATATAAAAATTTATGAAAAATGGTTTTTACGATATGAATCCCGCAGTCCGAAGAAAAATAACGGATTCCTCGAATTTTGCTTCGTACAAAAAAGATTTGTTCTCACTGGAAAAACTCGATAAGCATACCTGATAAGCTGTTACAGCGATAAATTCGGTTTCTCTGAAGGTGAAGGACGAATGCGGCCGAAAATACAGCTCGTTAAAGGCACTGAGATTATCGCTTTGAAAAATCCAAATTCTTGGGATATACTTGTGCATTGACGTAAGTAACACCTGCGGACAAAAGCACAAGTCTCCCTTTTTGTATCTCTCTTACATTCTTACGCGAGGAACTTTTAACAAACGAAGCGGCGTGAAAATGTGTCATTGTGTTGGCGATTGCAAATGCAGGAAAGGGAAAAAAAGGACACAGATCTGCTGTTAACGCGGCGCAGGCTGCGTCAGACCGCGACAGACGAGAAGCCACGAGTGCAGGAGAGAAGACTCTCTCTCTCTCTCTCTCTCTCTCTCTCTCTCTCTCTTTCTCTCTCTTTCCCTCCCTCTGTGCTGGCCGCGACGAAGAACGCACACGGAGTCGGGGATTTTATTAAATTCGTAATTAGTTTGAGGAACCGGGTAAAAGGGCACCGCTTTTTCGAGATAAGTTGGCGCCTCGCTAAAGAGGCCGGCAGTCGGCACAGACACGATTCCCGAAAACCAGACTGGCCCCTGCACAGTCTCCTCCCTGCGCGGCGCCTCGTCTCTCGTCCTTCGTGTCAGCCCTCAGCCTACCCTTCTTAGAATCACGTGTTCCTTAGTACCGAAAGATCTTGCTCACCACTTTCATGTTCAATCTGCCTGATCTGATAGACAGGTCGAAGGACAGATACGTGGCTTGCTGCTTGTCGGAGGAAGAGGAGAGGTGTCGAGATAAAAGAGAAGGAAGGAAGAAAAGGACGGCGGGATCGCGAGATAACGGCGGGGGGGGGGTGTGGCGATTCGATTGAATCCTCATTAAACGCCGAGTGTCGGCGCGCGTTTGAGGATTATGTGATGTACACGCGTTTTACACACGGATCCACGCGAATGGGAGTGATGAGCCGGCAGCGAAGAGCCGCGTTTTGTCGTCCAGAGACAACAATGGGGCTGCCGCTCTCTGCACCGTTATTTCCCGACTACAAAGTCCTGCCGGACGCTTACAGAAGGCTAGACAAAACTGGCTCGCGACTTAAAACGAGAGAGACAGCGGTATATCGATTGCATGTCGCGCAGCCTGTTAATCTTCGTTCTTTGTGGATGTTACATCGAACCGCAAAGACAGCAATCGTTGCTGCTTTTCTATTGTGAGGTGTTTTTCGCTTACACCTAGTAGGGAAAACCGGTTTTTCCGCAAATCTCCCTCTTCGGCTCCGATTTTCCGTGATACATGACGAGTTTCACAATAGTGAAGCGAGGAAAATCGTAAAAAAATAGTTTCGTTAGAAAGTTATAACTTCTGCAAGATCTTTGATAACGAATGAATGGGTTTAATTGTGAATGAAACGGCCGCACTATGACGGAATTTTGGGACGCGTCGCGAATAATAATCACGCTGCGATAAAAGGCGGTCAAAGGAGCCGCGGAACAAATCGAGGGAAATGAACCGTGTGGAATAAAAGATGCAAGAGATGCGGATTTCTTTCATTTTGTGTAAGTCCGACGAGTGAGAAGGGAATGCCAGGGAATTAAAAGTCCAACCAAGTATTTGACTTAAGAATTAAATTAAAGCCAGAGAATTAAGAGAGCACATGTATGCGTGTATGTGGACGACTTCCCGTGTATGCAACATGAACGCGAGAAGAAAGGTAATACGAAGCAGGGACATGCCAGAGGACGAATATGCAGACAGGAAATGAGGTTTTCGAGATCAAGCGAGAGAGAAAGGCTGTCAAAATATCGAAGAGCCAGATGAGTGAGCGGTAACTGGCACTAATCAATCAATTGGTTGGATTCGTGTCTCTTATTAGAGACGGAATGCTGTGGTTTCGCAACCCTCTTGCACACTGCCAGATATTCAACTTGAACAGATGCGCGGTCTCTCGAGACACGACACGAGCTCACACGAACATAAATCGAGCCATTAAAGTCGCCCCTTAAAATCATTCGGATCACTCGTCGTCCTCGTTTGCGCCTTTCGGAAGGGACCACCGCAGGACAATCGCGCGCCGCACAGGCAACGCGGATGAGATGCGCACGACTTGAATTGTTGAGAAAAGTTCCAGAGAGCGAGCGAGATCTTGCGAATTCGTATGTACGTACGTTAGGCACGCGGTCGGCGTTGTTGGTGATCTTCAGCTTGTTGAAGCTAACCACGTGCTTCATCCAATGAGCTCCCAGCGCCGGGCTGTCGGGATGTCGGTAGATCCTGCGTTCGATATCTGGCTGCGATTCTGCCTGTCCCGCCTTAGTCCAGCCGGGATTGCTAATCCTATTCTCGTTCTCATCGACCGTGGTGCTTACTCCGCAGTACTTGTGACGGTGCTGGGAAGCCGGTTGCATCTCCACGATGATACAATAACTCAGGTTCTCCTGCAAGCCGCTGATGTTCAATTGCAAGTGCGGGAACATGCGTCTGTAATCGAACGAAAAGTCTTATGGAGATGTAACGTAGTATCTCCCTTCTCCTCCTCCTTCATCCCGCGGCTCTCATTCTTCCTCTGTCTCTCTGATTGCTTGGCAGAAAAAGAGGCGGAGAGTGGAGAAACAGCGCGATCGCTTTGTGAGTACAGTGGAAGAAAGGTTGCGACACTTTCACCTCGTAATCCGTATCCAACGGGAGAGTTCGTTTCTTTGGTAAAATTTTCAAAGAAAATAAATTGTATGTAACGTTAGATAACATTTTTCCCGTTGGATATCGGATACGTTTCAAGGTCGTTCGTCGTTCGAGATGAAAGTCTCGCAACCGTCCTTCCACTGGCGGCGTTTGTTGTTCGCCCAGCGAGCTAGTGCATTTATTTGTAGAACGGTTTAAAGCGTTTCCCGTTGAGGCACAAAATAGTTGGAGAGTTTGCTTTTAGTAATTTTCAAAAAATAAGTTCCGTTATCGCTGCGTTCTTATCAGTCCAGAGGAAAAGGTGTAACAATACACACACCAGTATAACAGCCTTAACACATAACTGAATGAGAGGTGAAATATAACACGAGGGTAACAAAAAGTACAATGATAGAGGATAGAGGGTCCGAAATATCTGGAAAAAAAAAGTATGTAGAAAAAGAGAACGGAATAGGTATTAGTATTAGTAGAGCATTAGTAAGGACGAGAGATGCGATAATATGGAAGAAAATAATAAATATCAATTAGAAATGGATAAAAGGTCTTATTTATCTATTCTGTGATAAAAGGTGAGACAACTGGGCACATTATGTATAATAGGGAATATATAATAATTAGTTCAATCATAAAAATTAGTTCAAAAAATTAGGAAAAGATGATAAAAGAAGGCTGAGGAAAATACGACGAACAATTAGATAAAGAAAAAGGATATGCGCTAAGGAAACTATGGACTGAAAAAGAGAAACTTAAGAAATTAAAAAAAGGAAAGGTTAAGGGAGGAGAGGAAACGGAATAGAGAAATTAAGGTAATGAAACTGCAGAAGATGCGTGAACTGTGATATCGATAATGACTCACACGACTTGTATTATAGTTGTACAGGATGTCCGGAATCTTTTGGAAACGAAAAGTTGTGAAGATTAATCAGATGAAACTGGAAAGAAAAGTCCTTTACCATTTTGCAAATAAGTAGACAAATTTTCAAGTTATCGATTAAAAAACCTCTAGATGTGGTCATTTTCAATCGTTAATAACTTAATAACTATTGCGATTTTTGCAAAATGGTACATGACTTTTCCTCTGAGTTTCATCTGATTAATCTTCACAACTTTTCGTTTCTAAAAGATCCCAGACACTTTGTATATAAAAGTATGGGTACTGTACTGTACTTTATTGTACTATAATATATATAATATTCGTAATATTTTATAGGTATAGAACGAACAAAGAGCAACGAACTAGGAGAACCTAATTAATTGATTTAATTTAATTCGTGCGTAGATAGAAGATTATGTGTTATATATAATATATAAGCATAGATAAGATGGAGGAATGTCTGTTGAAGGTGCGAATATGTTAAATTAAAGTTTGATAAACCGAGTTCTTACTTCTTGACTGTGAAACTCAGAGGAAAGTCATGTACCATTTTGCAAAAATCGCAATAGTTATTAAGTTATTAACGATTGAAAATGAACACATCTAGAGGTATTTTTAATCGATAACTTTTTAATAGAATTGAAAATTTGCCTACTTATTTGTAAAATGGTAAAAAGGACTTTTCTTCTCAGTTTCATCTGATTAATCTTCACAATTTTGCGTTTCCAAAAGATTTCGGACACCCTGTATAACTATAATACAAGTCGTGTGAGTCATGCTGAAGTATAAGTTGATTGATTAATCGATTATGACTTTCCGTAAGAAATGTGTCCTCTGTTCCAGAGGAAAATACAACTTGACTTGTTGAGAATATTATGATGCTCCAAGAAATACGCCGACGCGATTTCAGCACTAAAGCGCTAGTCTGTCAATTCGATGGCTCGTCGAAAAGTCGTCACCTGATGACGGGAATACCGTTATTTCCCTCTAACACATTTCTCTGCTAACGCACACGTTCGCACTGCACCCACCCGAAAGCTAAAATGGGCTCCTGCCTTTTTACCCCTGCCTTTCTACCCCGTGAAAAGAAAAAGAAAACGATGCCATTTCGCAGGTAGTGTTTGCACTTCCTGAAAGAACAAGAGGCACTCAGAGAGAGGGAGAAAGAAAGAGTGAGAGAGAAAGGGAGGGAGGAAGAAAGAGGAGCTTGTCATTAACATCCCGGCGACGTGTTGGCGTCATCGACAAGATGTACCCGTCGCCGTGTTAAAACAACTCCCATTTGCGAGAAAGCGTCCCGTATAAACGTGGCGAGACCCCTGTCTAGCTTCGGCTAGTTTTTCTGGCTGTGCAAACACTTCGAGGCAGTCCGGCTAATCCGTTAAACGCATCCCCGTAAAGTCAACGCTGAGTGGTTGCCGCCCGAGTTATGCCGCCAGCCTAATCGCGTGGGCACCCCTCGCATTTGTCCACCTCCGGTATCCTACTCTGGCCATGGCGCCTGTTGCCAAATCGCGTCATCCTGTCTGCGGTTATACAAAGGCACAAAGGCATAAGGAACCTGAGAGGTGCAAAAATTCAACGAATTCCTCTAAAAATAAAGTGCAGCTAATGTCTGATCTGTGTAAGCGCTGCGCGATTGCGATAAAACCGTGTCATTTGAAAATCATCAAGAGCGATGATTTATACCTGGCCCTTGAAGCTAGAAAATGTCACCGAAAAGACGGTAAAAATTCCGTAGAGATTTCGAGCGTCATTATCTTTCAACAAAAGTTCCAAATCTTCTGCTATCTGCTTCTTTCTTTATTTTCGCTTTTTTCACAAACGGAGAACCGAAAGGAAATAGCTGCGTCCTCCAGCTATCCGGTGCCTTCACAGGGCAGCCAGCGAGGTAATTTCCGAAAATAAAGAAAATAAGACATATCTATGTGTCACTTATATCTATGTGCCCGATAACTGTGCCGTGTCCTTGGTATGACATATCGATAGTTTGCCGGACGTCGTTGCCTAGTAATCCGGGAAAATGACACTCGGACACTCGTCAGAAACCCTCCAAATCTTAAGACGCGTTTCCGTTTTCAAAATCCAAAACATACATCGGATTTGATAACGAATGAGTGAAGATTTAGACAAGAGTCTATCGGGTGAGCAAGCGTCGTATTGTAATAACATTGAGGGGCTTCCTTCAGTAACTCTTTGACGGCTGAAGTCACGCTGTTCACGCCGTCCTCGTCGGTGGTAAGTCAGTGCTCGTGCCACGACAATGTTGCATCTGGCCTTTTCAAGGAACCTCTTATGATTATACAGCACGAGATAATGCATGATATGGCGTGATAGAACACGCGTCTCTCTCAGTGGCACGAGCTCTGGTCCCGTATCGTCCTCCAGAGTGTTGTATCTCTCTCCATGTGACTCTCTCGAAGTAAAATTTAACATTCGACATACAGGTTGCGTGAAAAGTTCGCGGAGCGAAACTGAAATAAAGAATACCAAATTCTAAAAATTATTTTATTCTTCAATATAGTCTCCATTAACTTCAATACATTTGGCCCAATGGCTCTCCAGTAATTTTATTCCATCGCGGAAGTGTATTTCTGAAAGGTCTGCGAAATATGCCTCTACGGTTGCTATAGCTTCTTCATTCGACAAAAAATGCTTTCCACGGAGGAATTGTTTCAGGTTTCGGAACAGATAGAAGTCGCTGGGTGCCAAATCTGGCGAATACGGTGGATGATCAAGCAATTTGTACTTCAATTCATTGAATTTAGACATTGACAAAACACTTGTGTGAGCAGGTGCGTTGCTTGGTGAAAAATGATTTGTTTGTGCTGCAAACCAGGTCTTTTCTCACGAATTTTTGCGTCCAATTGATCCAAAAGGTTACAATAATATTCAGAGTTAATTGTTTTACCTTTTTCCAGATAGTCAACTAACAAAATCCCTTTAGTATCCCAAAAAACTGATGCCAAAACCTTTTTTGCCGATCTTTCATGCTTTGTTTGCTTTGCAGCTGAACATTCAGCTTCAGTCCACTGTAAACGTTCCTGTTTCAATTTAGGATCATGGTGATAGATCCAAGTCTCATCCATAGTTATAAAACGACGCACAAAATCGGTTTTATTCTTCTTAAAACGATCCGAATGACGCTGAGAAATTTGCTTTCGAGCGAGTTTGTGTTGAATTGTTAACGTATGCGGCACCACTTTTCCAAACACCTTTTTCATTTGTAATTCTTTATGCAAAATATGCCGTACCCGTTCATCTGAAATGCCTATGGTATGAGCAATTTCACGCGTAGTCACACTTGGATCTTCAGAAACAATAAAATGTATTTGCTCAATGATTTCTGATGTTGATGCGCTTTTTGGACGTCCACTGCGTGGATCATCTTCAATGCTTGTACGACCACATTGAAACTCAAGTACCCATTTACAAACCATTGTTTTTGAAGGAGCAGATTCCCCTAACATATTTACCATCTCTGAATGAATTTCCATTGCCTTTAAACCTTTTTTAACAAAGAACTCAATCACTGCACGTTGTTTCAAATTTTCCATTGCAAACAAATATACTGACACGTCAACTTCGTTTGGCTTGTAAACACAGACAGAATTGGTAGATGAAAATGAAATCTAACCAAGGTTCATGTGAAGAGTGATTCTATATAACCGACTATAATTTATAATTCTACCGTTTACTTATAGATGCCGCTCCGCGAACTTTTCACGCAACCTGTAATTAACGATAAAAGAGAAATAAAAAGTCAACGTTTCGTATCTCTACGAGATGAGCGCCGATCAAGCTGAGTTCCAATCAGTTGTTCTTTACGTGTCATGAGAAACACCTCTGTCCAAATACATTCTTTTAAGCGACAAAAACTTGGAAAAGTACACAAGTTATATCATAGTCTTTAGATATTTAGCCCTCAGTCAGTTAATTTTCAATCAATGACCTGGTAGTTAGCCGTTAGAATTCAAACTCATCGACACTCGAGAAGTTTCCTCATGTTTGTGTAAAGCTTTACGTCCCTTTTGGTCAGCCGCTAGTCAGGTGTAAATAAGATGTGAAAAGCGTAAAAACCAGAAGTTAGCCATCCATCAAACAACAAACAACTGCCGAACGAGTAGTTTTTGCGGTTACAAAAACCTCCGCCTCCTTGCGTCCCTTTTCTACGCTTTTTATATTTCCATTTAATTATTGTCAAGAAGAATGCGCAGGTAACGGTTCGTCAGGTAAGGCAAAATAAGCAGCGAGCGAAGTGGAAAAAAGAGGTATAAACGACACGACACGCGTGTCACTAAATTATCTATCAAGTATGATTGATCGCACTTGAAGGACGGCTTGTACATCCAACCGATGATGAAACAAGGCGAGAGACATCGTATCTTTGGTGATTCGATCATCAGATCAGCTTTTGCAATCAATGTCAATAAAATCGCGCAGGAAACGGGGCGCTGCGACGAGCACAAAGATCTTGCAGAGGACTGCTAGACTGAAAAATTCGCACATGTTCCAGTTGGAAGAAAATACAAACACGTGGTCCACATATGGTGGTCAATGAGATTGTGTGACACCGAATAACCGGAAAGCATGCACCGGGCACCTCCGCTGTTTTTGTTTAGAAGTGAACAATATACGCACGCCGACCACCTTCTCTTTGCAGCGGAGAATTCTCGTCACCTCGTTAAGAGGTATAACCGGACCTTTTCTTACCTTTTTCGGACTCTGCAGAAAATGGACCCTGGAAAATTGCACAAAAGAAACAGGTTTAAAAGAACTCGAGTCTCCGATTCCTTTGTTTTGTTCCTTCTAGCGAGAACCTTCGACGAGATCTGATCAGAAAAGCATCACAGGACCATATTTATCTTTGTAATCTCTCCGCCTTCTCTTTCTTTCCTTCCGTTCTCTCGCCATGATTTTCACGCCAACGCAATACCGATACGAAATCGTAAAGCGCGCGAGCCCGTGATAACTCGATTAACTATTTATTTATCTCTCGGAGAGTCAAGCGAAATTCCATGTATGCTTTTTATCTCCCGTTCTACTACCGTTCATATCGGGATCGGAGAACCGGTGTTGTTCGATTGGAAAAGGGAAATTACGACGACCGGAAGGCTCCGCGATTCATCGCTCCTCCGTACGTCCGGTTGTAATGCGAGAATCTATCGGCACGCCTCTTAAGAATTTTCCGCCGCGCAACAACCGACTGATAACATCAGAAGTGACAAGATACACATGCTAAAAATTCCTGCAAAATATTCTCGAGAAAATTCTTGCGAAGTACATTGAGACAAAAAGACACGTCCGTAAATCGACCGAGCAGGTCTGTAAAATAGTCCAGACACCATTACGTCTCACCATGTTAATTCTACAGCTGTTTATTGGTTGTTACAGCAAAAGGAAAGTGTTTGCACTGTTTTACATATCCGCCGCATCGATTACAAGTATCATTTTGTGAACATAGTTATTTGTTTCAACGTATTTCGCAAGAAGTGCAATTTTAGAATGCAAATCCCTATCTCTGAGATCGTAATTCGAGATGGAAGTAAACAAATTTTGAGCTTGAAAAACCTTTTCAACGGCTTGCGCATACAACCCAGACAGTACATATGTCCAAAACTGGGACATAAGACGTCTTTAAGGCATCTTTAAGTCGTCTTTAAGATGTCTGAAAATAAGACATCTTTAAGTCGTCTTAAAGACGTTTTAAAGACGTCTTATGTCCCAGTTTTGGACATTGTGCTGTCTGGGAATGATCGTCGCCGCCCTCGTCATCGGTGTTGATCATTCTTTTGATGTACGAGTATCACCTTCCGCGAAACTAATCGCATGGTCATCGTTCGGTCTTTGTTATCACTCAACATATCCAAAAAAATAGACCAAGAAGAAATTCTATTCAAGAGATATCCTTAAATGACCATTTTGACGGACGAAAGGACTCGAAGAAAGATTGAAAACATACAGGATTGGCATTTGAAACAGGCCTTGAGTAGCCAGCCATTCAATAGTCCGGTAGTCAACGGAATAGAAAAAATAGAAATTAGAAAATTAGATTCTTGAATTCTTAAGCGGATGGCAGGTAGAAAAACGTAAACAATAAATAAATGAACCAATTACAGTTGGATATTTTTGAGCTATAAGAAGAATAATCTATTTTGATTGATTAATTTCTTTACTGCTTAAGCATCTTTGTATGTCCGGGCCTTTGTGATTCGACAATAAGTAACATTTAGCTAGGTCTCCAACAGTCATAAAGAAAATGCCTCACCTTTAATTCTAATTTTATTTTCTAGTTTTCAGTTCTATTTATTAGAATTTTCCGGTTTTCCGCGTAATACGTAGATTTTTCTCAAAATTATTTTCAAGTAAGGAAATATATATGCTCTTGAAACCGTAGTTTTCATGAGGAAAAGCGATTGCTTGTTATATTTAAATAAATAATAGATAATTATAGATTAGTAATAATAAGTAGATATGTCATTATAGACGAATTATTGGATAAATTTTTATAAGAATATAAAAAATACAAAAAGAATTGTTTAATTTTTAAGTGAACATGAAAAACGCGTTAAAAAGTCTAGCCAGAAGAAGAAAAAGATAAAACGGTGAGAAAATGTCGAAGGAAAAACTGAGACAAGAATAATGAGCAGATTATCCATTTGGGTGGAGAGTTCTTTGTAACAATAGCCATAATCGTCTACAACTTCATCCACGAGTTGCCACTGTGCAACTGAAAAACTGTGCGAAAGATGTGGAGCCTCCTTCAAGACGAACTTCTTCGTCATATTCTCCAGACTTGATTGTTTTCTGAAAAATATTGCGACATCGTGGTCGAGAGTGTCGTCTATTCTGACGCAGACGGATTTGTTAGAGTAGATGCCGCGCCACAGCACCGGTCTGATGTACCTCTTATAGGCGCCGAGACGAAGAAGAGGTCTCGAAATTTGACAGAACATGTCTCGTCTACCTCGCTTGATCGTTGAAGATACGACGCCTGCGGAATCTCCTAACTGGCGCCGAAACGTGTGACACATTCCTTCAAGTCGTTTCATTAAAGCGAGACCGACCAAAAAAAGAAATTTTCTTTGTATTATCTCTATATTAAAATACGTTTCATTTCTCTTTTCACGTCGTTACATTATATCTCGGTTTCGCTTATCATCTAACTTACCTAGAGAAGATATGTTATATTTCTTTGTACATTCGACAAATCACACATGATCTTTGAGACTTTTTAGTAAAGTGGGAAAATTGAATGGATCTTTTTTGCACTTAACCACGAGTTGGAGACGCAAATAAGCGGAAGCAATCGACCATAGTGTGCTTTTTTGTGTGAGGGGGGCAAAAAAAAGTACGAAGGACTTGCCGGTGGAGCTAATCGTAATAAAGCAACCGTGTCATTGCTTTAAATAATGTATTCCCTTCGCTCCGGAGATTCCTCCGCAAGTGGGACTGCGTGTCAAAATCGGAGGTGTGATGTGCATCCAACAGAGGATTGTATACTTATGACGGTATTTTTATGACGGTGGGTTTACACACAAACTTAGATGTTAAAATTCCAAAGTACATAATCGTAAACGTTCTGTTCACTCTAGTACGAAGGACAAAAGATGGGTAGCGAAGCGTCTATAAATCTACCTGAATGTCTTCGACACGTCCTTCCCGATTTTTTTTCCAGTGAAACCTCACGTAAAACGAGTTCACTCGAAGTGGTTGTGGAAATATCGACATTAACAACCACAAGCATGAAAATATTCAACTCAAACTTACCATTTTTCGAGCAGGGTTTCATGCAAACATTTAGAAAGTTATAAAGAGGAACAGGACAAAAGACCATCATGTACTCACCGCCCCACTTTCGTGATGATCATTTCTGTCGTTTCCGCGTAGAATTGATTCCAAAGTTCTAGATTGTGTAGTCTCAATTTGACCTTGGGCAATGAAACTGTGTGAATCTTTGGAGTTGTCTTCACATTTATATCCTGGGATCCCTCAGCTTTAACAATACAATATATATATTGATTAGTGAACAAAATACAAAAAAATCAAATTAATATGAAAAAGCGCTTCTTTTAATCACACTATTGAATGATTCGAATAGACGTAAAAATCAAAGAAAATTATCAAGGACACTAATTGGCTGAGATTTAACATGGCATAAAAAAATGTAAATAACAAAACTTAAGCAGTGAACAATTTGGCTGATCACATTCGGTAATTACTGAGAATATAAAACTATTATGTTGAAACTCTCAAATGTTAATCGGATCAACTTGCTTAAGACATTAAGTTCTAATTGGTCTAATCAAGATGATGTAACAATCGTTATCAGTCGTGTATATATTATCTATTCTAGTTAGAGTTATATATTTAGAATCTTTGATGCTAATCTTAACAAAGATGATCTCTCTTCCTCCTTCCTCCTGTTTCTTTGTTAAGATATAGATGCAAGTAATAAATTTTTCTTTAGGATTACGCATTACGCTTGCATCCTAATCTTCATCTGAATGTATATCGGTTTAATGTTAACATATATTAATAATGATATCAATGTTCGACGTTAATTTCTCTTTGGACGAAAAACCATCGGCAAGGTGTGAACCTCGGGGGATCTCGGAATAAAACGAGCTTAAGAAATTACATTCCAGCTCTGCATGATGCAGTCATAACAATAAGTCTCTTCGTTTTCCGAGAACTTCTGAGCTGGTACAATAAGTTAGAGTGAAACATATATTTTCTCCCATTCTAACTTGTAGCTTACAAGTTTTTTGAAAACGAAAAATGTCCTATTATTGTGGATGAAGTAACATGAATAGCATGTGTTGTTTTCAGACGACGTATTCACCATCGTGTGGTCGCCTCGTCCACCGGTTGTCTTTCGATGATGCTAGCTGTGAGATAGGAGGTATCACAGGTCAGATATTGCTGTAAAATTTCACCAAATACTACCAGGACTTAATCGCGACCGTTCTTTTTGAGGTAAGAAAGGCACAGGTAGAGACACTGATTGACCGCTACAAGACGACTTCTTTCATCTTCTGAAAATAATCCATCCGGCTCATTACGTCCGTATGTGAACAGGACAATGCAGCGACGATACATCACAAAATGTTTTCGATTTCATTAATGTAAATCACAAATGTGAATCTGTCAGGTTACAAGACAAATTGACATTCGTGAAAATCACACTCTCTCTCTCTCTCTCTCTCTCTCTCTCTCTCTCTCTCTCTTTCTCTCTCTCTCTCTCTCTCTCTCTCTCTCTTTCTCTCTCTCTCTCTCTCTCTCTCTCTCTCTCTTTTATTTTCGAGGAACAATGAATCACATTGTCATCCACTCCAAGATGAGATGGAATATATTTTATTTTGGTGGTATTGCGGTGATTCCAAGTGATTCTTCGAATGATTCGTGAATCAGAAACATGACATAAGTTCACAGATTGTTGAATAGTTAATGAAAATCTTTGTAAAGTCACTTAGAACTGTAGACAATATTTGTCGGCATATCGTTTATCGTGCAAGTTATTCAGATGCACAGATTTTTATATAATTAAACTGCTGTGACTAACAAGATATTATGAGTTCATGGTCGAAGAAATGAGGCGAGGTGCAGTTGGTAGTAAAAATTGCAGAACTATCTTTTATAAAAATACTATCGGATATTCGGCTTTATGTTGATCGTTATAGGGAAATTTCTAATCAAATTACACGTTTAGATATGTGGTATATCATAAGGTATAAAATCATGTAGATATAAGGAATAATGTTGGTACGATTTTGATAACTTTGGCGATACGATTAAAAATTGTTTTCTTTTTATTTTTTAACAGCAATGAACAATATTCCGAATCGTAGAAACTTTTAGTTTAATATATGATAGAAACTTTTTTAACTTTTTCCAATAAATATATTTCTATTGGCTTTTTTCTTTTTTTCAAGTTCAATTAAAGAATTCTTAAATTAAATTTTAAAAAATAACAAAATGTTTAAACCATACTGAAACTAAATGTATGCAAACATTAACTCTTTGCACTTGGAGCCATCTCATGGACACTTACGATGTTCCCTCAGAGGGAAATCCGAGTGCAAAGGGTTAAACATTAAAAATTAGAAATTATTTAATTTTTTTCGTATTGCCAAAGTTATAAGAAATTCCCTATTTTCATAACATTAGAGAGTTTAATTATCCAACTGTTACTTGTATCACACGTGTATACGCATAATTACATTAATTAATGTGTAATATTTTATAAAACAAACCTAATCGCTGATGAATGATATCCAGTTGGTCGCAATAACTTCGCACAAAGAACGGGTAACTCATTTTATAGAATAAACCAAGTCACACTGTTATTATTGCTCGACTGTATCTAAAATCGACGTTAAAGTTGAAAACGCCGAAGACCGCAAGAAACACAACCGTTAGACGTGAAATTCCGGACTGGACTGAACACATCAAATATGACCATGCCGACTAGGAGAGCGCCGACGTTCTGGATGATACAATCAAACCGCAATAACGTGAAAAGTCACGCGCTCATTGGTTGACGCGCTCATTGGCTGCCCTCACCCGACGTCACCGCCGCGCCCACGCATACCTGATTGGTCTCGGATCAAAACATTGCGGTTCAAGTAAGTGCGATCGGCAAATGAGATGCCTCTGAAAAGTGATTAGAGCGATCCTTTGAATTTGTTTCAAGCGGAATATAAAAAAGGGGACTTCTTTTGTGTATACGCGAGAAGCGAGGATCGTAAAAAACAGGGAACAACAAAGAAGAAAGAGAGGTAAAGAAAGAGATAGAATTGAAATGCGACGTATTCTAAGAATTTATTTTCTAGTAATTCGCAGGGGAAAATATTTTCCCAACGGGCATAAAATTTTTTCATTGGCTCTGCTGATACAAAAGACGTATAACTCGCAACTCGAAAATCTTAAATAACCTCGCAATTATCTCGAAGCAATTGTTATCTCTTTTCCGCGACGTCGATTGGTTCTCTCGGAATCCGTGCATAGCTCACTTCATGCTGTGAGCGGTTGTCTTCCCGCAAAGATGGCGTACTTGATAAATTAAAGATTTAAATGATAAGATTAGTGTTTGTGTGTTTTTTTCGTTTGATAATAATCTTTTGACTGGTGGAAACGAAGTATTATGTCCATAAAGAGTAGCCCTAAACTGGCATAAACGCTATATTGCGTTTTAATATTTCTGATTATTCAATATCTCTAAAACTGGACATTTAATGGTTTTTGGAGTCGCTCAATTCAACGGTGAACTTTAAAATTTTAAATTTCAAACGGGGAATATAATTTATAGCCGGTCTAAAATTGAAAAAATATAGAAGATTCATCAAAACTTTGAGATAATCAACTAATGTACGGAAGTAAATTTTGTAAATTTACAGAGTTTTATTACAATTGAAATAAAGAAAATGACGTTTATGAAGATCATATTAAATCTGCCACTTTTTAATTAACATTTTTAATTGTCCATTCTCAACTAATGACTCAAAAATATGATAGATATATGAAGAATTCGCAAATGTCAGTTTTATTTTAATCAAATAAAATGATGATTTTAACCCGTCATTTTCTATTTGAAAAATTTTGACTTCATATTTGTAAACAATGATCTCAAAAGATTCTTAGATATAAGATTTTAATGATATTATTTAATTATAGTAAACCCATTTTTTAGCTTGAGCTCAGCTTGAGCACTTCTTTTAACGTTCAGTTTGTCAAGTTAAGGACTTAATTAGCCTTCGAAGATCGAAAGGTAATTATGATACATACAAATATGTATCAAAATAATTTATGCAAAATGCAATATGTGCTAAGTAATAATAGCACAAGTTTCTAAAAGACATCTACTTAACCCTTTTGATTTTGTTGAGTTTTACACATCTTACAGTAGTCGGGTCATAAAACAATTATTATATTGGCTTTTTTAATCTACAATTGATTTAAAAAATTGATTTTGTGTCAATATTATTTAACTTATTTTCCTATATGTAATGATATGTACATTGGAAAGCAAAACGGTTTTTTTTCTAGTGACATGGTTAATTTGTGTAGTTATAAATGTGTAGTTGAGAATCACTGCTTAAATTGCACAAAATAAAAAATCGCGGGTCTCTTTCTATCTTTGCGTAAGTGATTCTCAAATTCATAACTTCACGGATTACCCATGTCACTAGAAAAAAAAATTGTTGAAACCGTTTTGCTTTCCACATATTTTGTTTACTTTACACATATTTGAGATTTTTTAGAGAAAGTTGAGACCAAAAAGATCAAAGATTTCCAAGACTCTAAATGACTTCTAAAAAATGATACATTTTTTTCAGATGTCTCTTTTAGAAATTTTTACTATCTGGAATTGATGTTAACATTTTTGAGTACTGTTAACCATTATCGGTTTCAGGCGCAACGTATATCTCCAGTATAATGCATATACAGTGTCACGAAGTTTACAGCGCAATTGACGAGTACGAGTCACACGAGCGCGTCGAGATCTCTATCAGCAGCTCCATCAATGACACCGACCCTGCACGGATTTGTATCGCGTGTTCTCGGGCCTCGTCGCCACGCTTCCATTTGTGATCGTTGTGCACGAGACGGAACACGGAATTTGTCACTATAAATTACGGAATCCGGCGGCCAGACGACCAGACCGTTAATGGTTTGTTCTCGACTCGAGACGGGACGAGAGCGAGATAACATCGCACGGACGTCGCTGGAACTTTTCGCGGAACGCCACATTGGCGGTGACAAAATTTCGTGTATGAATTTTTCTCGGCGTTTGGAAATTATTATTTCGTTCCGGCAAATGTCTGTGAAAACGTAAAGTTATGTCACAAGTTTACTACTACTACTCAAAAGAAAGAGAAGTGTGACATTTGTTAAATATACACGCTGTTCTCGTGTCATATCTGTTTTTAAAACGGGCAACTCAAATATACAGGTGATACAGGTGGTGATAAGCTATCTGCGTAAAGGCGCGTACAAACTAATTTTACACACTTTTATCAAGACCCGGAGTCCAGGATATTTATTTTTCTCTCAGATTGACCCTGAGAAACCGGTAGCACTTTTACCAAGCTGACACTCGTAGGAAAAGCTTCCTCATAACAGTGCACCAATGACAACAGCCAGTCGCGAAGGATTAAAGTGTAAACAGGCGAGAAGAAGAGGAAGCACGAGTACACATTGCCCTCTCTTGTAGCGCGAAACGACATAGGCGCCTGGAACTTTGTTTCAGAGTGGCCACTTCGTCTCGACTGTTTGTACGTTGGAAGGGAAGTTTTGTCAAATCACTCGATCACAGTACCCCGTACTGACTGAATTATGAATCCCGATTTAAATGTTAAATACGCCATTCCACAGCGTAGATCACATCACAATTGAAGCCCGACAAAATTTTCGTTTGGGATGTCACCCGATATACGTGGAAGATATGTAATGTTAAGGGTTGCAGAAACAAAATCAAGGTAAAGAATAATTTTAGAGAAGTCTTTATGCACCCAACAGAGCGACTGATAAATTGACATGTCTCCGTATGCATGTCCGTTCACTTTTACTTATTTGTCATGTATGTGTGTACGGCAAACAAATTTTTTTTCTATTCTCTCGCATATACAAATATAATGTCGATATCACAACTGGCTCAAAAGAACTGATACATTATATCTCGGGAATGCGACACCTTCCTGCGTTCACATCAAAAATTTCCGGTTGTGATATAAGAAATAAATTAAAAGGAGGACCCTGGTTATCACACAATGTTATTTTAGGTCAATGTTATTTTTAGGACATGAAAATTTGCTACTTAAAGACACTCAAACTTAGAGATAAGCGGCAATATGGCTGTACCATGTGTATATCAGCCTCGGATCTTCCTTTTTCTTCTTTTCTCTATCCTTTCGAAAAAAAACAAGAAGAAAAGTAAAATGACACGATATGTCAATACGACGATATGATACTGTTCACGATTTGAGGGACGTTAAGCGACGTCATTCCTGACCGATAAGGATACTGAAACATAATAATGTGACAATGTGGTCTTACGCAATAGATTTATCTGCGAGAATCGAACGTGCGAGGTATGATAAGCCTTGGAGAGAACAGAGAAAGGTATTCTTTAATTTCTTCGCGATCACGCAGGGCACATAAAGTGTCGTTTCCGGACGTAGTAAAGTGGGTTTTCGCGCGTGGGCGACGGCATGCTTTGAAGTACGGCGACGACGGCGGTAGCGGCGACGGAACTGCATAACTATTCGTGCAGCTGTGCGTCTTGTCCTCTCTGCATCTTCATGCGCGCGTTGTCTCCTTCCCTTTGTTTTTATTTCATTTTTTATAACTAACAATTGCGGTCAACTTTTGATTCCGCGCATTGCGCCACTTCCCATTGCATTGCTGGTACAATTTGCGGCAAAAGTGTTATCAATTTTATCTACGAAATTTTATTGCGATGTATGTAGCGCATGCAGATATATGTTCGACTGTAAAAATAAGTAGGAGCTTTTATTACAAATGATTACATTCATTTTTGCACCTAGTATAAGAGGAAGTAGCATTACGATTGCGATTGCAAAGAAAAAGAATAGATATTTAGGATAAAAAGTCACATTATGTTTCGTTAACGATTGATATTAATAATTGTACATTGACTATTTTGATTGTTTCATTTTATTTGCGCGAGTTATTACTTTTATAAGAAAACGTTTTTTTGTTTTCACCAGGAATATTTTATACATGTACATATATGAATATACATTTACTACATTATTTAACGAGAAATCTAACGTAATGAGTAAATCTAACGAGAGTATCTAACGAATAAAAGTCACGCGTATAATCAAATTTCTCACTTATGAAAATTACTATAGTACGAATATGCATTTAATTGCAATTTTATCGGCAACGTGAAGAAATGGTTGCAGATAGATTGTTTCATTTTGAAAAATGAATACAGATGGCGCATTAAATAGTTGATTAACGGTATCATAAATTGATTCTTTTTAATTGAACTAGCATTGTACTGGAATTTTGTTTCTTTTCCAATCAACATTGAATTATATTATTTATTTTACTTTGAAAATAAAAAGTACAACCAAGTTGTAAAATAATAGTTATAAAAAGAATAGACCTACAGGCTGTATTCACAGTATTCCTAGTCTAATCTTATATTTAAAACTGCCTTAAATTTGTCTTAAATGATACATACTCAATAGAAAAATCTGCAGACACTGAAGATGAGATTAAAATAATTTTCAATATAAAATTTATTAGTACCGCCTATGAATTTATTACTTTTTATTTCGACATAGGTAGATCTAAATACGGAGTTTCGCATCTTGGCCGCATGAGGTCTTCGAAGTCATTCAAGTTTTACTCGCTTTTCTTCTAAAGTGAAATTGACTGTGGATTATAATTTAAATGTTTGCAACTCCAATAAATTTGC